TTAGGAGTATCCGGGGCCGTTCGTTTTGTCTTCTCTTGTCCCTGTGCGCCCTTCCGTGCGCACGGAGTCTCGGCGCGCTCTCCTCTGCCTGTGCCCGATCCCCGCATCAGCGCTCCCAACGAGCCGCTCAGACTGCTTTGTCTTTTTCAAACGCGACAGGTGGACGCATAGAAGTAAGCCTGGTGCTTCCACGGCCCTCCGATTTCCTTCCCACTGGGGATTCCGTCGACGTGCCGGCCGCGCGGGAGGGGATGCGCGTTGTCTTCCCCGGGCGAGAACAGATGACCTGAGCCCAGATCAGATACGGCTGCCTGTGCGGTGACGTGCGCTCGGCCCACCCCGACCGAGCGCTTTCCCTCTGTCACGCGTTTCCCTGCCGGAGACCGTCTCCGCAGGAAGGCCACGCACTGTCATCCCCGCTTTAGAGACAGGAATGGGGATGGCGCTTCCCAGAGGTCGTCCAGGTAGAGAGAGTGGCCACGGGGGGTCGAGGAGGGTGGAGGCCCATCCAGAAAACTGGCTTTTTTTCTTGTTGAGATGAAACTCACATCACATAAAATGAACCGTTTTATTTTTTTGAAGTTTATTTTTGAGAGAGAGAGGGAGACACAGAATCCAAAGCAGGCTCTAGGCTCCGAGCTGTCAGCACAGAGCCCGACGCGGGGCTCGAACTCACGAACCGTGAGATCGTGACCTGAGCCGAAGCCCAACGCTGAACCGAATGGGCCACCCAGGCGCCCCCCAAAATGAACCGTTTTAAAGTGAACAACTTGGGGGGGTGCCTGGGTGACTCAGTTGGTTGAGCGTCCGACTTTGGCTCCGATCACCATCTCACGGTTTGTGGGTTCGAGCCCCACGTTGGGCTCTCTGCTCTCAGCACGGAGCCTGCTTCAGACCCTCTGTCCCTGTCTCTCTCTGCCCCTCTCCCCACTCGTTTTCTGTCTCTCTCTCAAAATGAAATACACTTTATTTTTTTATTTTTTTATTTTTTCAACGTTTATTTATTTTTGGGACAGAGAGAGACAGAGCATGAACGGGCGAGGGGCAGAGAGAGAGGGAGACACAGAATCGGAAACAGGCTCCAGGCTCTGAGCCATCAGCCCAGAGCCCGACGCGGGGCTCGAACTCACGGACCGCGAGATCGTGACCTGGCTGAAGTCGGACGCTTAACCGACTGCGCCACCCAGGCGCCCCTGAAATACACTTTAAAAAGTAAAATAAAATAAAGAAAAGTAATAATAAAGTGAACAACTCTGTGGCACTTGGTGCATTCGCAACGTTGTGCAGCCCGCTGTCTCCGTCAAGATGGGAAATATCTTCAGCCCCCTGAAAGGAGACTCTGTACCCACCAGCGGTCTCTCCCACTTCCCCCCAGCCCCCGACCCCCCGTGCCTGCTTCCTGTCTATGGACTTGCCTCTTCTGGGCATCTCTTGGAAACGGAATCCTACAACAGGGGGCCTTGGTGGCTGCTTTCCCTCGGCATCATGTCCTGGAGGTTCATCCGGTCGGTGGCTGGTGTCAATTCTTTGTTCGCTTAAGGCTGAATCGAACTTCCGTGGAATGGAGAGGCCACGTTGTGATTATCCGTCCTTCTGTTGCCGGACGTTTGGGTTGTTTGTGCCTTTGTGCTCTCGTGAGCAGCACTACCGTGAACACCAATGAGCGGGTTTTTGTGGGGGTCTCTGTTGTAAGTGTCTCGGGTCTGTCCCCAGCAGCGGGCGTTGCCAGGTCCTTTCACCTCTGTGTGTAAGTCGTGCGTCTCAAGTCCCCTGCCTTACGGATTTCCTGTATGACGGCCGCCCCCCATGCTCTCTTGGTGTTCTCCCGCCGGGGCTGACCGTGCGGTGGCTGTCGTCACGTGCGTTAAGCAGACTGGCGGGCGTGTTAGGTTGCTGTCCCTCGTGGTGCGTGTTCTGGGGCAGCCGCGGGAGGGGCGGGATGGTGGGGCTCTCCCGGGCACTTCACTGTGTCTCCCCTGCTGGCCCTTTCAGTTCTTAATCTGAGAATGTGGGGTTCTGTGGCCGAAAGGGCCTTCGCTTCCGACCTGACGGCCCCTGGGTCCGGGAGCAGGAATCGAGAAGCAGGTGTTGGACGATGTTTATCGGAAACTGTCTGTTCTCCTAAAAGTCGCACTTGCTGCTTTGATGAAGTAACACCAGGTTTTGAAATCTTTTTTTTTTTTTAAGCTGATTTATTTATTTTGAGAGAGAGAGAGAGAGAACAAGAAGGGAGGGGCAGAGAGAGAGGGAGACACACGATCCCAAGCAGACTCCACGCTCAGCACAGACCCCAACGTGGGGCTTGATCCCGTAAACCGTGAGATCATGATCCGAGCTGAGATCACGAGTCGGACGCTCAACCGACTGAGCCCCCCCAGGCGCCCCTGAAGCCCGTCATAAGGGTGGGCTGCTCTAAATACCAAGGTTGATTTTTGCAGGAGGTAGAGGGGGGAGTCTTTGCCTTGTTTTCCCGCCCATCCTGCGTGGATCCTGGAGCTCTGAGCCGGTTTGCGGTTTTGCAAACAGGAGCTCTGCCTCATTAGAGCTTTGCAAGTGTGAATGCCATTTTCGTCTCCAGAGAAGTCTCCCGCCCATCCCCCCAAAATGCAGATTATACGTTAACGGTAACTCAGGGCCACACAGCCTGGATGGTTCTTCCCCAGGGATGGCAGCTAACACTTAGGCGCCCTATAATAGGCACTTGTGCCTGTTTTCCAAAGCGGGGCTGCCGTAACTGAGCGAGCAAGCAGATTATTTTTTATACTCATCTGACTTGAACAACCAAAAGCGAAATCTTTAAGGATAGAGCTTATCAGGTCTCATGATCATCAACTGGTGTAAAAGAAACTGAAGAAGCTTATCCAGGAACTAGGATACCGGGTGGCATTAGATTTACCGAAGAAGGCTTTCCAGGAGACTCGTGTATCTCATTTAATGCCATTCTTGACGTCGCTGTAACATAGTGAGGACAGGTATTCTAATATTTGTATTTCTTAAAGACAGGGAAACTGAGGTTCACTGACAGGCCTTGTGCAGTCAGATGGTTGGCCAAGAGGGAGTGGTAGGCTTCCCCGGCATCACCACGTACAGTGGTGCAGGCTGTGCACTGCCCAACTTGGGACGGGGTGGGGGGGGCACCACCAGGGTGAACAGGGCACCCCCTGGCATCACACGGTGTGGCCACCTGGCTGAGCTCCTGTTACCAGCAGCTTCTTTGTCCTGCCTTCTGGTCCAGTGTGCCCCATCGAATGGATGCTTCTTTATTCCTCTGAAAACCTGAAGATTTCTTTTGGCATCAACTGTGTCATTGTTATTTTCCTATTAAGGGGTACGGAGGTTGGGGCGCCTGGGTGGCGCAGTCGGTTGAGCGTCCGACTTCGGCCAGGTCACGATCTCGCGGTCCGTGAGTTCGAGCCCCGCGTCGGGCTCTGGGCTGATGGCTCAGAGCCTGGAGCCTGTTTCCGATTCTGTGTCTCCCTCTCTCTGCCCCTCCCCCGTTCATGCTCTGTCTTTCTCTGTCCCCAAAATAAATAAACGTTGAAAAAAAAAAATTAAAAAAAAAAAAAAAAAAGAGGTACGGAGGTGATTTAGTTAATCCTCTATTATGTTTACAGCTCCTCGTTTCCAATACTGTTGTAAAGAAATACAAGTCTGTATCGTCTTATAAACACAAGCGGATCCCAGAACTCTCAAGTGGGGACACTGGGCCTGTTGGTTTTGGGGGTGATGGGAAGGATTGCTGGGGGCTGGAGAAGGCGTGTGTCTGTGGGGAGGAGGGAGCCGTGTGCCGACTGGGAGGCCTGGTGGCACTACGTGGACCGCCAGCCACCCATCTGTGTGAGGGTTGGACAGACGGGGAAGGTTGCCTGGCCCAGCCCGTACCAGCCCTCTGGCCACCTGCTATATTTCTGGAACTTTGAGACCCGCACACTCACGTTGTCAGGCTCCCGGCCTCGCGCTGGAAGGATGTCCGAGGGCTGTCTGGGCGGACGTGCTCAGTGTCCTTGAGGGACAGGCCAGGAGACCGGGGGGGGGGGGGGGGGGGGATGCCCGGGGACAGGGGCGGGGCCGGCTGGGTGTTACTGTCATTGGACACTAACCACAGCTTCCTTGAGAAGGGAACCTGCTTCTTCCAGAAGTGAGCCGGTTACCCCCCAAGTCACCGATTCCAGAGGAATTCTTGTAACCAGCCCTGGGTGGGGAGACTGTGTGTGAGGCCCGCAGGGACGGCCGAGGGGGGAGGCTTAGGAGGCAAGTGGGGCTTGGCCTTGGGGCGGGAAGGGTGGTTGACTTTGGGGCCAGTAAAGGGCATGGGAGTGTCACTCCGGGACGAGGAGAGGCCCCTGGGCCCAGGAGTGACCGGGAGCACCCGGGGGTCCACGCTCCAGGAACATGGAGGGGTGAGCAGGAGCCCGCTCGGGAGGCGTGTGGCCGAGGCGTCCCAGGGCTTTGGTGTTGGCTCCTGTAGCAAAATACCACAAACTAGGTGGCTTAGGACAACACGGTAATGGAGGCCAGAAGGCCGCGGTCACCGTGTCCGCAGGGCCCAGCTCTGTCAGCGGGCACCAGGGGAGGGTCCCAGATCCCGGTGGTGCCGGGGAGCCCCTGTGCTCCTTGGCCTGCCGACGCAGCACTCTGTCTCTGCCTCCGTTGCCACATGGCATCTCCCCGTGTGTCTGTCTCTGGGCCTGCCTTACAAGGTCACCAGTCACATCGGATCAGGGTCCCCCCTGCTGTGGCATGACCCTGCTTAGCTAATTACACCTGCAGACCATTCATTTCCAAATAAGAGCACGTTCGGAAGCTCTGGGAAGGACGTGAATTTCAGGGCTCCCCAGTATAGCTGCTTCGGGGGAACTAATTTAAAACAAGGCCGTCCACACGTGGCCTGGCCACGTCCTCATCCCCTGCGGACGGGAGGCATGTGCTGGCGCTGGTGAGCCCACCGCAGGCGCTTGAAGGGGACACACTCATGCCTTCTGTGCTTTCTGTTCTCACAGCCCAACATCGGCCGCCTGGGCCTGCCCCACGGGCCATCTGGAGAGAAGGTGGCCGTGGTGACCGTGGACGACTGTGACACGGCCGTGGCTGTGCGCTTTGGTGGCCTCGTCGGGAACTACAGCTGCGCTGCCCAGGGCACACAGAGCGGCTCCAAGAAGTGAGCATCCCCGGGGCTTGTCGGGGGAGGCCCAGGCAGTCACCCCCTGTGACGGCTGCTCCCAGCAGGGTCGTCCAGGGCGGGACCCTGAGGCAGGGCACCTGGGGCCCCAGCGGCCTGGCAGCCCCTGTCCAGGCTGGAGTCAGATTCCCTCCCCTTGTTTGGGGCACCTTCCCTCTGACACGTTAGAACCTTCTAGAATGAGTCCTCTCATCAGTTCTGCCGAAAGTAATGGCCAGACCAACCCCGAACGGCCTGGCTTGTGATGGCTGGCTTGATGACCCCAGAGACTGTGGGATCGCTGGCCTCGATCCACCAGGCACGGGTCCCTGGGGTCCAGTGTTGGGTCAGTAAACCTCCCTCTGGTACGTCCCGGAGGTTTTCTGTGGATCATCCTAACTCGGAAGCCCAGACAGCCCTAAGGCCAGTTTTGTGATGCCGGCCCCACCAGCCAGAGCTTTGCTCCTTCCTAATTGCGTTGTGGTGGAGTATTCAAGAAACTTTCGATGTCCACAGTTGGAGGACCCGATCCGTGCCGGGCATGGGAATGAAATATGCCTGTTTCCCCCCACCCCACCCAGCTGTGCCCATTGTCCCGAGAAGAAAGCTGTCGCCTGGAGACATTAGACCCCTTGCCCAAGGCCACCCTGCTGCTCGTGTGGAACCAGGGCTCTCGTGTGCTGTGACCTCTTTAAGGTCATCAGAGCCCGGGGAGGGGGGAGGGGTAGTGCCACGATTTGGCATTGACTCGTGCCTGCTGGGCTGCGTGTTTGGCTTCGACTGGCCCAGGCAGTGGGTGGGACTCCCGTTTGCCCGGCTCTGATGCAGGTTTGAGGAGTCTGAGGCACAGAGAGACGTGAAAGCCAGTGGTGGCCTCAGAACCGGGACCTGCCGTGTGTGGTCTGACCTGTGGGCTGCCCCCCTCCCCTCCTCCCCATTCAGTTACGGACGTTCAAGTGGATGGGTGTGCCTGGCGGCCACCGGGATGTTACAGCAGCTTCAGGGCCACCGACGCTGCCTCTCACCTTTGCCCCCGCAGGTCCCTGGATCTGACCGGCCCTCTGCTCCTGGGAGGCGTCCCCAACCTGCCCGAAGACTTCCCCGTGCACAACCGGCAGTTTGTGGGCTGCATGCGGAACCTGTCCGTGGACGGGAAGAACGTGGACATGGCCAGCTTCATTGCCAACAACGGCACCAGGGCAGGTGCGAATGACCGCCGGGGCGCACGGCCGGGCGTTGGTGGCCTCCTCCACGTCCTGGGCAGTGACTTCTTCCTAGAGCTGACCACACCTGTGTGCAGCTAGCGGTGGGCCGTTAGGAGGGGGGGCCCGGGCTCACGGATGTGCTGCTCTTGGGGCCTGGGCGTTTGGGGTGCCTGTGACACCGCCGGGCTGGGCAGGGCACTCGGTCCCCCAGTCTTGAGCATGTCACCAGGTGACCCGACGTCCCTGGACACGGGCAGGGCTTCCTGTACCATTCCGGGTCTGACCATCGGACTGCCACCAGAGGGTCCCGGCCTGTCTGCCTCCCCTCGGGGCTGCTGCTCACCGGGCTGCTTTCACACCGCGGGGTTGGCGTCGGGGGCAGTGACCGGTCCCCCCGAGGCACGATCCCTTCACGTCTCCTGCTCTGAGACCGTACCGCGTGCCCTGTGTCCTCAGGTTGTGACGCTCAGAGGAACTTCTGTGATCGGACGTGGTGTCAGAACGGGGGCACGTGCGTGAGCAGGTGGAACACCTATGTGTGCGAGTGCCCGCTGCGGTTCGGCGGAAAGAACTGTGAGCAAGGTAAGGGCCTGGCATCCGTGCCCGCCCGACCTCGGGGCCTCGGACGCATTGCTGTCGGGTGACGGGGCTCACGCAGGCTGGCGCGGCCAGGGCCGCAGCCTCCGATGGCATGTGTGTCCCCAGGCCTGGGTCTGGCGGGGAGAGAGGGTGGGGACGGGGGGGCTGCAGGAAGCTTGGGCTTCAGGGGGGGCCCGGCTGCCGGTGGGACACATGCCCACACCCAGAGTTCCTGTTATGGAGGCCGTGGGCCCGGCCGGCCGTGGCTGTGCCAGAGTGAACAGATGCCAGCATTGGATTTGTAACAGCAGGAAACAGACGGGCCGGGGCCCGTGAGGCTGTGGTCCCCCAGAGGCAGCCGCCAGCTGGCGTGCCCTGTGCTGTTGGCGGGTGTGCCCCACCTGGGGGATGTTCCTCTGTGTGACAGCCGGGGTCTGGAGGACACGGGGCAGCTGGCCGGCACCCCGTTTGTGCAAGGGTAACACACTGGATGGGGTGTTGATCCACCTCCGTGGTCCCCCCCAAACATCTGGAGCCCTCGGCTGGCCAGCGGCCTTCCCACCTCTGTGCCCACGACCAGGAAGAGAGAAACAGTGGCCCGCATGCCTGGGCATCGGAGCCCCCCCCCCCCCCCAGACACAGATGAGGGCTGGTTAGGCCACAGGGTCGACGTGTTTCTCCGGGAACACGTGTGTGGTATTCACCGCAGGCTCACGCCGTCCCGCCGGGAGACCACCCTCCCCACAGCCCCGCCCCCGCCCCGCCCCACCCCACCCCATCGGCTCCCCACACAGCCCCGCCCCCGCCCCGCGGGCTCCCCGCACAGCCCGCCCCTGCCCCGTTGGCACCCCACCCAGTAGGTGTCATGTAGGGCAAGGGAGGTTGGGCTCACCGCGCCCCCCAGCACCCCATCTGCTGAGCCCAAGGATTCTGAGCCACGACATCCAGCCCGAGAGCCCCCCCCCCATCATGCCCTGGCCAGGGCTGGGAACCCCCAAGCCCCAGCCTCACTCCCCGGGAAAGTGGCGCGTGCCCTAGCGGGGCGGGCTTCTGTAAGCCGCTGGCTCCTGTGCTCGGAGACCTAGAGATGGACGCCCGAGACTGGCCTTCGTTTTCGTTTGGTTGGTTCGTTTATTTTTGAGATAGAGTGTGAGCAGGGGAGGGGCAGGGAGAGAGGGAGAGAGGAGAGCGCTGACAGCTGAGAGCCCGACGTGGGGCTCGAACCCACGAACCGTGAGAGCACCACCTGAGCCGAAGGTGGGCGTTCAGCTGACCCAGCCACCCAGGTGCCCCTGAGACTGGCCTTTGTATTGCAGTGAAAAAGCCCAGAAATGTTTCCCTCCCCTCTCCCGGGAGCCCGTCCTGCCCCCCTGCAGCCGGCAACGGTTCTCAGAGGCTCGTCTGATACCTGGGGCCCCGCGTTTCTGTGTCCGCAGTCATGCCTCACCCCCAGCGCTTCAGCGGGGAGAGCGTCGTGTCCTGGAGCGACCTGGACATCACCATCTCCGTGCCCTGGTACCTGGGGCTCATGTTCCGGACCAGGAAGGAGGACGGCGTGCTGATGGCGGCCACCGCAGGCATGGCCTCCAGGCTGCGTCTCCAGGTGAGGGGGGACCACGTCCCACCCCGGGCGAGCTGAGTGGGGCAGCCAGAGCCGCCCAGGCAGCACCCCCCACCCCCAGGAAGCACGGGCTCCCCGTGCACACAGGCAGGGAACCTCACCCCTGCGCCGCCTCCCTCCAGGGAACCTCACCCCTGCGCCGCCTCCCTCCGCCCGCACCGGCCCGGCGGGGTCCCCAGAGTGAGGAAGAAAGGAAACACGAGCCTGCTTTCCCAGCCAGCCGCACAATCCCGCCATTCATGCCAGGGAAGAGCGCAGGGAATCAATCCGGTGTGCAGCCACGATTCCCCCTGGGGGGATTGATTCCAGCACTTTCTTTTCTTCCATTATTCCTGAGACGGGGGGTGGGGCGCACGGGGCCAGCTGGACCCAGCAGCCCAGCTCCTCAGCTGCGAAACTCAGCCAAGGAGTGTTGTAGACAGCGGCTGTGGCCTGCGGGCATTTCGGAACTAGAGGGGACGCAAGCTGCACCTTCAGGTAGAGATGGGGGGCCCGGGGCTGGGGTGCCGCGTGTAGGTCTGCGCCCCGCGCTCTGCTGGGGCTTTCCTCGACATCCCGAACGCTGAGTCTCCTCCCGCGTGTGCTCTCTGCCTTTTTGCAATTTGCTGTGTTGTCTATTTTAAGTGTCAGATAAGCAGAGTTCCTAAGAACCTTTTCTTTTCTTTTTTTTTTAATGTTTATTCATTTCTGAAAGAGGGAGAGAACACAAGCGGGTAAGGACCAGACAGAGAGAGGGGGAGACACAGAATCGGAAGCAGGCTCCAGGCTCTGTGCCGTCAGCACAGAGCCCGACGCGGGGCTGGAACCCACGAACCGCGAGATCATGACCTGAGCCGAGGTCGGACACTTAGCCGACTGAACCACCCAGGTGCCCCTCCTAAAAACCTTTAAGAAATGGTTTAAACACACCGTATTCGTTAATCTCTGTGCCACAAAGAGCTCCCCCTGCATTTTCCCAGCTCCACAGAGATTTCACTTGGAAAAACAAGGAAAGTTATTGCCGTTTGTGGAAGTCGCCCAGCGGCCCTGTCAGGCTGCCTTCGCGCCTCTGGCCCAGTGTCCTGGTGGCCGGAGGGAGGGGCTCTCACCCTCGACGCCAGCCTGCGGTTTTGCGATATTCGAGGGCCCAGGAGACCCTGCCACCCGGGGAGCCTGGGTACGGGCCTGCTCTCTCTCGGCTCCTGGTGCCTTCTGTCTACAGTGACCGGGGGAATAGGAGGTTCTTGAGTAAACCCTCCACCTCCGAGCCCCTGGGCCAGGGGGCCACACCCAGGGATTGTCCCTCTTAGAAAGCCCACTTTCTGACCCCTCTCAGAGCTGATCTGCCTCCTGATGCAGCAGCGGCACGTGGGACCTGTTCCTCGCCACTGCCCTGGGCCCAGGGACTGGTCCTTCTGCCCAGTGAGGAGTGGCCTTAGTTCCCAGAGTAGGCTATGCTGCGGTCAGAAGGTCAGACGTGAGATGGACCCCACGGAGCGTCCACTCCAATCTCTTTTTGCTCAGCAGAGGCCTAGAGACTCTGGGCTCTGGGTCCCGTGGTTCCCTTGTGCCCCGGGCTCTGTAGTGCCCACAGGACCCCCTCCCATCGCCCCTGTGGGCTGTCCACCTGGAAGCACTTGGAAATGGCAGGGGCAGCGGGTGGGGACACAGGCACTGTCCAGCGCCCCCTGGGGGCTCTGTGTCGGAGGTCAGTGTGGGCAGGACCTCGAGGGCTCCCAGTGGACAGGCGGGCCCCAGACTCGCCCACGGATCAGTGAGGACAGGGTGCCAGGGGGCCACGACTAACCCTGTCCGGGCAGGGGGGCTGGGGGCTCAGAGCCCTGACGGAAGCCTCTCTGTCTTCCACCTGCCCGGCTCACCTGCGTCACCGCTCAGCGGCATTTCCAGCGCGGACCCATTCGGGGGTGCTGAAGGGGGTACCTCTGTGCCTCCGATAATTTCAGCTGTCGCTGTTTCTCCTTAGTAACTCGTGACTTCAGAGGTTTCCAGGCAGTCCCAGAAGCTAGGTCCGGACCAGAACTTGGCAAGCACACTTTTGCCTCAGGATGGCATTTTTCTCTGTGGTTATCTCACGGTGGGAACAAATTAAATTGGCTCTTTCGATTCAGGTGATGAATTGGAACTTGTAGGTTGTCCTTTGGCAGCGGGGTCTCCGTAGGAAAAAAGTATGCTTTCAGGAGGAACAACACTGAAAGTCACAGACTCCCGTATTGTTTGAGTAATTACGTTATGGGTAGCTAATCCAAAAATTTAGGTGTTTTTTTTTGGTTTTTTTTTTTTTTTTGGCCAGGGACTGTGGCCAGCCCCTCCCTGTGGAAGGCTGGGTGGCAAGAGTGGTGGCCTCGGGGGGAATCCTCCAGACCTCGGTGGCCACCCAGAAGGGCGCTCCAGGGCCCAAAGGCCGGTCAGCTGGGCGTTACTGGAATGTTCTGGGTTATTGCCATGTGGTGTGTTTGAACACAGGCCTCCTGCAGACCCTGTAAGCTCTGTGGGGCGGCCGCGTAGGTGTTCCTGGCCTCCGCGGCAGGCCAGACAAGCTACGTAGTCCTCCTGCAGCTCAAACAATTTGGGTAATTGCACTCAGGCGCCCTCGCTTCGCCTGCATTGTCAAGGGAGATAACCTGGCCATTGTTGAATGCTGCCCCTCTTAAATCCGGCGACAGACCTGAGGTGGTGAGCAGTGACTGTGCATGGGCCTGGAATTCATTCTGTTGCCTTTGTCTGTAGACATATGTCATTTTTATTGTTGATCCACTGGCCTCAGGGTTTTGTTGCAAGGAAAGAGCATAGCCAGGGAGATTAAGGACGTTGACTTAAACATCTGTGGACAAATGGAGACAAAGCCGAAAAAGGTAAAAAAGTCCTCTTTATTTCACTCTCGATTAAGACCCAAAACCAAAAGGGGCGCCTGGGTGGCCCAGTCGGTTGCGCGTCCCAACTTCGGCTCAGGTCACGACCTCACGGTTCGTGAGTTCGAGCCCCGCATCGGGCTCTGTGCTGACAGCTCAGAGCCTGGAGCCTACTTCGGATTCTGTGTCTCCCTCTCTCTTTGCCCCTCCCTTGCTTGCACTCTCTTTCTTTCTCTCAGAAATAAATAAACATTTAAAAAAAATGAAAGGAAAATAAACATTAAAAATTTTTTTAAAAAGACTAAAAACCAATATACGTCATTGGTTGCATAATCTTGGTAACCACTTAAAAACATTTTCTGTTTTCCATTATGATTTCTTCTTCGATCCTTGGGTATTTAGAAGTATGTTTCTGGATTAGCAAACAGGTGGCGTTTTCTAGTAAATCATTTTGTTGTTGATTTTTGCGTAGTTGCAGGTCAGGGAAGGCATGCTGTGTGATTTCAGACCTTTGAAATGTGTCGAGACCTGCTTCACAGCCCAGCATTTCATCGTTTTTTTTGTGTATGTCCCACCTATGCCTTGAAAGAATGTGTGTTCTATAGCTGTGTTCTGTAGTGTCCTATATACACGAAGTGAGTGAAGTTTGTTAATTGTGGCATTCAGACTTTCTCTGTCATTGTTGATTTTTGTGTCTGCTCAGTTGCTGAGAGAAGGGAGTTTTAAAAGTTTGCAACCCTTCTTGTTCCTTTTAGTTCTGTCGAGTTTTGCTTTATACATTTTGAGGCTATGTTATTAGGTGCATACAAATTTAGAATCGCTTTATTTTCCTGGACAAGTGACTCTGTCATACTATGAAAATTGCCTTATGTCTAGAATTTTTTGTTTGCCTTCACGTCTACTTTGTCTCCCTTTGTCTCACTCTACTTTGTCTCACATTAATAGAGCTACACCAGCTTTCTTTTGGTTGGTGTTTACGTGATGTGTCTTTTTCTAACCTTTACTTTCAACATTTCTGAGTCCTTATATTTTATGTTTGTCTCTTTTAAGCAGTGCATTCGTAGTTGTTTTTTTTAACCTATTCTCTTACTTGAAGCCGTCTTTAAACATGAGTATCTTGGGGCGCCTGGGTGGCTCGGTCGGTTAAGCGTCCGACTTCGGCTCAGGTCACGATCTCGCGGTCCGTGAGTTCGAGCCCCGCGTCGGGCTCTGTGCTGACAGCTCAGAGCCTGGAGCCTGTTTCCGATTCTGTGTCTCCCTCTCTCTCTGCCCCTCCCCTGTTCATGCTCTGTCTCTCTCTGTCTCAAAAATAAATAAACGTTAAAAAAAATTTTTTTTAAATAAAAATAAACATGAGTATCTTAGGTTAGTTGCAGTGGTATTTTCCCATCTCCTTACATGTCTTTCAACATGGTAGCTCCAATCTTGTCTACTGAAGTGTAACATTTACCTACAAAAGTAAGAGTCTAATGGTCACCTGAATCTGTCTCCTTGAAAGTTCTGTGATTCCTCAAGTCTGTCCTCGAGTCTGTGTCTGATGATTCTATTTTATGGATCCACCCGGGGCGGCGGGGGCAGGGGTGGTCTGTTTCCATCCATTCTTTCTTGTGTCTCTTGGTTTTCACACACACTGTCTTATCTCCTTGGGTATGTGGTTATTTTTGATCGAGTGCCGAACATCGTATTGAAAACGCAGATAATCTGATGCCAGGATGGTGGTGTGGCTGTCCCTCGTGTTTGCTTCCGACGGGCACCCCCACATACCTTGGGTGGGTTCCGAATCCCAGGTTCTGTCATCCTAGCCCCAGGAGCCTGGAAAGCTTTGCTCCTCTGTTAGGCTCAGCTGACAACCATCAGCGGAAGGAGACCCTGAGCTCCTTTCTGCAGATTTCCATTTTCTACCTGGTCGTGGCTCTGTAACCCAGCCTTGAGTCACTCAGTACTGCATCTTGTGTTTCTAGGTGTTCTCAGGAAGAGGGTTGGTCCATGAGGGGAAAAGAGATCTTGGCGTTAAAGATGTTTTCTTAAAACAGGAATGTCTTAGGCCAGTTACTTTGCCTATGGGTTTTTTTGGGGGTTTTTTTGGTACGTATATATAAATGTGGTGGCTTGAATCCCATCTCATAAAGTGGAACATCTGCCTCCACAAATAAGAACCCGGTAATCATCTGAGTCTGTGACTGTTCCCAGTAATTAAGCCCCACGTGAGTTATCTTACCTGCCCTCTGTCCACATTTGACACTTCTTGCCACGGAAAAAGGCATAGGATCTTGAAGAGTGTTACGGGCAACAAGAAATTACACTTGGCCTACTTTTTAGGTTTATCTGTGGCCCAGTGCCCTGTTTGCACGGCTCTGTTATGTAAGTGACTGCAGAGTATTTTCTGTTCTGCTATCGTCACATCAGTTGGTAGGTCTGGCTCTCCCTGTCCTACAGATCCTGAACAACCACGTCCAGTTCGAGGTGTCCCACGGCCCCTCGGACGTGGCATCCATGAGGTTGTCCAGGTCACGCGTGACTGACGGGGAGTGGCACCACCTGTTGATAGAACTGAAGAGCGCCAAGGAAGGCAAAGACATCAAGTACCTGGCGGTCATGACCCTGGATTACGGGATGGACCAGGTGAGTTGGCACCTGTGCCCTCTTTGGAACAGGCACCTTCACCGGGCGTACGGAGAACCGAGTGACCCCTCCACGTGCCAGGACGTGCCGGAGCCCTGGAGGGTTTTGGGACACGCGTTCGGGCCCCCCTGAGTTTGAGTCTCACATCCTGCCTTACGCTGCGGTCACCAGTGTCCGTGCCTCCTCCCCCTGCCAGATGGCCAGCTCCTGGACTCAGGAACTGGACCCCATCCGTCTGTTATCCCATCGCGGTGCCGTCGGCACCTGCAGCAGTGGTCTCTTTCAGCAGAGCTGACCAGAGTGACGACTGTGGCTTGGTGCTGTGCCTCTGGGGCACACAGATAAATAACACACGGGTCCTCGCCCTCAGGGTGGGTGGCGCGTGAGGGTGGGTGAGCAGATGAGCCCGGGTGAGCAGAGGGGGCAAGCGATGGGCGAGTGGCATTCAGAGCGTGCTTGGTGAACCGCACTGGGTTTCTACTGGTGGCGGCTGGTAACGAGAGGCCCTTTTTCTGGGACGTCCGCCCACTTCGGGGGCTGCTTGTGAGTTTTCTGCCCTCGAGGTCTAGGCGCATTTCCCACCGGGCTCTGAGGATAAACAGCTGTTCTGTTCCACGTGCAGCCTTGCAGGGCCTGAGGGTCCAGCAGCGACGTTCGCAGGTGCCTGCCGTCCTGCTCGTCCTTTCCATTCGCTGCTGTCTTCTAGTTCACCAGCATTTTCCTGCAGTGGCTCATCAGCGGTGCCCCTTGTGGAGGTGGGAGGGTTGCCCCCGTCCCCCTGGCCGGCCATCTTGGCTGGGCCGGGCGGGGAGGACGTGTATCCTGGGACCCGGTCCCCACTCCTGCCTGTCACACACAGACGGCTGCGTTCTCTCCTGAGAAGGCCGAGCCCGGCTCGCCCCTCTGTTTGGAGGCCCACGTGTCCTCGGGCTGTGGGGAGCTTGCCCAAGCGACCGCGTCGTCAGCCTCTGGGCATGTTCTTCCCAGAAGATGTTTCCGGAATGTGGATGTAGCCCCCCCCCCCCCCGCCACAGGACACGGTGCAGATCGGGAACCAGCTTCCGGGGTTGAAGATGAGAAGCATCGTCGTGGGCGGCGTGTCCGAGGATAAGGTCTCCGTGCACCGCGGTTTCCGGGGCTGCATACAGGTAGGGCAGAGCCGTGGCGCCCGCCCCCCCGTGGGCAGCTCGGGGCCCTTGGTCCGCCTGCTGCTTTTCAGTGAATGAGTCATTCGTCTGATAGCCGACCCAAGCTTAACAGTCCCGCTTCCAGCTTAGACCCGTCCTCCCCGTGGTCCCCTCCGGCCCTCCCCCCGCATCCCCATCACCGCGTCACCTTCCCCTCGGCAGCTTTGCCTTCACGTCCTGTGTGGCACGTGCCCCCCGCTGCCTCCCCCGGGCCCCCCCCCCCCAGGCCCACCTGAACCTGCTCATCCCCCGGAGCAGGTGTCCTAGCAGCAGCCGGAGTGACCTGTCAATCGAGTAGCTCCGCTCGCGTGCCCCTGGCCTCCCGCTGCAGGGAAGTGAACTCCCGACCTGCCTCCCCTTCACGGCCCCCACCCTCCTCGGTGACCGGGCAGTGCCATCTCTGAGCGCCAACCCCCGCCCCCCCCCCCCCCCGCAAAGCGCTGTCCCTCAGCGTGGAACTCGCCGTGTGCGTCCCCACCGCGGTGATGTGCGGGCCGCCCCGCTACCCGGATGCCCCCGGCTCCCACGAGACGCCACCTTCGTCGGCGGCCGCGCTCTCCCGCCGCCCGCATTCGCTTTTCCTTCAGGACACCAGCCACGGAACTGTCAGAACGCGGACTCGCTCTGACTCCGTTTCCGGGCGGCTGGTCTACCCACCTGGTGCTCATGCCTGTCCTGGTTCCACCTCCCTGCCCCCCACGCAGGTCCCAGCTCTGTGCATACGTGAAGGGTTGCTTTTTGACGACCAAGAGAACTTGGGGCCCTCTTACCCCCTGGTTACTTTGGGGGGTTCCCCCCACCCCAAGACACGGGGCTGAATCCGGCTGCCCCTCTTTAACTCAGGGGGTGAGAATGGGCGAGACGTCCACCAACATCGCCACGCTCAACATGAACGACGCCCTCAAGGTCAGGGTGAAGGACGGCTGTGACGTGGAGGACCCCTGCTCCTCCAGCCCCTGTCCCCCGCACAGCCGCTGCCGTGACGCCTGGGACGCCTACTCCTGCATCTGTGATAAAGGTGGGAGCCCCGCCCACACCCCCCCGGCACCCTGCAGCCCCTGAGCAGAGGGCCGTGCTTTGGCCTCGAAAACACACGGAGGAGAGCGGCCTTGGAGCAGCCCCCGACCCGTGCGGGTCTGCGGAGGGCGGAGCCTTGTCACTAAGGAGTGTGCCCTTGTTCTCCTCTTTGTTTATCTCTGAGAGAGAGAGAGGGAGACTGCCAGTAGGGGCAGAGAGAGAGGGAGACACAGAATCCGAAGCAGGCTCGGGCCCCGAGCCGTCAGCACAGAGCCTGACGCGGGACTCGAACCCATAAATCGTGAGCTCGTGACCTGAGCCCAAGTCGGATGGTCAACTGACTGAGCCTCCAGGCACCCCTCTTTTAATTTTTTTTTTTTTTTTTTTGAGAGAGAGAGAGAGTAGGGGAAGGGGCAGAGAGAGAGAGAGGGAGAGAATCTCAAGCAGGGTCTACACTGTCAGCACAGAGCCTGACGCGGGGCTTGAACTCACGAACCGTGAGATAGTGACATGAGCCGAAGTCAGACACTTAACTGACTGAGCCTTCCAAGCGCCCCTGGGCCTTCTCTTCTTAAAGCTCGTTCCCATGTCTGGTCCTCACCTGAGGCACAGGGGACACTCCAGGCTTTATCCTCAGGGCACAGGATGAGGGGGGGGAAAGAATTCGGGAACAACCCACACTGTGGAAGATGATACTCTCCGCCTGAACGTTGAGGTGCTGCCATCCTGCTCCTCTCGTACCCGTCCGCCGTGTGTCCTGGGGAGGCCGGGCCTCCTGCCCTCCTGGGGGGCCCCTTTCTCTGCCTTTCCAAGTCGGACCCACCGAACGTTTGTGCTTCCCGTGACTACCCCGTTTCCCTCGGGGACATAGCCCGGAGAGGTGGGGGAGCCACGATGGATCGCTTGAGACGTCTTCCCCTGCAGGCTGGGGCTCCGGAGGGCGGGCCCGTGATGCCTTGCAGAAAATCCGGCCGGGGCGGGGGTGGGGTAATGCCGGCCTGTCCCCGCAGGGCACTTTGGAAGGAAGTGCGTGGACGTGTGCCACCTGAATCCCTGCGAGCACGTGTCGGCCTGCGTGCACAGCCCCAGCTCCCCGCGGGGTTACGTGTGCGAGTGTGGATCCAGCCACTACGGGCAGTACTGCGAGAACAAGTAAGACGGCCCGCCTGTCGCGTCCAGCGGCTCCGTCTCGTGACGCCTCTCCTCCTGTCACTTAGCACAAAGATACGTAGGATTCCAGATAACACGGACATGGCCGTTTGTTTGTTTTTCAAATTGGGCCAGAAACGAGTAAGAGTTGAACTGGCACCTGGGACGAACCGCGTTTGAGCACGCTCCCACTGCGGGGACATACGGCGTGACTCACGTGTGTAGAGCCCAGCCGCGCACAAAGCAGGCGGGCACTGGGGTGCGGGGGGCCAGCCCTGCAAGCCGGGAACAGAGCGTGGCTTTCTGGAGGCCACGGAAGCCTGGCAGAAGCGTGGCAGGATCGAGCGTGGGTCTCAGAGGGCCCCGGCCGCCGCGTGGAGCGCGATGGGAGCGGCTGCACGTCGGAGGCAGGGAGGCCGGGAGGCCGATCGTGTCCCCGAGGGCTGGCCTTGCAGGGGCAGAGGGCGGCAGAGGCGGGAGGGGGAAGGTGCCCCGCAGCTCTGGGGTCCCCAGACTGTGAGTGCAGATCCGTGAGCACCTGACTGGAGCCCCCGGCTCGGCAGTTCTGACGTGGTTATTTTTGCGCCCCTGCCGTGTACACAGTCGGTACTTAATAATTGCTTGCCAGGTGGGTGAGGGAGTACGACAGGTTCGCTGCCGGCTGGGCGGGTGGGTGGACGGAATGCCATTAGCTGAGACGGTGAACACAGGGCGGAAGGTGAAGGACGTTTGCTTGGTGGGGAGGTGCGTCCCACAGGTAGGGGGTCTGCAGATGATGCTCCGGTGTGTGCTCAGCGTGGGAGCGGAGGTAGGGTGACAGCGACAGGCAGCGGCCAGAGCCCGGGAGGGGTGAGCGTGGCCTCGTGACCTTCGACGCCACACGTCTCCGGGGCCTGCTGGGCTCCCAGGGCACGACCGGGCCTGTGTCGTGATTCTGAACCCACCACCGGCCCCAGCCCATGGCTGCACGGAGCCGACCACGGTCCGGGTCACATCCGTGGAGAGGCAGCTCTGAGCGTCTCCGGGGACGTGGCCAGTGTTTGACTCAGGGCACCCGGGAAGGCGTGGATGCCCCGGAATCCCTTACTCAGGATCTGCCCGCCGAGGACCTTTTGCCGATAGGCGCCCCCCTCCCCCCCCCCCGCCCCCGGGTTCTGCGGAAAGGTTGCCAGGGCAGTCAGGCTCGGTGTGCTCTGTTGGGGCTGGGGTTGAGAAAGTCTGGCCCGGCAGTGGGGTCACTTGTCACTGAGCGCCCCCGTGAGCCAGGCGTCCTGGGGTGGACACCGATGGGTGCCGTCCCCACGGCTTGGAACGTGGCGAGGTCACGCTGATGGGACGTAAGCCCAGTTTGGGGTGCTCGCCTGTTCTTCCGGGTAGAAGAAAAAATAGCGAGCAAACAAATCATTTTAGAAATAAGTTTTGCAGGTAGAAGCCCTCCGGACATGGGGCCCCTGGAGGCTGGGATCCTGAGGGGTCACGGGAGAGTGAGGCTGGGGACGAGCAGGGGGGATACGGAGGCCACCGCAGGGGGAGGGAGGGGCCCAGAAGCAGGGTAGCTCAGCCTCCCGGCCTGCGACAGTCTTCGTCTGGCTCCAGGAAGGGTTATGCACACCTTCCCTCTGCTGGCCTGTTTTCCCAACAGGATCGACCTTCCGTGCCCCAAAGGCTGGTGGGGGAACCCCGTGTGTGGACCTTGCCACTGTGCTGTCGGCAAGGGCTTCGATCCCGACTGCAACAAGACCAACGGACAGTGTCAGTGCAAGGTGAGGCCCGGCCCGCGGGCGGATGGAAGCCACGTCCCCACCGCCACCTTGGGGAGCCAGCCCCGCGGGATGGGCGAGTGCAGGGACGCGTCTGTTTGGACATAGATACACACACCCATGCGTGCACACACACACACACACACACACCTCGATGTGGACATATATGCACGTGCACACACACATATGTACCTGTGCATGTGCACACACATCCACCTAGACATATACACACGTGTGCTCAAGCCCTAAGCCCCGGGAAATCGTGACTCACCGATGTCCCCGGTACACCTGGGCTGGTCTTTATCCCTGCGCTGGTTTGGCCCGTGGGAACCCGAGTCCTTGGCCCCACGCCCCGCTGGTAACCGGAAACAGTCTCTGAGAGCCTGGCTCACCCTCGCACCACTGCCATTCTCCTACTTCCCTGGTCTTTTATCAAATTTCCTCTCCGCGATGGCTGTAAGTTTTAATCTATGAAAAGCTTTGGGGCGCCTGGGGGGCTCAGTCAGTTAAGCGTCTGACTTCAGCCAGGTCACGATCTCGCGGTCCGTGGGTTCGAGCCCCGCATTGGGCTCTGTGCTGATGGCTCAGAGCCTGGAGCCTGCTTCCGATTCTGTGTCTCCCTCTCTCTCTGCCCCTCCTCCGTTCATGCTCTGTCTCTCTCTGTCCCAAAAATAAATAAATGTCTAAAAATATTTTTTGAACTATGAAAAGCTTTGCCTGCACCCCACCTGGGGTGTCTGTCATTCTCCTGCACGGTGCAGTCACCTCGTGGTGCCACTCTGCCACAGTGCTCTCGGGACAGCCCGTGGGAGACCCCCCGCCCCCCCCCCCACCCCCACCCCGGGTGTCCTGGAAAATGCCACGCACCTTCAGAATCGTGTCTACACTGCTATGTCGAGCCGCTGGTCACTTGAAACCCAGAGGAGAGATCTGCCCCCCTTGATGAAGGTCGCAACTGCCAGGGCGTAGGGTTGTGCCCACCCAGGGAGGGAAATGGCCGTCATGGGTACTCTTGGCCGTTTAACATCAGTAACGTCCCCCGTGCACCATGGTGCTTCCAAAAACCGAACGCTGTCTCCTGAAACGCTTACATCTGCTCCAGGCGGAGCAGGTCAGGACCGGGCCAACCTCATGGAGCCAGACTGGGTGGGTCATCTGTGGGAGGAAGGTGGGGAGGGTATTTGGGAAAAATGTACCTGGGATTTGTTCTCATCAGAAATTACAGAAAATGCACAACAGTATCTAAAAGGTGACGGTGACACCCATCTCCCCTCCGGGGGCGACTGCTAACATTCTAGGGCCTTCTCCAAGGCACTAAAACACACACAGTGGGGACAGTTCCACGCTCCTTCCTGACACAGGAGCCTGGACACTGGCCGTGGCTCTGCCCAAGTCACAGCCCCATTCCAGTCTTCAGCGGGGACGCTCGAGTGACCTGGCAAGGGCAGCGTGGCCAGTCAAAGCCTGGATGGGCACAAACCCAGGACCTTGCAGTCTGAAGCCCATGCTCTTGGCCGTCACCCTGACCTGCCCAGTGGTGGACACTAGGTGGCTTCTGGTTTCCCTCGGTTAAAAAAGACGTTGCAAGGGCCATCCTTGTCCTTCAATCTCCATTGGAATCCAGTATTTTCTAGGACAGATAGGCAGGCTTCCCACAAGTCTTTGCTAAGAAGTTAGAAGGGTGCTTTCCTGGAGACTGCACCTGCCCGTCCGCCATGGCGGGCGCCCAGGAAGCCCCCGGCGGGGGGATGTGGGTGGAGGGCAGCAGAGAGAGGCCCAGGAACCGCGCTGTAACGTTGACGTGCTCCGGAAGAATCGAGGTGTAGAGCCCCGCCCGTGTGCGGAGTCCCACGCACGGCTTCTGGCTTTCGCAGGAGAATTACTACAGGCCCCCGGACCAGGATGCCTGCCTGCCGTGCGACTGCTTCCCGCACGGCTCCCACAGCCGCGCCTGCGACATGGACACTGGGCAGTGCGTCTGCAAGTCGGGCGTCATCGGCCGTCAGTGCAACCGCTGTGACAACCCTTTTGCCGAGGTCACCATGCTCGGCTGTGAAGGTCCGAGCTGCCCCTTGGACCCCTCGGGCCACGTCGCAGGGACAGGCTGCTGGGCGTGTGTGTGCGTGCGTCCACGTGTGCACAGAAGACTCCCGGGGCTTGGGGAGGGTCGGCAGCCTCCCGGCCTGCCTGTGTCCGCAGGAGCTTCAGGTGACCTGGCCCTCGCGGAGGGCATGGGTCAGAGCCAGGGCCCCGCCCTCCCACGTTCTCACGCCGATGAGGGAAAGTGCAGGGGTCCGGTTCTCGACACGGGTGCAGCATGTGGGGCGCTGTGCACCCTCGCGGCCACGGCCATGGCCACGCCCGGCTGAGTGGCCTTCTTTCCCCCGTCCTCCAGTGATCTACAATGGGTGTCCCAGAGCATTCGAGGCCGGCATCTGGTGGCCGCAGACCAAGTTCGGGCAGCCGGCCGCGGTGCAGTGCCCCAAGGGATCCACGGGTAAGTGCCTTGGCCTGTGGCATCCATTCCAGGCAGGAAATTGGTCGAGGCACGTGGCTTACGGGAGACTTGGCCGAAGCATGGGGACTCACGGGACGTTCCGCGTTGACGAAATTTTGTTCCCTGAACCGTCAGTGGCGAAAGCTGGAAGGGCCGTAACGCAGACACGAAGGGCACAGTGGCCGGGATCGGGCAGGCTGTGTCGCTGTTCCCAGCGCTGGGTTCTCTGTCATATGGGGGTGGGAGCCGCGTCCGCGCCCCGAGGGGGGGGTCGGGAGGTCCAGTGAGACCACGCATCAGAGTCGGATTCGCAGCAGGCGTGCAGACAGACGGACGGACGCTCGTCATTTGGCAAACGACGGAGCCGATTTCTCTTGTCGTGGACTTGCTCACATGTTTGCTCCTAATCGCTGGGCGGCCCACGTGGCCCCTGGCATGAGGGGAGAGAGGTTGGGAGGGCCTCTGGCCGTGGCACCTGCCTGGCCCCGGCCCCACCCAGGGCTGTGCTTCACTCCTGGAGCTCACGTCCCCGCTGAACAGACGGGATTTGCGTGCATTCAGGTAAACGAGCGTAATTAACAATTGGAATTTCAGGGTTTCCTCTCTGTTCCCCGTTCCCCAGGGAATGCAGTCCGGCACTGCAGTGGGGAGAAGGGCTGGCTGCCCCCGGACCTCTTCAACTGCACCACTGTCTCCTTTGTGGAGCTCAAAGCCATGGTAGGCCGGGCCTCGGGGGGTGGGGGGCGGGGGGGCACGCAGTGGGGTCAGGAGAGGGGGCAGGTGCGAGGCCTCCGCATCGCCCCAGCCAGGGGCTGGGCATGGCTTGGGCGCATCAGCGCCCACGTCTGTTCTGGGCACCCACAGCCGGGCGTGGCTGCTCCTCCCGTCGAGGCCAACCCCGCGCCTAGATCTGGAAACGCGGAGTCCCCACATTCCGGTCCCCTGCCCCCGATCTCGCCTGTTTGTCCCCGCGTCTCGCTCTTTGTTCTTCCCTTGGTGGTCTCTTTCCAGCGCCTTTTGGCCTGACAGCCCCTCCTTTCTGGTTCCATAGTTAACGACCAAAGTTCGTTTTGGGGTTTTGGACTTTTAAAGTCCTCGTCTGACGAGGAAGCTTTTACCGGAAGGGAACAGATTTCTGAGTGACAGGAAGGAGCAAAGCAGCCATGGCAGCTGTGCAGACGTCTCGGGTGCCCCCCCCCCTTTCCAGAATGAGAAGCTGAGTCGTAACGAGACGCAGATGGACGGCGAGCGGTCCCTGTGGCTGGCCAGGGCGCTCCGGAACGCCACACAGCACGCGGGCGCGCTTTTCGGCAACGACGTGCGGACGGCCTACCAGCTGCTGGGCCGCGTGCTGCTGCACGAGAGCGGCCAGCAGGGCTTCGAGCTGGCGGCCACGCGGGACGCCCACTTCCACGAGGTGAGGCCGTGGAGCAGGGAGCCCTCGGGGAGGCCCCGCAGGCCGTGGACGCGCCTGGGCCCAGGCGTCCTGCGGGGTTGGCGGGTGGCCCGGGTCTGCCCTCAGCCGTTCAGGGTCGCCGCACCCGGCATCCCCAGGGCAAAACTTCACTTTCCGCGCCTGAGCCGGCACAGGGACCCGTGAGACCGATGGCAGGTGTTAGGGGCATTTTGGTGAGGGCACGGGCGGGTCACGGTCTCGGTCGTGGGGACAGTCACGGCTGCCGACCACTAACCACTCAGTACCCGCGTTCCGTGTGGTTTAGTGACTCGGCCCCTCACGCCGACATCCCGTAATGTAGCATAGTTACTGCCGCGTTTTACAAGTAAGGAAACTGAGGCAGAGAGCACCAAGGGCACGTAGCCTGTAAGGGGGCTCCAGAGTCTGTGCTTCCACCTCGAGGGCCTGCTTTCCAAGGACACGATGTCTCCTACGAAGCACGTCCTGTTTTCTGTTTGAGTAACTGGCCCCTAAGTAACGTTTGCTTAGAGCGGTGGGTGAGGAGACGCTCATTCGTCCCGACGTTTGTAAAGTGCCGGGCGGTGAGCAGTGTCACCCGTGCTTCCTCCGGACTCCTCTCCAGACCTCCCCATCCTACAGAGCCCCCGGGGATCCTCTCATCCTCACGGAGCCCCCAGGGAACCTCTCCATCCGTAGCAAGGCAGGGCCCCCTTGATTGCATTTCAGTCTGAGCCCCAGTTTGGGCCGATGGAATTCGTTCTTATTTCTGAGTCTTTGCAAAAAGAAGTTCCCCTCCTGGTTTTCACCCCAGAGCCCCTGTGGACAGCCCGGGTCACCTAAACCCTGAGACATCGGGGTGGGGGGTCAGGAGTGTCACCACAGGGTAACCCGCTCTGTGTCCTTGGGCCACATCGCTACATGGTCAGCAGAGGGGGCAGCAGGGGGGTGGAGTTCTGATGCAACCCAGGGCCCTCCACGTGCCTTGTCCCCTTGGCGTTGTGGGAGGGACGTGGGACGCCCTCAGCAGGCTTCTCCGTGACACGTGGCTCCTGCCTCTGACACGGAAAACAGGGAGGATGTCTCCCCATCCCTGAGCCTGGGCCGGCCTGGTCTGGGCGAGCTAGAGGCCTTCCTGAGCCGGCGTGCTCCCGGCCACGCCAGTTCGGCCCCGCTCACCGCCTGAGCGCCCTCTGTGTGTCTGTCTGAGCAGGACGTGGTCCGCACGGGCAGTGCCCTCCTGGCCCCGGACACCCAGGCCGCGTGGGAGCAGATCCAGCGGGGCGAGGCGGGCGCCGTGCAGCTGCTGAAGCGCTTCGAGGCCTACTTCGGGAACGTGGCACGAAACGTGCGCAGGACCTACCTGAGGCCCTTCGTCGTCGTCACCGCCAACATGAGTAAGGGCGCCGGCCGCCCGGGTGCGCGCTGTGCTCTGGGCGTGGCCCCTGCTGGGCCGTCTTTAGGGAAGGGTCAACCAGCTGTGTTTCCTCGTCCGCAGAGAGACAGGACCCCCCTCGTCCTGGTGTGTGAACCGGGGAGACGCACACGTCACCCTCGCGCCCAGAGAATGGGGGGCAGCTGAGGTGAAACGCTGCAGGCTGGACCATGGGGGTCCTTCCAGAACTTGGCTCTGAGGCTGTCTAGGGAAGCGGGTGTGGGGTCTGCCTGCAGGCCCAGCCCTCCGGGCTCACCCCGGGGGGCGCGGACCCAGGGAAGGACGGGGGGGGGGGGGGGGCAGTCTGGCCAGGCACCTGGTGATGGGGGAGCATCTGTCTGCCCTTCCCGAGTCGGGGGCTGAAGGTCAACAGAGCAAATACCTCACGAACTGAGTCACCCTAGCGCCCAGGACGGGCCATTCTGAGGTCCGAGGGTTTAAACGCTTCCTTCATGGGGAGCAAGGCCCCCTGCACACCCACCTAGACAGAGCTGGCAAGCCCCTGGGCGGGGGCCGTCTCCCTACAGGTGGGGGGCCCTCGTCTCCTCTTGCAAATGTTTATTAACACCCAGGTGGGGGGCACCGGGGCAGCCCTGGGGATTGCTTCACGTATATCTGTCACCGGAAGGGCCTGACTGAGCCTTAACCCCGAAGTGGTGTCCCTGCCGTGAACCCTGGGGCTGACTGGGGAGGGGCCCTCGCACCCTCACCAGATGTTCGTGGGGTCTGACCCTTCCCGAGCCCCCGACTCGGCCTGCCCTGTGCCGGGGTGGAGGCGGGCTCAGGACCCCGGCACCACTAGGGGCATGGAAGAAGGGTGAATGTGCTGGGCGTTCTTGTGTCTGTATGAAGGGGCAGGAGTGGACTCGGGGCGGGAGCCCAGCCCTTGCTTGTGTGGGTGGCGGGCGATCCCCCCTTCATACCAGGGGGTGTTGAACCAGACAGACGGCTCAGTGGGCTGACTTTGGGGGTCGCCCCGGGGCACCCGGGGTAGCTGTGGCCTGTTGGTCGCCAGGCCCCTCACTGCAGAGGAGACCAGCACCAACAGAGAGGCGCCCCAACAGCCTCAGTCTTGACAGTGTCCGAGAGCAAACAGGAGCCCGTAGCCCTGGGGTCCTGTCTCTGCCAGACGGGGAGACAGTTCCGGTTTCTCTTGCCTCCGCGGCAATCTGTCCGTGTAACCTGCAAGGCACAGTAGCTGCAGGGGTGACACGTCATGGCGGGGGAGGCAGGAGGTGACTCTGCTCAGGTCCCCCCACTTCTGCACCACGCTGCACCCGAGACCCCAGCCAGACGGTCCCCAGCGCCCCGTGATTTCTGACTTCACGTGCAGCCCTCGCGCTCTGTAACTCTTGGCGGGTTTAAAGAACGCGGAAAACTACCAGTAGATTCTGTCTGAAAGATCAGCGGTCGGGGCCGCGGCTCCGCGGTTTGGAAAGGGTGACGGTCGAGGGAGCTGTCGGTGGCGGGAGTGGGGGATGGATGACAAGGGTGGCCTGTCCCCACAGTTCTTGCCGTGGACGTCTTCGACACGTTCAACTTCACGGGAGCCAGGGTGCCGCGGTTCGAGGACGTTCGTGACGAGTTCCCGAAGGAGTTAGAGTCCTCTGTGTTCTTCTCGGCCGACTTCTTCAGACCCCCCGACAGGAAAGGTAGAGCCCCGCAGACACCGTGGCTGCCCTTGGGGGGTCCCCCTTGCAGGAGTGGGGGGGGGCTCCTCCCAAGGTCCTGCGACAGCGAGCAAGACGGTTCTCGGTAGCAAAGCGTGTTGTGTGGGTTTGCGGCACAGGCCTACCCTGAGTCGGGGAGCCGGGCGCGGGGCGGTGGCTGGGGTCAGACCCCAGTGGCCGCGGTGGGTCATTTCTTTTTTTTTTAAATTCTTTTTAATGTTTATTTAGTTTTGAGAGAGAGCACAAGCAGGGAAGGGGCAGAGAGCGAGGGAGACACAGAATCCAAAGCAGGCTCCAGGCTCCGAGCTGTCGGCACAGAGCCCGACGCGGGGCTCGAACTCACGAACAGTGAGATCATGACCTGAGCCGAGGTCGGATGCTCAACCGACTGAGCCACCCAGGAGCCCCCGTGGTGGGTCATTTCTTACAGATACTTGGCTCATTCGTGGCAGGATACACGAGAGAGTGCTTAGGTTGTGTGTGAGCTGTTCTACCCCGACGTACAGGGAAAAGCTGTCGGTAAAATCTTAGAATCCACCCGCCCCCCAAAAAGCAAGCCAATTCTTCAGTCCTGGCTTAGGGTTATTTACCAAAAGGCTTAAACATTTGGAACTTCCTTGAAGTATTTTTCACCGATGCACTCCAGATACGTCTCAAAATACAGGGGACTCGTGACATTCTGTAACGGCGAATTTAAAATCTGGAATGTTTTTGGTAAATTAGTTTTGTCAGTTCTGTGGTATTATTTATTATTCAAGTGCCAAATTTTTTCTTATTATTGACTTTTTTTAAACGTGTATTTTTGAGAGACAGAAACAGAGCATGAGCGAGGGAGGGGCAGAGAGTGAGGGAGACACAGAATCGGAAGCGGGCTGCAGGCTCCTAGCTGTCAGCACAGAGCCCGACGCGGGGCTCAAACCCATAAACCGTGAGATCATGCCCTGAGCCGAAGTCGGATGCTTAACTGCCTGAGCCACCCAGGTCCTCTGATGTAGGGTCCACCTTGACACTGACCCCACCTTTCAAATAATTTGGGACCCATTTGGGTTTCCAGCTCTCAGCAGTTTGTCCACAGCTGTCCTCGGAAGGGACGTGTACATATACCTGTGAACGTGGTGTCTTACCTTGCCCTAAAAAAGCAGGCTCTTTCTCTGACATCGTCAGTGTTTCTGCTTCTGGACTGACCCCTGGGTCATCCTCTCTCTGGGAGCCTGTGGCATCAGGAGTGGACACGCGGAGCCTAATTGGCTTTAGAAGGTCCCGTGAGAGAAGCTTCTGGCGCCTGCTGCCCTCCTGGCCTTGGGACAGCCGCCAGCTGATGCGCAGGTCCCCTTGGCCCCGCACGTGGTGTCTTATTCAACTCGTAGGTTAGCCACACCACCAGCCCGCAGTAAACTCTGCCAATTCTTCTGCTGATGACAAGACTCAGCCCCTGGCTCCTGTGACCTCCCTTGCCCTCCGGTTTCTGCAAACACCTGGCTCACCACGTGGCAGAGAAAAGTATCCTAAGCTCCTGTAGCCAAAAATGAGGGCGGGTCTCCCGGGGGGAGAGCTTACAGGAGGTGGAGGGGGTGCAGCCCAGCCCCCCAGCCCCTTGGTGTCCCACTGTCTGCTTCTGTCCCTCCTGGAAGACCGTCTTCCTCGCCTACAGGACGATGACTTAGATGGAGCCCTAGGGTTTGGCTCCGAGGCCTGGCCTCTGCCCACCTTTCACCCGCCGCCTCGGCCTTGCCAGCCTGACTAAGACACTGACCTTCCCACCTTGGCCCCAATCTTTCTTTGCCTTGACTGCCCCCTAGGCGGGCTTTTGGCCCAGCTCTGGACTCTGGGCCCCTTTTGTCCCCATGCCATGACCCACCCTTGGCCCAGATGCCTTGCCCAAGGGGAGCCTCTGGGACCCACCTGCTAGCCGGCTGGTTAGTTAGAGATGCAGAGAGCCAGTCAAGTCGTAGGAGAATCTGAGGCTTTGGAGCCAGCCAGTCACGGAGGCCCAGAGCAGACACTGGGAAGGGGCGGGACGCTCCCAGGAGGCCACCGTGACCCGGGACGCTGTCCAGTGCACCCGGCGGCCTCTAGTGTGATGCAGTGCTCCCCAGAGGCAGCAGCCCTGCTGGAGGAGGAGGACAGAGCCCTGGCGAGCCTCTGCTGGCAGCCGGACCGTCTCCTGCTTCCGGAAGCAACTAGAAGAGAGGCGGCAGGCAGGACCAGGGGGAACTGAGTCAGCATGTTTATTTGGTGCCCACTCCATGGGGTCGTCCAGGAGTGAAGTCCTCGTGAATGTTCTTGCTGTGTGAAGATAGTCACATCCGTCCAGGTCAAGTCTGAGCCCTGGGAGGGCATCCGGCTCTCGGGTGGAGGCCCCAGGCAGGGTCACCCAGCCTGGGGGAGCGCCTGGCCCTCTCGCTCAGAGAACCCCGCAGCCGGCACTGCCCTCCCCCCCACCCAGAGGAGGAGCTGGGGGCGGCTCAGGTGGGTGACCAGTGTGCCACAGCAGGCAGAGTGGGTGGTAAGGCCCTGCAGCTGGCCCGGTGAGGAGGCCCGGCCTCGGCCTCCTGCGCTGACCTTCCGGAAAGCCACTCAGTGCACACCTCGGAAAACAGTGACCTTCGAGACACTGGGAGCCTCCTGCCCTGCCCGACCCCAAAGCCAATGTCACTGAGCAGCCTGAATGGGACTAAACAGTGCTGCGAAGCAGTCAGTGACCCTGGGCGGGGTCAGGAGGTTGAAGGTGCCCTCTCAGAGGGCCAGACATCGGTCGGTCAGATGGCAGTCTGCCGGGATGAGTTACCTGTTCTGGGCTGGGGCCTTTCCGTGTGCAGTGTCCCCCTCCAGGGGTGGCAGGGATGAGACCCGCCCCCACCGCACCTCGTGGCCCCTCCACAGGCTTGTCTCCCGGGGCTCTGCCCCTCCCAGAACCCCTGCCCTCAGGGCTTGGCCCTCCTGTCTCCCTGGAGCCCGTGCTCAAGACACGCTCAGTGCTGGGCGGTCTGGATGTCTGCAGGGGTGACGTGTGCACCAGATGCTGCCAGGAGCATTTTGTCAGTCGTTGAGAATGTGGGCGAGTGTGGCCAGGTTCACAGGGCATCGGAGGGGAGTGTCCCTCTGCCGGTGGGACAGGCAGGGCCGATAGCCCCTCCTGTGACCCCGTGTGGACACTGGGACTGGGGAAGGTTTGGACCAGGGTCTCTGGCACCCGTGGTTCCATGCCGCAGGTGGTGGCAAGAAATTGTAAGCGTCTACGCCCCCATAATACGTGTGTTGACTTATTGACGTGGTCTGTACCTGACGTCTTGCATCCCTGGAGCACGTATGACCTAAAACATGCCCGTGAGTCACATGGGATAAAAGTGTGGGACGCAGACCCACACGAACGGCACCCTGTCCCTCCCGCATGCTTGTGGGGCAGCCCTGGCAGAGACCCCTGCCCCCGGGGGAAGGGATCAGCCGTCAGCATGTGATACTTTGAAATATACGTAAAACGTACTGCCCTAAGCACCCTTGGGTGCAGAGTTCAAGCTGCGTTCTGTCCGTCCGCACTCGTGCAGCTGCCGTCACCCTGAGCCCTGGAACCTTCACCTTGTGTCTCCCCACGAGACACTGAGGCCCCGGCCCCCCGGAGCCCCCCTTGTACTGGCTGTGTATTTCCCGGTGCCCACGGACAGGGAATCGCGCAGTACTTGGCTTCTCCCTCCGAGCATCGTGTGGTCCGGGCTGGTCCACGTGGTGGCAGCTGGTGGTACTTTATTCCCCCGTGAGGCCGAAGCCTGTCCCGCCGTGGGTACAGAGCACGTCTGGGACCGAGAGTGTTCCCTGCCTTGGCGCTTCAGGGCACGTGCCCGGAAGTGGGGTGGCGGGGTCACGTGGGGCTCCGTGGTAAACCTTTTGAGGAGCCACCTGCTGTCTTCCCCTGAAATCTCAGATTTCAGGCAGCGCTTACTCGCGTAGGACGCGGTTTGTGGGGGACACAGGCGTCTGGCCCCCATCCTCACAATCTGCTTCGTTGCAGAGGGCCCCACGGTGAGGCCGGCCGGCCGGAAGGCCGCCCCGCAGACGGCGCCCCTGGGGCCCGGAACCGAGAGGGAGGCCCCGTTCAGGAGGCGCAAGAGGCACCCCGATGAGCCGGGCCGGTTCGCCGTCGCCCTGGTCATCATCTACCGGACCCTGGGGCAGCTCCTGCCCGAGCACTATGACCCTGACCGCCGCAGCCTCCGGTAAGGCTTTCCTAAGTTGCCACCCAGACGTCTGAGGACGTCACCCCGTGACCCTGGTGCAAGGCCGCAGACCGCTACCTGCGGTCTCCCGGGGACAAGGTTCTGGGTGTCCGGGCGGGGCCTTCCCTGGTGTTTCTGCCGGGAGCGCCCCCTCCCCAGCACACACCCCGCTCGTGCCTCGATGGACACCGTTGCTGCCCTGCGCTCCGCAGCCCGGGGGACTGTTCCCCCCGCACCCGTGTGCCCTGGGCCGCCGGTGGCCCCCCCTTCTGCCTGGAGAAACGAACACCGCCCACGGGGGCTTCGTGGCCCCCCTCAGAGCTGGGCCACCACCGAGGCTTTGCTTTCCAACCGTCGAGTCATTCTCCACACGTGTCCCTGGCTCCCCGGTGTTCATACTCCTCCTTCTTCGTGGCCGGATGAGATTCTGCCATGAGGTGTAATTATTCCGAGCTCCGGTCGTTTCCAGGGCTTCCACAAGGTCAGCGACACCCTCGCACACACCCCTTCTTTCTTTTCATTTTAATTTATTTAAAAAAATTATTTTTAATGTTTATTTATTTTTGAGACAGAGAGACAGAGTGTGAGCAGGGGAGGGGCAGAGAGAGGGGGAGACACAGAATCGGAAGCAGGCTCCAGGCTCCGAGCTGTCCGCACAGAGCCCGACGCGGGGCCTGAACCCACGAACTGCGAGATCGTGACCTGAGCCGAAGTCGGGCGCTCAACTGAGCCACCCAGGCGCCCCATCTTTCTCTTCATTTTTAAATGTCCGAAGTCCGCCTCTGACCCAGATGTGCCGCCCACGTCCCCCGCATCTGCCCTGGCCGTCGCAGAGCTGCTGCCTGGCCCGGGCCCTTCTCCGGAGCAGCGGCCGAGGCTCCAGCTCTGCCCTCCTGGGAAGACGTCCGCCCCGTGTGACCCTGGGGCGTATCCTTGGGTACAGGGCTTAGACGAGTGTCTTCTGAGTGTCTAACCCTGTGTTCCCACTTCTCTCCCCGCCCCCAGGTTGCCTAACCGGCCGGTCATTAACACACCAGTGGTGAGCGCCGTGGTTTACAGCGAGGGGGCCCCGCTCCCCAGCCCCCTGGAGAGGCCCGTCCTGGTGGAGCACACCCTGCTGGAGACCGAGGAGCGCACCAAGCCCGTCTGTGTGTTCTGGAACCACTCCATCACGTAAGGGTGACGCGAGGAGTCGGCAGCCACCCCCACCCCCAGAGTTCTGCGTTTATGGGGGGGGGGTCATTGCTACAGCCCCCAACACTGTTGGCAGAGTGTCTTACGGGGCAGGAGGCGCATCCTGGGGGTGTCAGAGTCCCCAACACAGTCCCACATACGCACGTGCACATCTGTGTGTGCACGGATGTACGCGGCTAGGAACACAGACAGGCACCCGTGTGCACCCGTGCGCACAGATGCTCATAGACCCCCGGGAAGGTCCACACAGAGACAGCGCCATGCACCTGTTGGACTCCGCGATCCGGCAGCCAACGAGTGCCTGATCGCCTCCAGACGAGGCAGGGGCTTGTTCTAGACACGCATACGAGGCAGGAGTCAGAGACCGGGCCCAGGGCCCCTTCCACCGACAGCAGAAAGTCCCAGATGTGTGTGGGGGGGTTGTTGGGGGCATCCTTTTAACAGCCAGCGGTCCCCGACCTCACCTGCCCGCCCGTGAGATCAACCCAGCTGCCGCTGGGGCTGCTTTTACCCCTCAGAGGCCACCCCCCCCCCCCCCCCCCGCCTCCATGCTTGAAACGAGGATGGAATTTTGTGCATCTGGGGGTTTGTTTCTGCGCCTCGCGGACATTCCCTAACGTCGTGGTTCACGTGGATGGAGAAGGTGTCCGCCAGGCAGGGCTCCAGCCGCGCTGTGCTGGGAGCTGGTCCCCAGGGAGAGCCCTTGCAAGGGGCTCCCCCTGGGCCACGGGCTCGGCTGCACAGAGACCTCGTGTCTCCTTGATTTCCCAAATTCTGGTTAATGAGCAGCCAGCATCGTGTCTGGAGTATAATAGACGCTTGGCTCACAAAAGAGAGAAAGAAGGACCCGCTTTCACCGCGAGGGAAGCGTGAAGGTCTGTTTGGCATGTGTTAGGCATGGCAGTCTCTCATGGTCGCCCGATTGAATCCCAGCAATTAGCTATAGCTCTAATTACACTCTGGCTGCTTTCTGTGGTACCTATCACCCCCAGATCTTAGCGCTCTTGACAAACTTGTATTAGCCTTCACATCCCATTTCACAGGTGAGTAAACTAAGGATCAGAGAACTTACTTGATTTTCCCAGAGTCAGGGAGGGCAGGGCGCTCTCTGAGCCTGAGACACGCCTGTAGCAGCCCGTAGTCATCTGGGGTTTCCCATCAGTAAAACGGGGGTAATAATCGGCCCCTGCTTCCAGGCGCTGCCGTAAGACGTTGTGCAATCTGCAGATGAGAGCATAAAACGAACGTGAGACACTATTTCGCAAACCACCTAGACTCAAGAGAAGACAGAAGTACAAAGCGGCCATTGTAACCACTATTATTTCTGACAAAAGGGGCGTCCGGTGACCTCAGACATCCCCATTTAAGTTTTACTGCGAGATGATGCATAAACCATGAACTTCAGAGGGTAGAGGCACTCCCCCGCCACGAGAGGGAAGGGAGAGTGTCCATGCGGTCCCAAGGGCTGCTGTCCTCCTAGAGGGTGACCGTGGCTTCTGTCTCGGGCGACGTGAGGATGCCGCGCGGGCTCCCACGGGGGCAGCTGGGCCTCGGAGACCCCCTGGAGGAAGCAGCCGTCTCACGCCTGCCTTTCCTCTGCAGCATCGGCGGGACTGGAGGGTGGTCGGCCAAGGGCTGCGAACTTCTGTCCCGGAACCGGACCCACGTCATCTGCCAGTGCAGTCACACCACCAGCTTTGCCGTGCTCATGGATGTCTCCAGACGAGAGGTGGGCGCGGCCCCCACGGGCAGCCCTGCCCACCTGGCGAGTGTGTCCAGGGATGAATCCCTTTGCACAGCTAGCCTCCCCCCAGACCTGCCCCCTCAACGAGTCCTATCTTCCCTCCCGGGCATCTCCAACAAACCCAGTCCACGGTTAAAACCTGTGTTTGGGGGGGGCTGGCCAGAGTCTGCCAGGATTTCCAGAACAAAACTCCTCGGAAAGAGTTTTCAAAGAGCCCGGCTGTAAATTAAAACCCACGGTGGGAGACCCTGAGCCTCAGACTGAAGAAGGCCCTAGAATATACCCTTACTTCAAAGCAGGATTCTCCATGTTTTTCTACCCCACTTTATTTTACTTTATTTTTAATGTTTATTTTTGAGAGAGAGAAGGTGGGGAGGGAGAGAGCGCACATGTGAGCAGGGGAGAGGGGCAGAGAGAGGGGGCACAGAATCCGAAGCAGGCTCCAGGCTCCGAGCCGTCAGCACAGAGCCCGGCGAGGGTCTCGAACCTGCAAACCGCGAGATTGTGACCTGAGCCGAAGTCAGACACTTAACCGACTGAGCCACCCAGGCGCCCCTATAAAGTTTTTTTTAATGGATGTTTATTTTTGAGAGACAGAGACAGAGCACAAGCAGGGGAGGGGCAGAGAGAGAGGGAGACACAGAATCGGAAGCAGGCTCCAGGTTCCGAGCCGTCAGCACAGAGCCCGATGAGGGGCTCGAACCCGCGAACCGTGAGATCGTGGCCTGAACTGAAGTCAGACACTTACCCGCCTGAGCCACCCAGGCGCCCCTGTTTCTACCCCACCTTAAATTTTAAGGGAAGAAAGAGCCGGCTGGCCGGAACAAAGCGAGTGTCTCCCGTTAGCACGAGACATGCGTGCTGGCCCCGGAGACTCAAAGGAGGGGGCTCGGTCAGGAGCCACGGAGGCCGGCTGATGTTTAACCTCCTCGCATTTTCCACGGCCTGGGAATGCAAGCCGGCCTCTGCCAGCCTGAGGGTGGATGGGGTGAATAGAGCAGCGGGCCCCCTGGCAGGCATGGCAGCGAGGTCAGCCTGGGCCCGGACGTGTGTAGACGTTGGTGTCTCGGAGCCAGAAGGGAGGCCTCACCTGTCACCTTTGTTTCAGACCTGGGATGTGTCCTGGGAGGCCAGGCCGTTGTCCCTCCCGAGGGCCCTCTGGCGTGCAGGGGACCAAATTTGTGTCCCACTGTTGGGAGGGTAACAGCCGTGAGTTGCTGCTGATGGCGGCCAGGGTGACAAGAGGGGAGGGTGTGCCCCCAAGCCTTCCCCTGACCGTGGAGCTGCTCTGAGCAGGTGGCACTTAGGAGCAGGGAGCCCTGGGTTCTGACCTGGAGGGGGTGTGTTATTAGTGGCCCTTGTCCACCTAGGGGCGGGATGGGGGGGACCTCCCCGAGCCAGGAAGCTGGGCACTGCCGGAGCAGACTAACAGGTGGGGAAAGCCGAAGTTCGGGGACATGAAGTCAAATGGGAATAGGACTCCCTGCTCCCTGCCCCGGTGCCTCAGGGCCAGAGCCCTCTCGACAGCCGGGCGCAGCCTCCGGGCCTCCCCAGTGCTGCACCTGCACGGGCCGCAGAAGGAGAGAGCCCTGAGCCCTCAGCGCCCCGGTCCCAACCCTGTCCCGGCTCCCAGCCTTACCCTGGGTGGCCCGGCTCGCAATTCTGTTCGAGTCGTGAGTTCAGAACGCTTTCCGGAAGTTACTGGAGAGCCGAAGCTGGTCGTTTCCCGAGTGCCAAGACTCCGCCCGGGCACCGGGCCCTGGACAAACGGCCCGTTTTGCAGAAGCACAGGAGACAGTTGCAGTCCGTGCCGCTGGGGCACATCTGCCTGCTGCGTAAAGTGAGGGTCTGTCTGGAAGAAGTCCCTCTCGGCTCAGAATTTGGGGCAGGCGGGCTCCGCACCTCCTGGAGAGTCGGATTTACGTGCGAGGGTTTCTGTTTCATCTGCGCTCGTGGTTCTTATGATGGCAAAACACACACAACAGGTGCACTGCCTTAGCCACGTTTAAGTGGACCGTCCATTCACCGAGCTGTGCCCCCACCTCCCCGTCCCCTTTTGCCCACCACCCCCCAGCGATTCATTTGGCTTTTGTCCTCAGTTCTTCGCCAGCCTGGGAACCACGTCACGGCCGCGTTGGTTCCTGTCCGTGATAGTCGCTACGTTAATGAGCCTTTACTGTCCAAAACCTCCATCAGAGCGAGGCCCTTACGTTCTCCTGCCTCGCCCCACCTGCCCGCAGCACGGGGAGGTCCTGCCCCTGAAGATCGTCACCTACGCTGCCGTGTCCTTGTCCCTGACCGCCCTGCTGGTGGCCTTCGTCCTCCTCACGCTGGTGCGGACTCTGCGCTCCAACCTGCATGGCATTCACAGGAACCTCATCGGAGCCTTGTTCTTCTCCCAGCTGGTCTTCGTGATCGGGATCACCCAGACCGGAAACCCGGTGAGGCCCCTCTGCCCCCTCTCCTTGCGGGTCCCACCCTTCTCCGAGGCCGGGGCACGTAACTCGCGAAGGAGCGAGGGGAAGTGGCCGCAGCGCAGACGCTGAGTGGGTTGGCCTGGAGGGAGGAGGGAGAGTGGGAGGTGAGCTGAGGCTAGCGGGGGCCCAGGGCTGGTGGCCTTCTGCAGGATGCGAGAGAGCTTAGCCCCCGACATGTCGGGGTGGAGGGAGGGACGGGCTGCCGGCCTCGGCAAGGTCCCCGGGGGCTGGGGTGGGGATCAGCCGACGGGACAGGTAGTAGGGAGAAGCACAGGGAATCTTGGAGGTTTGTGGCTTAGGCAGCGCCTGGCTGGGGGCAAAGCAGTTTCCCGTTTCTACAAAGGGGACTTGTAGAACGCCAGGGTCACAGCACAGCATGCCCACGGGGGGCACGGGTGGAGGTGTAGGCTGTGTGCCCAGGCTCTACACACACGCCTGGGCTTACTGGATCCCCCCGGGGCCCCGGGAGTTGGGGGCATCCCTTCTCACAGGTGAGGAGCCAGGACCCGAGAGCTTGAGGGACGGTCGGAGGCACACGGCACGCCCTGTGCGTGTTCCCTTGTGTGTCCGTCACAAAGTGGGGACCCTGATAGCCCTGGGGAGACGCGAGGCCAGCTGAGCACCACACGTGCAGATGCAGCGAGGGTGGGAAGCGCACAGGTTATTCTCGCCTGACCCCGATCTCTGCCAGGGCGAGCCGTGAGCCCTCACTCTCTCTCACTGGGCCCTTCCGAGGGCACCGTCACCAATTGTTGGTGACATGGGGGCCGCTTCTTCATTCCCCTTGCAGCAGGGACCTAGCGATTGTCACTCTGTCACACCCACCAGAGACCCGGATCCCACAGGCCCTCCCGTCCCTGCCCGTGGAGCCCACCTTCCCGACATGGACGCAAATCGCGGCTCATGAGTTTCACGTGCCCAAATGGTGCCATGGTGGCAGGTGGGGGGCTGGGCCCGGTTAGGGAAGGGCTGACCATGGCGGTGGGAGGGGTCCAGGATGAGTGGGGACGGGTGGGTGTCGACCGGAGCCCTAGGGGCCACGCCAGGCATTGTGCTGTGGAGAGCCATGACCGGGGCTGCATGGCAGGAAGGTGACCGGAGGGCAGAGTCACAGCCAGGGTGGGGTTGTTTGTCCTGCGTCCACGGGATGGAGGCCTAGCACCAGGACAGCAGGCACGGGGTGGACGGCGGGCGTCGGGGCCAAGTGCACAGAGAGACCGGAGGGAAGGTGCCTTAGGTCTCCAGAAGGGGGACAAGGAGGGGAGGATGCCACCAAATGAGAGGGACGCTCGGTGGCTGGCCACGCCGCTGGGGGCTGGGGAGAGTGTGGAGAGGTGCGTGGGGAGGCGTCCCCGCCCGTGACAAAGAAATGTATGCGAATGGGCCAGCCCTAGCGGAGGAAGAAGGCGTGTATAAAAAGACATAGAATGTTCTAGCCCACTGGTCAGAATGTTCTAGCCCACTTGCATGCCTGGGCTTCTCCTCCTCCTTGTTGAGACCCCCTCAGGCGGCCCGACCTCCTCAGGAGGAAGGGGGGAGGTCGAGGCAGGGTGTCACAGACAGCCTTGAAGGCCTCGGGAACTTCGCGGCGGTGACTCATGTAGCAGCGGGCCCGGCAGAGGACAGACCGCAAGCATTTGCCAGCCTGCCCTCCAGGGTGCCCCTTGGACTGGCGGGAGGGGGGCCCTCCCCCAGGGTGGTGCCGGGCAGTGGTTTCTGGGCATCCGGCCGGGCAGGTGCGCCTCTGCCCCAGCGCAGGTCCTTATCGGCGCATCAGACAGGTGAAGGCTCTGGGTGGGAAGCCACATGACTCATTTCAAGCCCTTCAAGCGTGCCCTTGAGTGGTCTCAGCAGCAGCGGGGAATGTGGAGTCGGCCGAGCCGCACCTTGCAGCTAAGTAGCACATGTGAAACGCAGGGAGGCCACCCGCTTATTTCGCTTATTTCGCGCACTGATTCATCCCCCTGCCTGGAATGAGCTTTCAGCCAGCGGCGCACTGGGGAGCCGGGAGGGCAGGAGTGCCGGCCGCACATAACTAGGGGCCTGGCTCGGCGCCTGGGTTTTATGGGGTTTCTGCAAACTCGCAGGCCCATCTCTGGGCGAGGTGTTTCATCTCCCGGATCACTGGCAGGTTAAAATGATTTATTGTGCGTTAGCATTTTGTCTGTGTTCTGTTTCTGCAGAAGGTAGTACGTTTAGTGCAGAAGTCTGTGCGTGTAGAGCCCCATTAAATTGTGAAATGTATTTCTAACAATTTTTTTTTCAAAAGGTGGTTTTTGTGGGTTTGCTTTTCACCTTATTTAAGGCAACACGCCAGCCCACCTCATTGTCCTTCCTTTTCTGAGCCAACTGTGCTCTGCGTATGGGGCACGCTGGGGCTGTTTGGTGTGGGGTTCCCCTGCCCCGGGCTCACCCTTGGCATCCCGACGGGCTCACCCTTGGCATCCCGACGGCCCTGCCCATCGCTAAGGGCAGACTCTCCCGTCTCCTGACTCTTGAGTCAGGCAAAGGGCAGGATGTCCACTCATAATCTAAGATGCTGTGTTTCCTTCTTTGTCCTGTGTTTGACGAATGTAAATGCCAAAATCGTTTCCTCCCACGTCTCCGGGGTTCAGAAGAACCTGGTCTGTGGAGGTTGACGTGGCAACGGGCGTCACTTATGTGCCCAGCCGGTTCGTGCTCTGGTGAGCTCCCCACGGGGAACACCGAGCTGGCACCTGAGCCGAGCAGCCTTCAGTGTGGGTCAGGGTGGTGGCCCTGTGTCTCCTACTCCTGTGTCTGTTGGGTGGGGTGGGGGTGGGGTCTCCCTGGGACCCCTGGGAACCTGGGAGCTTGTGCTGATGGGGCAGCAGCCAGGATTGGACAGAATGTCTCGGGAATGGGGCGGACTGTGGCCTGGGGGAGGGGTAGTCCTAGCCCTGTAGCCTGGAGTCGGGCCAGGAGGGGCACTGCTGGGTGTGGGTGGGGCCAAGAGTGGGTGGGCCCAAGAGGGGCGGAAAGGAGGGCCCCGGGGACCTGGATGTGGGTGTGGCTGGGAGGGGCGGGGGTGTGGGTGGGGCCAGGAGTGGGGTGGTCGTGGGGGGCGGGGGCTGGGTGTGGGTGGGGCCAAGAAGGGCGGCAGTGGATGGGGCCTGGGTGTGGGTGGGGCCGCGGGGGGTGGGACCAAGGGGGTGGGTGGGGCCTGGATGTGGGTGAGGCAAGGAGTGGGATGCGGCCAAGAGGGGTGGGGTCCTGGGTGTGGGTGGGGCCAGGAGGGCCAGGCCTGGGTGTGGGTGGGGTCAGGAAGAGCAGGGCCTGGGTGTGGGTGGGGCCAAGAGGGGCAAGGGTTGGGGGGGGGCCAAGAGGGCGGAGCCTGGGGCTTTCTCTTCTCGCCCCTTTCACTGTTACCCTCTCCGTAGCGCCTGACCAGCTTCTTAGGACCTGGCGGGGCACCTGCCCACATCTCGCAGCCAGCCGGCCTCCGGACCCCTGGCCAGTTCAGCCCCTCCCTGTGAGGCTGCTCTGGACCAAGGCACAGGGCTGTTCGAGGTCCCTCCTAGAGCACCTCGCACTGCACTTTAACTGGTGGCCTCAGAGACTTGACTCCCTGTGACCAGTGTCCCCAGCCCTTCCCCGATACTGCTTTCTTCCCATTTGAAGGGACACGGGGCTGGCTCACCAAGGCCTGGAGAGGCCGGGATGCTGACCCTCGGCTGCCCTGTGGAAGTTGGTTTTCTCCTCCCACTGGTGGGGGGGGGGGTAGCCCTGCCCAGCTGAGGACTGAAACAGAGCAAATACTCTCGTCTCTGTTCTTTTTGGGAGGCAGGAAGTATATGGCTCCGTGAACTCCGTGCAGGCAGGATGAACTTTTTATCTGACAGGTCACGAAGCGTGGGGCCTCCCCCTCCCTCTGACCACACCTGCTGGACCCTGGAGACCCACACAAGGGTCCAGGGCGGTGGGTGACGGCCAGCATCACAGCCTGAACCGCTGCCTCTGTGCTTCTTGAACTTTAAAGCCAGTGTCACGAACATGCAAGTTTCCAGCTTCAAATGGAAACCCTAGAGGCTCTGCCTACCGTTCGCCCCCTGGCTGTATCGCTCCAGGCACCGATCTGGGTTGAGGAGTAGGTCCCCCGAGGCCCCCAGCAGCCTTACTTCCTGTCCTCTGTTCCACGGTGGGAGCCTGAGGCGCTGTGACTGTTCGTGCCCAGCCATTCCGGGTGAACCAAATAGAAAAACCAACTCACTCGGCTTCCCTTCTCAGACCTCCATACCCTCACGTTTGCAAAGTGGTGTGATTTGGTGACTAGCCCCCCCGCCCTGTGCCCCTTTGGCCCTCGGCCCCAGGCGCGGCAGGCGCGGGCTCCCGCGGGGCTGGCACTGAGCCGCACTCCCTTCCGCACAGTTTCTGTGCACGGTGATCGCCATCGTCCTGCACTACGTCTACATGAGTACCTTCGCCTGGACCTTTGTGGAGAGCCTGCACGTGTACCACATGCTGACCGAGGTGCGCAACATCGACGCCGGGCCCATGAGGTTCTACTACGTCGTGGGCTGGGGCATCCCGGCCATCATCACAGGTGAGGACTCGAGCAGCGGCCCGGCTGGGGTGTCCTGGACAGGGCACCTGCCACCGTTTGGGGAATCCGCGTGGCGCTGCCGACACAGGTGCCCGTGTCAGGTGAGCCCGCGCCCCCGGGCCCAGGCGGACGAGCCCTCTGGCCTCCTCTGCCTTTGGTACCCAGCTCGACTGGCCCCCAGTGGAGGAGCCTCTGCCCTTGGGTCTGCACACACGAGTGTGAGCCTTCGGCGCCCGCTGCGGGGGTGGGCTCCCTGGGAGCTGAGGCGGGTCCATTCGGGCTTCCGTCTGTGGCCCTTGACACACAAAAACTCCATGTCCGCCCGCTGTGTGCACGGCTGGGTGTGGATGTGTGGTCTCTATGTAGCATGTACGTATGTGTGTGTGGTCTGTACGTGGTGTGTGTGCAGGGCTGGGAATGCCCGTCCCGTGACCACGCGCCCCCCGGGAGGGTCCTCTCCCACGTGTGGCCCTCACCCCCTCCCCTGCTGTCCAGGACTCGCGGTGGGCCTGGACCCCCAGGGCTATGGAAACCCCGACTTCTGCTGGCTGTCCCTTCGAGACACCCTCATCTGGAGCTTTGCCGGGCCCATCGGAACGGTTATAATTGTGAGTCTGGGAGTTCCGCAGAGCCCCCGATTCTCGGGACGTGGGAAGTGGGGTGCACGGGCTGGAGGCGGTTTTGGGGGCCAGCGGCTCCTCAGAGTGGCCTGTTGGGCGGGAAGGCCTGATCTCACGGCAACGAGGCCTTGCCCTTAGGCCTGTGGATTCCGGGTTTCCTTCCACGTCCAGGTCCACGGTGAGGCCGCCCATTCCAGCCTCTCCTCGAGATGCAGGCACAGACCCTCCAAAGCATTTGGTCTTTGGAGATCTGTTGAAGTGATACCCACGGGCTGGCCTCCTGACTTTGGTGTTTTTGGAACTTTTTTTTAGGTCAACACAGTCATTTTTGTCCTGTCTGCAAAGGTGGCCTGCCAGAGAAAGCACCATTATTACGAAAGGAAAGGAGTCGTGTAAGTGGGCGCCCACACTGACCCCTGGGGCAGGTCAGCACACCCAGCAGAGCCCCCGGAAAGCGCCCGTCACCCAGCGGCCAGGCCCTTGGCCACTCCCCAGCTTGGCTACTGGGGTGGCCTCGTGGGTGGGTGGGCAGGGCAAAGTGGGGAGAGACCAGGGGCGCTGGGGCGCATTGTGGAGGAGAGGGAGGGGGCCCGGGGAGAGGGGCGCGGGGATCCCGGAGATGTTGGGGCGGAGGACCCGCGGCGTTTGGTGGTCGAGACGCTGAGGGCTGAGGGAGGAGGGGCAAGCGATGAGGCTTGGGCTCTGTCCCCCTCACCCGGGTCATGTTAACAGATGGGGATGGAAAGGGGAGGGACTATGACAGCGGGTGGGGGGAGGTGCCGAGGTGCAGGGCAGGACGCAGCAGAGTGGGGTCAGGCAGGGCGTGGTGGGGGGTGCTCTGGAACTTTCTGGGTCGGTGACGACGGTGATGTTGCGCCCCGCAGGAGTGGAGAGGTGGCGGGTGCTTTAAAATGGTTTTGGGAAGGAAGGGAGGGAGGGGTGGACCAACGGGCGCACCCCTGTGGAGGGGAGGGCGGGGCCGAGAGTCACTCCCGCCCCTCCCCCCGCAGCTCCCTGCTGCGCACCGCCTTCCTCCTGCTGCTGCTCACCAGCGCCACCTGGCTGCTGGGGCTGCTGGCCGTGAACAGCGACGCGCTGACCTTCCACTACCTGTTCGCCGTCTTCAGCTGCTTGCAGGTGGGCGGCCGTCAGGGTGAGCCGGCCAGCCCTGGTGAGGCCACGGGTCACTTGTGCTCCCTCCCGTCTGAAACGCCCGGAGGGCGTCCCCGGGGACATCCTTGACCCAGCGTCCAGGCCGTGTCCTCGCTCTCAGGACACACGGGGCCACAGCAGGGCGGTGTGCCAGGGGTTAGGGTGAAGCCTCCCCGCACACGGTCCCGCCCCCCAAGGAACCTGTTGTCGCCAGCCCAGCTCTGTCCACGGGTTCCTCAGGGACCCCCCCAGGGCACCGTCCTTAGCCCAGCCAGTGTGGGGGCTCATTCTCCCTCCACAGGTTAGAGTAGCTCCCACTTGTGTCCTCAGGGAGGGTGTTGGCCATTTAAGTTCACACCGAGGGCTTTCCAGTAAGCTGACTGAGGATGTCACATTGGGGACACGGGTGGCCTGGCATGGGGGGGCCTTCCTGGCCCTTGGCTGCCCTGCCCTGCTCCCCGGAGCAGGCAGAAGCCCTGGGGAGGGGCGGCGCCCTGTGTGTTCCCGGGCAGGTGGGTAGGCAGTATGGCGGCCACAGGACCCTGGCTGCTTGCCCGAGGGCCAGTCCCTGCCCTGACCGGCCGCCCCTCCCTCCAGGGTCTCTTCGTCCTCCTGTTCCACTGCGTGCTCAACAGGGAGGTCCGGAAGCACCTGAAGGGAGTCCTCGCCGGGAAGAAGCTGCACCCGGATGACTCGGCCACCACGAGGGCCACCCTACTGACGGTAGGCGGTCCCCAGGGACCCTGCGTGGGGCCGGGGGTCCTTGTGGGTGTCCAGACCAAGCGTTAGACACAGCTGCATGGTCTCGGAGTCCCTCTCAGAGGGGGCATCACAGAACCCCCTTGGAGAGTGGCACCGAGCCTGACGCCATCCCTCATGTCCTGGGGAGAGAGCACAGGGTCTCTAGATGGGGTCTGTCACAGTCACAGCCCCACTTTTCAAGGTCTCAGAGGACAGGGTGGGACCCCAACGAGAAGCCGTTGCTGTGGGAAGGAAGCCATTCCCTGACCACCGTGGGGGACTGGGGATGTGCTCTGTGCCCAGCAGGGGCACAGGGTGCTGGCACTGGGGCTTGCCATGGGGACAGAGCCATCCTCTGTACCCCGGTGGCCTCTGCTCTGCCAGTGACCATGTCCCCTCCCCCAGCGCTCCCTCAACTGCAACCACACCTACAGCGAGGAGCCCAACATGTTCCGCACGGCCCTGGGCGAATCCACAGCCTCGCTGGACAGCACCATCAGGTCAGGCTGGAGCCAGGCGTCCTCACTCGTCTCGGGGGGGGGGGCGCCCAACTCTTGGGGCAAATGCAGGCTGCCAGGCCAGCTGGAAAGGCCCCGGCCAGGGTGCTCTGCTGTTGTAGTTGATGAGTTTCTCCGTGTGTTCTCGGGGTCTCTCATGGCAGAGAACCTTCCAGAGCCCCACGGGGCCATCTTGGCACATGCCGAAGGTGCTCAGTGATGTTGGGTGGCCATGTCGTGCCCCTGAGTGATGGTGCTGAGCCCACCCTCTTATGCTCTCTAGGGACGAAGGGGGCCAGAAGCTCAGCGTGTCCTCTGGGCCAGCGCGGGGTGGCCATGGGGAGCCAGATTCGTCCTTTGTCCCCAGGAGCACCAAGAAGCCCCACGGTAGGTGTCCCCTGGAAGCTGGTCCCCCATCAACCTGGGCATCTCCCTCCCAGGTGGCCATGGGTGACAGCTTCTTGCTGGCTCTTGTCTGGCCCACGGGCCTCACGGTCACCGGACGTGCAGCTTCGAAGAGTCTGCGGCCACGTCGCATTCGGAGGGTCAGCGGGGAGACGATTTCTCCCCAGTGCCCGGGGCCCAGCTGGCCCCATTCTGCCCTTGGCCTGAGCCTCTGTCCCTCCCGTCCACCCTGCAGGCCACGATTCAGACTCGGATAGCGAGCTGTCCCTAGATGAGCAAAGCAGCTCTTACGCCTCCTCACGCTCATCGGACAGCGAGGACGATGGGGTGGAGGCCGAGGACAAGTGGGATTCGGCTCGGGGCCCTGTCCACAGCACTCCCAAAGGTGAGCCAGCAGGGCTTAGTGAGCTGGGGGCCGGGGCTTCCCAGGATGCAGCAGTCTGGGAGGGCAGTGGGGGCAGGGGGGCGGGGTGCTGGCCGGGGGAGGGCCCTGTCCTCAACATCTGCAGAGCAGAGGCAGGGAAGTCTGGGGGGGGTGGGGTTCTCTCTGGGGACCCCCACTGCAAGGACTGCACAAGCTGGCCCCCACCGTGCTGCAGGTGCTGGTGTGAGGCTCCAGAGTGTTGGGGTGCCACGGGGGGACTGCAGCCTGGGCCCCCACTGTCAGGACCTTCGCTCCCTGAGCCCCTGGAGGGCGCGCCCCTGTCAGGCCTGCAGCTCCGGGAGGACCGGGCCACTTAGGACGCAGGCTCCCCACGGAGGGACACCGGGGAACCTTCTAGGGGGTGTATGTAGCTGCAAGCCAAGCAGGGACCCTCCCCGCTTGGTGATGGTCCCTCCTGTGCCCCAGCGGACACTGCAGCCAACCACATCCCCGCCGGCTGGCCCAACGAGAGCCTGGCTGGGAGCGACAGTGAGGAGCCTGGTGACAAGCCGCGCCTGAAGGTGGAGACCAAGGTCAGCGTGGAACTGCACCTGGATGAGCAGGGCAACCACTGCAGCGAGTGCCCCCCAGACCAGGAGAGCGGGGGCCCGCCGAGGCCTGCGGGAGTGCCCCCCAACCCGCCCCCTGAGCAGAGAAAAGGTACCTCAGAAGTGGAGAGGGCCCCGTTGTCCCCAGGAAGCCTCTCCTAGCAAAGGGGGCGGGGCGGGGGGGGCGGGATAGGGACGAGGATCGGACAGAAGGGGTATCATCTGGGAGGGGGCGGGGTCCTGGGGGCGGGATGCAGGCTAGGACCAGGACAAGGGGGCTGGGGGGGGGGCGGTGCAGGGAGGGCGGGGGCGGGGGCGGGGCCCGGGAGGGGCTGGGTGCAAGTGGGGAGGGGCAGAGGGCACGTGGGGGCGGGGCAGAGTGTAGAGGGGCGGGGTGCAGGTGGGGCAGGGGCGGGGCAGGGGCGGGGCAGGCTGCAGGTGGAGCTCGGGCAGGGTCCTGGGTCCTGGCCGGCGTGGGGGCTGCGCAGAGGCGGCCATTGGGCCCCGTCGCCTGGCGCTGAGACCCGAGGAGAGAAGGGCAGGGGCTGAGGGGTGCGCGGGTGGGTCCGCAGGGACCAGTCCTCCCGGAATCCCCGCATCCGGCAGCGTCAGCCTGAGCGTGACCTTCTCAGTCTCCGCACCAACAGGCATCTTGAAAAACAAAGTCACTTACCCGCCGCCGCTGACCGAGAAGAGCCTGAAGTCCCGGCTCCGGGAGAAGCTGGCCGAGTGCGAGCAGAGCCCCGCGCCATCGCGTTCGTCCTCCCTGGGCTCGAGCGACGGGGCCCGCGCCCCCGACGGCGCCATCACCGTCAAGAGCCCGCGCCGGGAGCCGGGGCGCGAGCACCTCAACGGGGTGGCCATGAACGTGCGGGCCGGGAGCGCCCAGGGCGCCGGCTCCGACTCCGAGTGAGTAGCCTGGGCCTCGGCTGCGGGGCTGCAGGGCTGCGGGGCTGCAGGGCTGCAGGAGCAGCCCCCAGCCAGCCTTCCCTCTGTCCCTTGTTGCGGGACAGGTGTCCAGTCCAGAGAGGGGCGATGCTCAGGGGCCCAGGGGCTGCGCCGGGGTACCGGGGAGGGGAGGACCCTCTGCGGGGGTCAGGACAAGTCGGCCCCAAAGGAAGCGGACTTCTGACCTGGTGGAGGGGGCGGGGGCTGGCTGCCGACATTGAGGCCCTGTGGGGGCCACAGTGGCCAAAGCCCCCAGGGCCTGCCCAGCCCTGAACTTCCAGGACTTCAGACCGTGCCGGACCAAGCACTTTGTAAGGATCTTGTCCAGCTCGTTACTGCCCTGTTTTGTGGTCGAGGACGCCAAGGCTCTGGGGCGCCCCTCTGCAGAGGCGAGGAGCTGGGGTCTTGGCCTCTTCCCATAGCTGCTCCCTCCCACAGACTCCCAAGGGAGGAGCAAAGACCGGGAGCCAGGTCCTCTAGAACGGCTCTCTTAAAACAGAGTTCGGTTGCTAACCTTGACACCCCACGCTCCGCGGCGAGGCTGGCTGTGTGGATGCTCAGACGGGCCTGGCCCTCCGGGCAGCTCAACCCGCCCCCTCTCCTGCCTAGCGCAGCTGTGTCCACATAGGAGCTTGCCCTCCTCGGAGCCCCCGGGCATCCCCTGGCCCCTGACTGGGGATTTCTGCTTCCTGCCCCCTGTGGGACCTCGGCCCACCTGCTGGCTTCTTCCCACGTACAGAGGCAGCAACGAAACCTCAATCTGAACCATCAGGAAAGCGGGACACGAGCCCAGCGCCTCCGTCCAGGCCCCTGTGCTGCGTCAAGACACCCTTGGACCTTGGAGCCCAAGGGACCACGGCCTTTCCAGGGAAGCAGGCCCTGGCGGTGGGGGTCCCTGTGGCAGCAGCCCCCTGGCTGGTGTGACGGACGGTCTGGACACAAAGCTCTGGGCTGCCCCCAGGGGCTCGGGGCTCAGGGCCCAGCTGACCCCTGACAAGTGCCAAAGGCCACAGGCACAAGGAGGCGTGGACTCCCGGAGGCTGGCACAGCTTGATCCAGACCCAGAGCCGAAGCCGTGCGCCCGCGAGCCAGGAGAGGGCCCAGGCAAGAGCTGGCCTCGAGGGAGAGGAGCTGCCTGGCCTGGCTGGCTCTTTGCAAAGACACCCCTCGTCTTAAAAGCAAAGGACTTTGCTTCGTTGAAAAGGTGTAGATGCTTCTGTATATTTGTATGGAACTCTGAGAAGGCGAAAGCCTGTGTATATTTTGCATTTGTACAGATTGATACGGAGAGATCTGCAGAACGACCGCTATTTTTTTTACACAAGGGAGATTGTACGGTTGTACTTGAATCTGGCACGCATCGATGCAGCTGGTGTCCCAGCCGATCGGAGGTGGGAAGTGCGTCGGGAGTGAGGTTGTCTTTAAACAGAGGCTCCTGCTGCTGCTTTCGGCCAGTACACAAGGACTGTGGGCATTACACGCAGCTGCCTGAATTCACACACGTTTGCTTTCGAGACCTTTGCCATCAGCTCCCAGCTGCCTCGACGGTGGTGGATCCGAGACAGAGGCAGGGTGGGACTCCTGCAGGTGCCCCACGGCTGCCCCCCACCCCCGGTGCCCACACCGGGCCCGCTCTGGGCCCTGCAGGCCTCCCTGGCCCCCTTCCCAGGCCATGTGGTCCTGCAGGTGGGGACTTCTGTTCCGCTGCTCCTGTCCCCAGTGGGAGGGACCTCGGTGTTCACACGTTCCCGATTCAGACGGAGGTGTGAGGTCTTCCAGGAGGCCACGTTCCTTCCTGCCAATTCTCCAGCTCTTTCAGACTCTGAGGATCTGCGGGAGGGCTGGGGCCCCACCCCCGAGTCCGACCAATTGCTTCATTTTGCTTCAAATGGCCAATTGTGCACAGGGACAAAGCCGCAGCCACACTTGTCAATGGTTACCAGGCTGTTTTTTGGAAGCTCATACCGAGGATCGGCTGGGGCCGTCCCACTGTGGGCAGTTGGCACAGTGCGGCCCAAGGGCTGTGGAACTGGGCCCAGAATCACTCAGACACGTTTCATTCGTTTTCTTTGTTCTTTGAATCAGGCGCCCAAATAAATTACTAGCACAGCTGCTTCCAAATACGAGAAACCATAAGATATGCTAACATCAGGTGACTTCCACGGCGCAGTATTCTGACGGAAAGGAGGGCGCTGCTCGCGACACCAGGGACCGCGTACGGGAGACCAGTCTAAGGCCACGCACTTCACACCCAAGGGCAACAGCCCCCACGGTCCACAGGCTGGAATGAATGATGTGCCTTAACAGGTGAGTGGCCTTTTGAAGACGGAAGATGATAGCATCAGTAAGTGTTTACCACCGACGAGACGCTTCCTACGTAAAGGACGTTTTGACATTCGCGAGTCTGAACACCCACCTTCACACCATCACGGCCTCTTCTGCGACTCGGGCCCTTTCAGGTGGCTTTTGATTTGATCAGAATTGTTACCAAAAACCAATGGTCAAGTTTTATTAAGACAGGAAAAACTGTAAACCTATTTTTGTGACTTAAGACTTTATAAGAGATGAGACACTGGAGATTTTTTTAACAAATGTCTATTTATTGTTCAGAACACTGGAATCGCAACAAGAGTCTGCAATAAATTAAGATTTTTGAACATGTGCTTCTGCCGTGCTCATCTCCCCCCTCCCCACTGCCCTGCCCCCCTTCCTGACGCAGCTGTGGAAGGGACCTTGGACAGGATGCCGAGGACAAGCCAGGGGAATGGTGGGGGAGAGGAGCTGTACTAGAACTTTCTGTCCATTCTCCTGATAGAACTCTGGACAAGCTGGCCCTACTTGGGTGTGCAAAGGCACCAGCCCGGGGCCTTTCCCTCAGGATCTGTGCACGTGGTGGGGGTGACGGGCCTGGCAGTGAGGTGCCCGCTTGGGAAAGAGGCACGGGGTGGGGGGGAACACGTGTCCTGCTTCTCAGCCCCCACCCCTCTGGTCTGCCAGGGTCTTCTGAAGATCACCTGGGGGGGTACAGCCCTAGAGCCTGCTGACCCCCAGGTGCGCGGACAGGGCAGTGGGAGGGGCCAGAGTCCCAGCTCAGGAGCTTGGCCCGATGGCGCCCCCTGGCCGACAGCTGCCGCTGAATCTCTGAGGCGACACAAAGTGGCCTTCCACAGAGGGCCGGTGGCCTCAAGGGCACAGGGAGGGCGGGCAGAGCCCAGCAGGGGGAGGAAAGCACTGCCAGCTGGAAGGCTGCCATGCGCCTCAGGTGAGGCCTGGGTGGCCCGAGCGGCAGCGGCGGGTTTGCACCCGTCCCCCACCTTCCTCCACCGGCAGGCCGGCAGGCTGCAGATCTGGCCCCGGGCTGATGAGACGGGCAGCGCCTCCCTGCGGCCTGTGCCCAGGGCGCTTCCTCCCTCCTGCCGTTTCCGAGGGTCGCCGTGCACAGAGCAGGGTGGGCCGGTGGGGCCTTCCCAGAGCGGCCACAGCTTACAGCTGGGCTCATGGGCAAGGGGCCCAGCCAGCAGGGCAGTGAATCGGGACGCGTGGGCCCGGGCAGGCTCCGTGCTGTCCCCTGAGCAGGCAGAGCAAGGGTGGGGTTCCGGTTCCGGCCTCCCCGCCACCGCACACCGCACCGCACACCCAGCGGCGGTCCGCCTTCTGGCCGAGGCCGAAGCCCCACCTCTCGGGACGCACTCCTTTACCTGGATCACGGGATGGGTCCCAGACACCCCGGGGCAGGCCCACTCCCCTCTTTCAGCCTCGGGAGCCTCCTGCTGGGGGGGAACCTGGGGGATGGGCCCGGAGCTAAGGGTGGGGAGAGGGCAGACTGAGGCGGGGGCAGGTCTGAGGAGGCGGGACAGTGGGGTTTCAGCTCTTTGGACGGCATCGCTTCCCTCATCAGGTGGTGTGCTGCCCCAGCACCCCGACCATCGCCGAGGGGGACCACTCTGGTCCTGCCTCTGGGAAAAGGGGCTGGCACCTCGCTCCCGGCCCCGCTCAGCGGCCTGGTCTTAAAGCCCCCCAACACTGCGTCACACTAAGACAGCCACAGGGCCCAGCGCACTCCGTGCCCTTTGCCCAGGCTGGCAGGGACATGGGGTCAGGCCAGAGGCCGGCCTCCCTGCACACCAAGGCTGAGGCAGGCGCCGGGCGGGGTGCCTGGCCCAGGCCTCCCTTCCCGGCTACACGGGACGGCGGCTCCTCTGCTCTGAAGCACAGCCGTCCTGACACACACGGAGAACCGAGGGCAGCGGGACCCTGTCCAGACACAGGTCTCAGTCGTCCGCCCCCCCTCCTGACCTGCTACACCTGACTTCCTAAATCCAACGGCCTGCCTCCTTCTCCAGGCCCACAACCCACCTGATCTATTCGCTCCCACCCATACCTCAGAGACCAGAGGGATTTTCTGCTCAAAACCACCTAGGCCTCCCTCCCGTTCAGAAGGAAGCCCACTTCTCACGGTAGTCCTCTGGGGCCTGTGATCTGCCTCAGGGGGAGGGGGTTCACACCCCTGGGACCCAGGCCCAGGACTGGTCCTGTCCCCACTACAGGCCCTGAAGGGCGGGGCCACGTGACAACCTTCCCGGGTGCTTCTCCTGCAGCACCATGCCTGGAGGGCTATGCTACCTCTAGTCTAGAACCTTCTGTCCATAGAAGACAGGGAACCACACTTCTGGCCCCCACAGAAGCTCAAAGCACCAAGAATGTGCTGGGTCTGAGGCCAGTGAGAGAAGGGAGCCCAGGCTCTCTGTCCTTAGCAGAGCAGGGGGCTGAGCCCTTGGGGCGAAGCACCAGGAAGCCTGGAGGGGGTGCTGCCCTGCCCAGGCCCCACCTTCAGGGCAGGCAAGCTGGAGGCAGTGGGGCCCAGACACAGCCGGGCGTCCCTAGGAAAGGCCGATTTCCTGCCTGACCCACCTGACGATGCCCCCACACCCCCAGGCAGAGCGTCTCCATACTTCCCACCCCCAAGGCCTGGGGCTGTGGCCCAAAGGAGCCCTTACTGCACACACACAGCAGGCGAGGGGCTCTCCAGGACTCTGCGGTGATGAAAATGCCCCGGGGCCAACGCGTGTCTGTCGCCCACTCAGCACAGCTGGCTCTGAAGTTTTTATCCTCACTTGCCAGGCAGTTCTCGGCCTGGCCTGTGCCACAAAATACACGCATGCACGCACACCTATGCTACGGGCTGAGTTGAGTGTGCCCCCGCCAAAACCGGAATGTCAAAACCCTGAATCCCCAACGTAACAGTATTAAGAGATGAGGCCTTCGGAAGGCACTTAGGTCACGAGGGTGGATTCCTGGCGAACGGGGTTAGTGTTCCTGTAAGAAGACCCAGAAAGACCCCCTCACCCTTTGGCCGCGTGAGGACACAGCGAGTGGTCGGCTGTGAACCTTCAGGGGAGGCTCGGCCGACCCCGCTGGCACCCTGACCTCGGACTTCCGGTCTCTGCAACCGCGAGGAGCAAACGTGTCGTTTGTAAGCGGCCCCACCCGAGATGGCCGGTGCCAGCAGCCCACACGGACGGAGACACACAGGCACACGCTGGCTGCGGCCAAGCCCTCCTCCCTGGGACGCAGGCCCCTCAGGCCTTCCCTGGGAGGCAGCCAGGGCACCGAGCGAGCGAGCGTTCTGCAGGGGGAGGGGGGCCTCTGGGCCTCAGGCCCTCACACACCCCGAGGGCGCCCTTGCAGGTGGGGCTTGGCCTCCAACCCTCCTCCTGCCTCCGAACTGTCCGCCTGCCTCTCTGCACCTGCGCCTTCCACCCCCCAGGAGACCCCCGTCAGAATCCGTGTCCCAGACAGATGTTTTATTGACTGCTGCTGTCCCCGCAGCCTCCTCGGCCAGGTCCCCTGCGTGCCTGCAGGTGGGAAACTTTCCAGGGAGCATGAAAGAGCCACTCTAGAAATGGGGCACTTGGGACACACCCACTAGCCAGCAAGTCTTTCTGGCCAGAGAGAGCGCCGACTTGGAGAAGCCAGGGCTGGCCTCTCCGGGGCTCTCCTTGGCTCTGGCGGCTTTCTGGAAGCTCAGCCGGCCTGGAGGGAACTGGGGCCGCACACCCCGCCAAGCTCCCCCTCGCTGCCCCACCCCAGGCTCTGTTCCTCCGTGTCCACGCCTGGCGCTCGCCAGCAGCCGCGCCTCCTTCAGAGCGTGGGACCCAACCCTGGGCCGCTGCCCGGGCCATCGCTGGGGCCCTCGGTGGACACCCTGGACTTGCTCTTGCCCTTCTGGAGTATGTAGGCAGACGGCCCCAAGCGCAGGATTTTCCCGCTGCCCAGACACTCATCCCCTTTGTAGAAGACGGCAAACTGAAGAGGAAAGAGGCCCGTGTCACCAGCAGTGGGACCTGGCGCCAGATGCCCACAAGCAGCCAGCAGTACGGGGGTGGGGGAGAGGGGGAGGGGCAACGCTCTGCCTGCCCCTCCTCTGTCCCGGCCCCCACGGGCCAAGACAGGGCAGCTGGGCCTCCCAGTGGCCAAGCAGGAGCAGGGGCTGGCCGCGGGGCTTCCACCCTCGCTGCCCGGGCGACCTGAGCACCCGCACCCGCTCCGCGCGTCAGCCCCCACCCCGTGAACTGGGTGCCCTGGTGGGGAGGAAGCGCGGCGCGTCCTTCCGGAGCACGAAGCCCACTGGCCAGAGCCCTCTCAGCTGAGCCAGTCCTAACGCCCAGGGGCTCCAGGCCCTGCACCCCCAGGGGTCGTGTGAGGCCCCGTCCTGCCTTCCAGCCGGGCTCTCCCTCCTCCCTCTGCAGCACAGCACAGGGCCGGGCGTGCCCGACTCACCTGTCCCGGGGCGAGGGCCCGCACGGCCTTCACGGCCGTCACCCACACGGTGCCGTCTTGATTGAGGGTCAGCACGCACGGCACTGTGTACGAGAGAGGGGTCCTTAGAGGGGGCACCGGCCTCTCCACGCGTGGTCTGCCCCAGGCCTCGCACCCCCAGGGAGGAAGGAGCCCCGCCCGCCGGGGCCCACAGGCGCGCGCACCACCTACGGCCCGGCCGGGCCGCCGCAGCCGCAGCCCCTGCCCGCGGCACCGACGACGGAGGCTAAGCCGGCCTCGAGCCTCCCGGTGCCGCTCCCAGGGCTGGCCCTTGAACAGGGGTTTGGAAGGGGTCATCCAACCTAACGGTGGGGGACCGTCGGGCAGCGGGTCTCACGGCCGCTGCTCTCAATTGGGCTCCCCTGTCTGAAGGGACCCTCCCGCTCAGTCACCTAGCGCCATCTGGTGGCGGAACCGGAAGTGGCACTCCATCATCTTGTCGCGGACCAGGGCGGCGGGCGGCTCCTCTGCGATCCAGTGCACGCGGCTGGTCCGCAGCAGGTCCCGGTACAGAGCCGGGTGGTCTGTCCGGGGGGCCTGCGGAGCGGAGCGTGCAGGTCAGGGCACCGAAGCCCCCGGCGGGGGCGCCCACCCAACCGCACGCCTACTGGTAACTGGGGCGTCGGCCACGGAGACTCGGGACCAGCCCATGGCCTTCCGGTCCCCGTTCCACACGGGAGGAAACCAAGGTCCAGGAGGGAAAGTGTCTCGTCACGGTCACACACGGCGAGCGGCTGACCACAGCACGCTGCCTGCAAGTTCACGCCTCGCTGCCCCCACCTGCCTGGCGCACGGGCTCGCCAGGCCACTGGCTTGTCTTTCAAAAAGGTCACTTCAGGAAGCCCGTCACACACCAAGCGGCTGAGGAGAGAAGGGACAGGGCAGGCTCCCCGGGGCTGTGCTGGGGCCATCTGCCCCTGGGGCCCTGTCCCCACCCCCCCCCCCCAGGCAAGGATATCCTCATGGGGACAAACGTCAGCTGATGACCCTATGTATGGGTTTTTCTAAAAGCAAAACACACCCCTGAAATTTTACTCTAAAACCACTTTAATTCATACACGACCACAACCCCTGCCCCGGCTTGTATGCCTAACAGCTCTTCCTGGAAGGAGATACCCAGAATCAGGGGGCGAAGCCAACTGGCCTCTCGGCCAGTGTCTAAGACAAGATCCCCCGGTTATGTGACAGCATGAGATGGCACCCCGCTCTCTCAGAGCAGGGCCACTGTCAGGGGGGAGGGGCTATCCTGTAGGATGTTAGCAGCGCCCCGGCCTCCATCCAGCAGGGGACACTGCCGAACGTCCCGGGGTGCAGGGCAAACGCACCCCCTTTGTGAAGCCCTGCTCTAGAGCCCAGGGACAGGGGGCGGGGGGGGGGGGGGGGGGGGCACGGAGGTCCAGGGCCCCGCTGTGGCACACAAACCAGTCTGGTCCTGGCTCCGCTTGGACCAATGACTTGCTGGAGCCTGGGCGAGCCCCGTCCCAAGCACTGAAGCTACCTCCTCTCTGCGGACCTTCGGGCTCTCTCCTAACAAACAGTATCTACACGTAGCAGCTAACGACACAACTGCTGGAGTGACCGGCGTATGGTAAGAGCCCAAGGAGTACCTTAAACAAACTCCTGGTACCTTGGGCCAGTCCCAGGAGGACGCAGAGGAAAGGCAAGGGTGGTCCGTCAATCACTGCCGCTCCGTAGGGTTTCGGCAGCCCTGCCTGGTCTCACACACACCGTGGGCTGTGCCAAACACAGACCTCTGTCACCTGCCTAAAAGGCCAGCCCGACTCACCACAAACACGTCACCCTTGGTGCTGTCCTTCTCCACCACATACCAGGGCTCGCGCAAGCCGCCTATCCTGGCTCTCTGGCCCAAAGTATACAGGAACCAACCTACGGAAATACAGTTTCTCAGGGGACTGGCACCGGCCCCCTCCCAAACAGCACACCCCTCCTAACCGGAAGGGGTGGAGGAAGGGGGACAGTCAGGAGGCTCCGCGGACCACCGCCGAGGGGTAGTCCTGACCACACAGCTGAGCTCGTCCAGGCCCTGCCCCGCGCCTGGGTTAGGCTGTACCTCGCAGCCCCGGAAGGAGCCAATTCCACCTGCTGGACCGCCTGACCCGCGGGCAGCAGGAAAGCTCCTTTAGAAGGTAGACTGGGCGTCCTCCAGGCCCACGACCCCTTCCTGCCGAGCGTCCACCAGCCCCTCTGATGTACAAACCGCACGGGGGCTGTGGCATGCGGGCCGCCCCCCGACTGCTCTGTGCACTGCTCCATCCCCACGGAAAAACATCACAAGACCAGATGGCCAAGCCACCACCCCCTCCCTCCCTCCTGACGGGATCACAGTGCCCCGGGCCACCGTGCTGGAGACGGGCAGGCAGCACCCTGCAGTTCTGTCCCCAGCAAGGCTGTCACCTCCACCTGTCTCCGCTCAGGGACGTAAAAGCCCACCCCCGACAGGAGAGTGAAGCCATCTACCCAGACTGGGGCGGTGGATTCCAAAGAACCACCTGTGAGACTGGCCACATCTGAGCACCAGCCCTTGCCCCCCACCAGGTCAGGCACGCTCTGGGTCAAGACCTCCCTGGCCATCCAGGGCCCGAGGGCTTCTCTGGCTCCAGGGCACAGACCCACCACTCACCAACCCAATATCTATCCCCCCTCCCCCTGGGCTGTGAATGCTGGCACCTGATTAGTCGGTCGCAGCCTCCCCACACCCGCTCTGTGCAAGCTCACGGTGCCCCCCCGAAAACGCCTGCGCATGAGCAAGCAGCACCCCAAGTGCAACACCGCTGCCTTATGCGGACACCCTCTGATCCCACCTCTTCCTTGTTCTAGATCTGGAAGCTCCTACTCTGGAATCAGTCGATCACACTTCTTTCACGAGGGTGGAATGTTTTCTTTTCATACAGATAATTCCACGTGCAGGGACAGAACACCTAACCGGAGAGCGAAGTCTTTCTGACTCGGATGGCACCCCTCTCTGAGCCGCAATGCCTCCCGGCCACAGCCGCCACCACGCTCCCTCGCGACCCCCACCCACAGGCTTCTCAGACTCACGGGCAGATGTGGAAGGAATTACAGGCTTCTCGCCTCAATTTCCCACAGCGGAAGCCCGCCCCACGACTCGGGGAGTTTACAACAGGGCAGCCCGAGGCTGTGTCTCACCTTTGTGTGTTCCCAGAACTCTATTGTCTTCTATGGAAATAAATTTACCAGGCCGAGGCTGCAGATACTGGAAAACAAGCACTTCCTTACTAACGGATCCAAGCCCAGAGCAGAAACACGGGTCCACACTCACGCGTCAAAGAACACTCACCTGAAGGATGAAATTTTCAAAATTTCTTTTACCGACGAAGCAGATGCCCATGCTCTGAAACGAAAGGAGGGCCGTGCGTGAGGCGAACGAACAGGCAGCCGGCGTCCGCACGAGGACACGAGGACCAGCCAGGCCGGGAGAACGGGAGACGGGCACCTGGGCCTCGCCGGGCCCCACCGCCTGCCCTGAGCCTCGGCACACCTCCGGGCTCCGGGCCTGGCTTTCCTCGGCCAGCACCCACGGACACCAGTCACACCCACAAACAGACCTGAGGGGCCCGCAGAACCTCTTAGCCTCTCCTCTTAGCCGGGTCTTAAATAACGGACCCCCGACCCTGGATCTTATGAGCTCAGCGAGGCCACCATCACGTCCACCCCTGGCAGGATGTGGCCCCTGCGCGGCAGACGTCAGCCCAGCTGCCCCAGGAGACAAAATGACAGCCGTGCGAGCCGTCAGACCACCGTCCGGGAGCCATGGGGGCCACGGGGGCCAGAGCAGGACCCGGAAGTAGAGGGGGTGGGCCAGAAGCTGAAGCATCACAGCAGAGTCCGTGGAAGAGAGGACTCCCTCAGGGAGGCCTACTCCAGCACAGAAGACACGCTGGAACGCGCTCCACGCGGCTCCTGTCCCGTCACGGCTTTCTGGCCTGTTCTCTACGGTGCGTCTCTGCAGTGTGGTGCCCCCTCCCCCAGCTCCCGCCACAGAGCCACACCCAGAAATTGAACAGGTACACAGAGGAAGAGAGACGATGGGTGGCGGGATGTGTCAAAGGATGTGGTCCTGGGAAGGGACGGTCATGCTCGTGCCCAACCCCGGACGTCACCCGGTCAGACCGAGCGCACCGAGCCTGCGGGACCATCCCCTAGCACTGAACCTCCACCACGCTGCCCTCACCTTCACTCCAATGCATGGGCTCTTTCTTGCCTCAGGGCCTTTGCACATGCTCTTTGCACTATTGGGACTGTCTCCCCCCATCAGCCCTCTCTGTGACACTAAATCCTATTCATCCCGAGGTCTTAGGTAAACGTTAACTCCTAGGAGCCCGTCCTCGAGTGGGGGTCAAGCCCCATCTAGTTAGAGCCCCCTGGTGTGAGGAATTCCTTTCACAGGATGCTCTAATGTCCTACACAGACGTTGTCTAATTTTACGGTGGTTTGTTCCGTGAAGACACCGTGTGCTCCTCACCCACCCTCACAGGCCCGGAGCACAGCACCCTCGACTGAGGGGCTGGATGAGTGCGGGCAGCGCCAGAGCTCTGGCCCGGGGTGTCTCGGGGCCTGGTCCTCACTGTGCCACCCTTGCCCGGCAGGCTGGGCCAAGAGCACCCACTGAGCCACCACGGCTGCTGTGAAAAGCTGCCCACCCCGGAGTGGGGCCGCAGAGGGGTCGGGGTGGGGGGGGGGGATGTCCCGTCTCAGCGGCCTTCTGAATGTGCACAGGGCCTCCCAGAGCGCGCGACCCCGCTCTCTCCTGACGTTAGAGCCTGGGGAGGACACGGGGCGGTGACCACAGGGCCCTGCTTCTCCCCAGACCGCGGAGAGGGTGACGCGAGCACAGCGCCCTCGACCCTACCTCTTTCTTCTGAAGCACATGATGAAGTCTGTTCTCTGCAGCTATTTTCTTGACAAAATCTTTCGTTAATCCCCCCAGAGGGAAGAGGGTTCTCCTTAGGGCATCTTGGGAAACCTGGCTGAGAAAGAAGGTCTGGTCTTTAAAGCTGTCAGCTGCTTGCAGAAGCTTTACCGCTGCCGAGAGTAAAGAACAAAACAAGTTGCAGAAATAAAAATGATGGTACTTTGCTCTGAATAACGTCCTTCCCTCTACTCGGACTCCCCCTGGCCTGTCAGAAGCAAAAATCTATACTCACAAGCAGACTACTAGAAAGAAAAAAAACACAACAGACAATCACCATGGGTAAGGGGAGAAAAACTCTCCCTAATTCATCTACCATTAAAAACGATACAGGGGAGGGGCGCCCGGGTGGCTCAGTCGGTTAGGCGTCCGACTTCGGCTCAGGTCATGATCTCACAATCTGTGAGTTCGAGCCCCGCATCGGGCTCTGTGCTGACAGCTCAGAGCCTGGAGCCTGCTTCGGATTCTGTGTCTCCCTCTCTCTCTGCCCCTCCCCTGCTCGTGCTCGCGCGCTCGGTCTCTCTCAAAAATAAACATTAAAAAAAAAAAAAAGATACAGGGAAGGCGGATTTTATGCGATAAGGAAATTTATTCCAGTTCGCACATTAGATGACGGTATTTTAAACGCCACGTGAAACCGTTCTGAAGTGCTAAGGTGAACTGTCTAAAACACGCAGCCACGTGGGAGGCGAGTGGGTGACAGGACCCCCAGACACCCCCCAACGTGGGGTCAGCTGTGCGGTTCCCCACACCGCCACAGTGTCGCGCCCCGGCTGCCCCCAGGCCCCAGGCCCCAGGCCAGCAAGAGTGCCTCGAACTCCTCCCCTTCCTCAGCTCAACGCTTCCTGCTGAGAGTCACGCAGGAGTCTGTGTGGCGCTCCGGTGCCCCCACTAGAGAGAAAACCGTCTCTGGCTCTCAGGCAACGGTGCACAGGTGTGACTGACCGTGGCCCTGGGACCCCGCATCGGAGGCGGCCCAGCTCCAGCACTGGGCCCCATTGACCCGGCCCGGCACGCGGTGGCACTTCCACGACTGGGACCGTCAAGCTCCCGCTCCGAGGTTCAGGGACCGACGGGAAAAGCTACGCAGGCTACCGGTACATGGTGCCGAGAGGCTGCCACCCATCACCCTGAGGGCACACTACCATGTGTGACGGGCCCAAACACACGTGTGCCGGTCAGCCTGGCACAGTCACGTGTGGAACACGGGCTCTGTACAGGTCATGTTCACCCGTGACCTCAACCCTGATTCTCACTTTTGCCGTGGAAAGTTGGACTCTCCCCATTTTACAGACGAGGAAACCGAGGCTGGGATCACTGAAGGGGTTCAACGGAATGGTGCAGGTGCAGGTGGGTGCTATTCCCTAGTTTTCTAGGCACAAAGCAACAGAATCAGTTGAAAATGAAAAACAGAGTTCGGCCACCCGGCCATCGGTAGGCACGCTCGTTTGCCTAATGCTCCTTGTTGTTTCAAAACAAAACCCAGTCAAACAGCGTCCACATAAAAACCCCAGGACCTTGGAAGCAAATCCTCACAGTTTGGAGTTTTTTAAAACAAACTCAAAAACTATGATTTAAAAAAAAAATTTTTTTAATGTTTTTATTTATTTTTGAAAGAGAGAGACAGGGGCGCCTGGGTGGCGCAGTCGGTTAAGCGTCCGACTTCAGCCAGGTCACGATCTCGCGGTCCGTGAGTTCGAGCCCCACGTCAGGCTCTGGGCTGATGGCTTGGAGCCTGGAGCCTGTTTCCGATTCTGTGTCTCCCTCTCTCCCTGCCCCTCCCCCGTTCATGCTCTGTCTCTCTCTGTCCCAAAAATAAAATAAAAACGTTGAAAAAAAAATTAAAAAAAAAAAAAAAAAAAAGAATGAAAGAGAGAGACAGAGCATGAGTGGGGGAGGGGCAGAGAGAGAGGGAGACACGGAATCCAAAGCAGGCTCCAGGCTCCGAGCTATCAGCACAGAGCCTGATGCAGGGCTCGAACTCACAAACTGTGAGATCATGACCTGAGCTGAAGTCAGATGCTCAACCGACTGAGCCATCCAGGCGCCCCTCAAAACCTACGATTTAAAAAAAACAAGTTGACAACCGTTAAAGCACGGACAGGAACATCTGGGAGATATGCTCGTGCCAGGAACCTTCACACAACCCTGAACCTCATGCCCGTGGCCGGCCGACGGCGCCCCCACTTTGCACAGGTGAGGTCACCAGACACAAGGCCAGGGCCCAGGAACGTCGGCTCTGGGGGCCACCCGACCCCGCGCGTGCTCTCCCCAGGACCGGGACCAGGCCAGGAGGCTCTATTCCAGGTCTCTGGGGCAACTAAGTAAGAATTCAATAAAAAGCTCTAGTGTGCCTAAAAAACACACTAAAACAAAGACACGGTCATATTATTAAGACTACCACACGTTAAAATTACTCAACAAAACAGAGGTCAACGCAGTCACAAGTTTCAGAGTGCCTGTGGCCTAGCAGAAAGGTCCAGACGGCTCTGGAAGGCAAACCGTGTTCTAGGAGACAAATGAGCATGCCTGTTCCACATGGAAATAAACCCTTCATCTACTCAGGACCCTTCAGTCCGTATTTACTCGGTGGATCCTGCTGTGGCGCCCCCGAGTGGCGGGGTCTGCGCTCTTCCCCGGCGTGGAGCGGTTTCCAGAAGAGTGGCGGGGAGCGGCTGGGAGGGAGGCAGAAGACGCCTGTCCTCTCTCCCACGTCCGTACCTGAGGCCAAAGGCCCAGCACCCGGCAGACAGCAGTATGTGCTGGGTCTGCGCAGGCCGGGAAGGCGATCTGAGCGCCCTGTGCCGTGGAGGAAGAAGGGCCGCCGGGCAACAGCCAGCACCCTGGGGGCCCCTGCAGCACGATGGCCGTGGCCTTCCGACCAGGCCCAGAGACACGGAGGACAGAGCCCAACTGGGGCCTGGCACAGCAGGACGAGTGTAAGCTGTGGAGCCGGGCAGAACTGGGCTGGGATCCAGGTGTAATGCGGCGGGATTCTCGCACAGAGTCGCGACCCCGAGGCTCTTCTTTCCAGGAAGCAGCTTTATTCCTGCCGGCGCCGCTCAGTTGGGTTCGTACCCAAAAAACGGAGCCCCGAACTCCACGTGGCGTAGATTTTTTGTGTATTTTTTACTTCTTTGTCTTCCATATATAGTAACACACAAACACGCAGTGTGATTAAGTGATCTCATGTTACAAGGCCACGAGGGAAGACGCGGTCACATACGTGTGTGGCCAGCTTGCCTTGAGGTTTTTTTTTTTCTTTCCTTAGGGAGGGGACCCTATCACATTACCACCAGAGGCACCCTGGCCAAATGACTTCATCCAAGCCTCAGTTTCCTCATCTGTGAGACGGGACAAGACTATCCACCTCCACTCTAAGAGGAGCCAATGGAACGTGTGCCTGTAACAGCCTGGGCTTGGGGCAAGGGGGAAGGTGCCGTGAGGCAGGCGGTCAGCAGGGCGCACGTGCACAGTGCCAACCCTTCAGTGCTCCCGCATCAGTGGAAACTTCCCACTCGCATGTGGCCCTGGGCCCATTTTATCTCCCACTTCATGGTGACGCGAATTCCTCTTTTCTACCAACGGATGTGTGCCAGGACAAGCCAGCAGTTGGGCGTTTTTCTAGAAAGGTGAAACTGTGCTCCCTCTAACGCAGATAAACTGATCTGCATACGTGACCTCTGTGAACGGATTTTCCACCGGCCTGAGCATCAGGTCCCAGCACCCGGGTCACACTGGGTAAGTCTCGAGCCCTCGAGAGCTTGATGGTAAGTAATGAGGCCTGTGAGCGCTTCAGCTATCAAGCGTCTCCTCAAATATCACGGGAACCCTCAAATCACCAGCACCCAGCGCACAGAACCGGGCTGCGCACCAGATTCAGGTTCCAGCCAGCCGGTGCCCAGGCGCCCGACCGGGACTCCCGCTGCCTAATCCCAGGCTCTGAGGGCAGACAGCCCTCTTGGTAACTGTACTTTTTCAAAACAAGCAAGCTAGTCTGGAACACAGAGACCTGGAGGGCCTGCTCCGAGAGCGACCCGTTGCTACTCTGCGAAACATTTTCCTCTGTGCACAAATACTTCAGGTCTGCCCTGGGCGCTTTAACTTACCATTTCTAACTTCAAACCGATCTCTGAAAAGCCCTCCTGGCCTCTTAATGCGCTTCTGCTGAAAGACTTCCTCATCTTCCAGTGAGGTTCTGGCATAGTGACCTGTGGCGACCGCGTCTGCTCCTGTGAGGTTTTTGAAAACACAAGATCGAACTTCAGATGTGCAATGGCCGGCCGTGGCCTCCTCGGCCCTGGGGAGCTCAACGAAGCACGCGGACGCCGAGCCTCGAACTGGATGGCCTGCAGAGGGCCGCCTCCACACGGGGTCGGTCCAGGGGAGGGAGGCTCACCTTTAACTCTTCGTTTAAACTGATACAATCTTGCTACAAGGTTCCAGTGCAGCTTTAGGAACCTGTGAAGAACCTTTAAGACCCCACAGCGATCGCACGGCCCACCAGATGCCCGGTCTCCTCACGCGCTCAAAACCAAAGTCAACACACAATCCAGGGACCGGTCCCGCCCCGCCCCCCCCCCCCCGCCCGAAACAAACTGGGGCTAAATGTCAGCCCCCCAGACGCGGCCCACCGGGGCAGGGCACGGCAGACGCCAGACCGCAGGCTCGAGGGCCGCTCCTGGGGCCCCAGACCTGGGCCCGATAGCGTACGAGAATGGGCCGTTGAGCCTGCACTTCTCTCTCCTCACATTCAGTTCTGACGTTAGCCATTCAAAGTCATCCGGACTTTTGGAGTCCGTTTCGCAGGCGTCATCGTGGTCTGTGAACCCACGTTCTGCCACCCCCTCGGCTGCGGTCGCTCGTACGCTCGATCCGCGAGCCTGCTCTGGGCCCACCTACGTCGCCACGGCAGTGCTGACGGGACACAGAGGCCAGCAGTCTGGTGACACTAGTGGACTGCCGGCACAGGGCAGTCACAATAACACGTCTTGGCACGTGGCCGCACACGGCAGGGTGAGCCGCCCGGGACAGAACGAACCGAGGGGCCAGCGGTGGGAGCTCTGGCAACAGCAGGACACGGGAACAGGACGGTGGGCGTCACAGCAGCAGACACGCAGACGGTCCGAGCAAGCAAGTGGGCATCAGGGAAGTTCACACGAAGGAAGAGGGGCGCCCCAACGGGCACACGGACACGAGCGAGGAGAACTACCAGAGTAGACAAGATCTGCAGGTCAGCCGTCTACAGGTGGCAGGGCCACGATGGGTTGTTTTGTTTTCTAGAGGGCGCGTGTGTGTGCGTGCAGGGCAGGGGCAGAGGGGGACAGAGAGAGAGACAGAGTCCCAAAACGGCTCAGACTCAGCACGGAGCCCGATGTGGGGCTTGACCCCGTGACTCCAGGATCACGACCTGAGCAGAAATTAAGAGTCAGACGCTCAACTGACTGAGCCACCCAGGCACCCCTCGATGGGCTTTTACAACAGACCACCGAAACGTGGCTTCAAATCCAGAGAAACAGAGACCCAGAATCCAGAATCAGGTACAGACCCAGAGCTGTTCTCAAGGCAGAGCAGAAAGCCACGAAGAAAGCCCGCTGAGAACGTCTCAGCAGGACTAGCAAAAAGGAGGACCAGCGAGAAACCAAACGCCGACTTTGCTGAGCTCTAACTCAGGCTTGGGAAACTTCCGTTAACTATAAGCACGCCTGGAACCGGTGCTGTTCTGAGCAGAACTGGACCTCAGCTCTCAGCTCTCCGCCAGTGACCCTGTGTTTCCACAGGATGTTCTCAAGTTCGTGGCTCCCGAACCAACAGCACAGTCCTCGCACCCACGCGGTCCACGGTGAAGACGCGCGCGCTCTTCCGTGCGACCCTGTCATTTGCATATTGCCAGAAAGTTCTTTCTTACTCGGTGAAATAGAATATTACTGTTTTCACCGCTTCCTTTCCTTCTGGAAGACGAAACTGTTTACGAGGATTTGGCTGCTGACTATCTCTGAAAACCTTGTGACTTTAAAAAGATTAAATGGAAATAATGAAATTACTTACCGAGATTATCCACAGCATAATGGAAAAAACAGCTGAATTTGATATGCTTGTTGCAAACTATGTCAGGATTGGGAGTCCTTCCTTTCTCGTATTCACTTAAAAAATCACTGGAATAGAAGAAAAAGACTTTTGTTTCTGAGTGCGAAACATTCCTCCAAAAAAAAAATACATCTGTTAAGTTACTTGCTTAACTTGGTTTCTCCTTCTCTTACCAAAACCATAATTTTCCGTAAAATAGGAGAGCTTCGGTATACGGCCGTTTCCAGTATTTTCATCAAATATTCCTTTAAAGCCGGGGGCACTTCCTGTCTGAATCTATGACAGTGAATAAACCTGGACAGAAAGTCAGGTATCACCGGCCACTACGGCTCAGCGGCCGTTCTGTCTCCCCAGAGGCTCACGGGGCGCAGGGGAGGGGAGGGGGACTGACCCAACTCCAGCCTCCCCTGACTTCGCCCACAAAAGGCGGCTCGAGTGAAGAACGTGCCGGAGACAGCGCGGGAACGACCTCATCCAGAGCGACAACCGGGGCTCTACTAGCTGTTCCACCAGCGGCCTGGCGACCCAGGGCCCTGGGCAAACGTGCCAGCAAGGACCTCTCCCACGTGGCTGACACGCTCCAGAGGGGCCCTGGGGGCTGCCAGGGCAGCGGCAGCCCAGCTGGACTCCTGTTCTAACCGGCCGGCTGCCCAGACACAAAGACAGTTCGGCAAGAGCTTCGTGTCTTAGAGCAGTCACTTCGGGAGGACCACGTCCGTGTGTACTCGCGCGACAGGTTGTACGGTGGGCAGGTGGGACCGTGTCGCTCCTCACTGACCCACGACGGTTACAGACAACAACGCTGACCGCGAGGGTCACGTTATGAAGACAAACTAAGAATCCGCACAAGATCCCAGTCACATGCGCATCTCCAACCTCAGCAGGCGATGCCGAGCTGTGTTCCTCCCGCCTGTCACTCCGCTCGGAACGGATAAAACTCGTGTTGCTCCGTACTTCTATTGTTTTAATTGCTAGAAAGTCATCGAGGGTTTTCCTTTTTAATGTCGGTTTGAGAGAGAGGGAGAGAGAGAGAGAGAGAGAGACAGCATGCACGAGCAGAGGAGACGCAGAGAGAGGAGGAGAGAGAGAATCCCAAGCAGACGCTGCACTGTCAGCACAGAGCCCAACGTGAGGCTCGAACCCACAAACCGTGAGCTCATGACCTGAGCTGAGATCAAGAGTCAGACGCTTAACTGACGGAGCCACCCGGGCGCCCCCAAAGTTGTCAAGCGTTTTATTAAACCGTAAACTAGTTAAGGTAGAATCCATGCTTTACTCTCTTATGTCCACAGCCCCCAGAACATTCTCTACGTAACAAGTATCGAGTGAATGTTAAAGAGGTTAAGCGTTTATGCTGGTTTACAAAAGCCAGGGGAACCATTCCCTAAGCGGTGTAACGAAAGACAGGTCAGTGGCATCAGCAAGAACCAGAGCGGAGCCTGTACAGTGGGAGGGGAGAAGCCCTGCTTGCACCCCGCGAGGGAGATGGCAAGAGACCCCTGAAGGCCAAGTGGGTCTTGGACAGAATTCAGAAGTCTCTGAGCCAGAGAGTGCTATCTTTATGTCCCCAGAGGCGGCACTGGGCCCAGGACAGAGCAAGCACCTAAAAATCATTGTTGGGAATGTTATTAGATCTTTTTTTTTTTAAGTTTTATTTATTTAAGTAAGCTCTACACCCAACGTGGGGCTCAAACTCACGACCCCGAGATGAAAAGTCGCACGCTCTTCCGGCCGAGCCAGCCAAGCACCCCCGTGTTAGATTTTTAAAGTCTTTGTGTGCGTATGTGTTTCGTGTTTTCAAGAGGCAGAGTGGATCACCTAATTCTTTTTCCCAGAAGCCCCCAATCCCTGACGCGCACGGGAACCACCGTGTGGCACCTGTCAGGCAAGACCCCGGCCTTAGCTACCTTCCCCTACGTCAGCAGCAGAAACGACTCAAGGTTCACGAAGGCGTTAAAGAGACTTCTGGCAGGTGGCACAATAAGGAGAGCCAGGCTGCTCCGGGACCCGGGCATGGCCTCTGACGAGAGCTCCCAGGGCGGCTGAGGCCTCCCACGCGTGGCCTCTGGCACCAACGCAAACAGCACTGCCCGCGTGTCTCCAGTCTGGCCAACTATGGCGCGGCTTCCCTGGGAAGGGCGGCACAGCACACAAGGAAGCCTCCCGCGTCTCTGAACCGCACTCACCTGAACACGTCATTCCAATACTCCTTCACGTAGGACACTTGATGGAACGGGATGTCTAGGATCTGGCAAACTCTGTAAGCATCTTCACAGTCTCTGTCGGCAGTGCAAACCCCGTGTTCATCTAGTGAGTCCCAGTTCTTCATGAACACCCCCGTCACCTGGTAGCCTGGGGAAGGGAGGAGGCACAGATCAGAGTCCATAATCAACCCTGGGTGAAAAGGCAGCGGCTTCTGAGCTCCGAGCAGCTCCCCGGCAGGCCCCCCTCCCACACCACACCACCATCTGCTGGTTCGCCCAGAGATGTCTGCTTTGCTACAAGGCCCTCAAAGTGACTCACATCTTAGCCCAAGACACCTGACTTGCCGGCTGGCTGAGATGCTCCCTCGGCTACACTCCCACAGCACTCTGTAAAGGTCTCCGACATCACAGTGCATGGCTGGACTGCAACTGTTGGCCAGCGTTTACCCCCAGGCAAGCAAGATGGTATATTTGCATCTTTGTGTCCCCACCTCTCCCCCCGCATCAGCACGATGCACGCCCAGCATGCGGGAGAGGCTCGGCGGGAGAGGCTCGGCAAATGAGTCATGAATCAGAGAGCAGGAACTCAACTTTTTTTTTTTTTTTTTAATGTTTGTTTATTTTTGAGAGACAGAATGCGAGTGGGTTGGGGCAGAGAGGGAGGCACAGAATCCGAAGTAGGCTCCAGGCTCTGAGCTGTCAGCACAAGCCGGACGCAGGGCAGGGCTCGAACCCACAAACCACGAGATCATGACCCAAGCCAAAGTTGGACGCTTAACCCACTGAGCCACCCAGGCGCCCCTAGGCTATTCGATTATAAATGCTATACTAACTTTATCTTTTATGACCCAGTTTTTCCTTTTCTGTTGTAACAAAGTACCCAACCAAATACTGGAAAGACCAGCTTAGGTGAACTACCCAGGTGCCTGCCTTGCAAGAGAAATGTTTCTTTCTACATGGGTAGGCTCAATGTAACAAAAGCCAGAACACATGACTCCAAAGAACAGAGACTGGATGACAAAGCTTTGCCAAAACTAACCTACAAATTTGCAAGACCACCCCCACCCAGCTGGTTAATCCGGTTAATGTGGCCCTCCCCACTCTGCTTCCCAGAGCACCTGACTCCCTTCTCTCTCTCTCTCTCTCTTTTTTTTAATATTTACTTTTGAGAGAGAGGGAGAGCACAAGTAGGTGAGGGGCAAAGACAGAAAGAGAGAAAGAAAGAGAAAGGGGGGGGGGGAGACACACACACACACACACACACACACACACACACACACACACACAGAATCCAAAGCAGGCTCCAGGCTCTGAGTTGTGAGTTGTCAGCACAGAGCCTGATGCGGGACCTGAATATGCGAACCGTGAGATCATGACCTGAGCTGAAATTGGACACGCAACTGACTGAGCCACCCAGGTACCTGACTCCCTTCTCTGATAGCTCATACCACACTGGGCTCTGTTGGGTGTGTTCCAATCAGCCCCCTTCTAAAATCACTGAAGCATGGAGCTCTTCAAAGGGCAGGGACTACATCTCGTCCAGCCTGTCCCAGTGCCCATTACAGAACCAGAGCCAAAAAAGGGCTTGTGGAATGGAGAGAGCTCCACGCATCCCATTCACACCTGCATTCCACGTGCCCAAAAAGGAAAGGCTCACAGCAGAGGGTGCACGAATGTCACTTTAGAACTCCACTCATCTGTAACCTCATCTGCCTGCTCATTCTTCCCTTGGAGACGGAACCCGCTTACAGGGGCACCAGGCTCAGGCGCTCTAGGACGGGACCTTAGCGCTTCACCCATCCTGAACTTTCCAGAGGGCACATGACCAGGAAAGCCCGTGATGCCAAGGAGAGGACCGAGCTCTTCCTTTGCTGAGTCCATCAGCTTCCGGCACTGAGAGGGAAACCCCAGGAAAGGCTGCCATATGAAGTGAAACAGTCTGGACACTGACGGACTCCGGAAGGGCGGCGCCCGGGCATGACCTTCGTGAAGAGGGTTTTCCTTTTTAATGTCGGTTTATTTTGAGAGAGAGGGAGAGAGAGAGAGAGAGAGACAGCATGCACGAGAAGAGGAGACGCAGAGAGAGGAGGAGAGAGAGAATCCCAAGCAGACGCTGCACTGTCAGCACAGAGCCCAACGTGGGGCTCGAACCCACAAACCGTGAGCTCATGACCTGAGCTGAGATCAAGAGTCAGACGCTTAACTGACGGAGCCACCCGGGCGCCCCCAAAGTTGTCAAGCGTTTTATTAAACCGACCCCGGGGACTCTCTAGACGCCAGCAAGCAACGCCAGCACCCTGGCGGAAATCTGTCGCGCGATGCACGGCGAGCACCGACGATCCGCTGACATCTCGGCAGACGCGCTGAGGACCGCGTTGGCACCTCGAGGGCAAGGGCCTGTCCCGCGCGGCCCCTGGGCCGCGGGGGTCAGCTCGTTCAGGGCCGCCCGCGGCCTCCCAGGGTCAGCGCCGTCCCCGCCGTCGTCACTCCAGGCAGAGGGCTTCGGAGCCGGGGAGAAGCGCGGCCCCCAGGGTCAGGATCCCTACCACTGGGTCGGTAACCGGGCTGGCGGCGCGCGGGGGAGCGCCCAGGCGGTCGCGCGTCCTCGACCACCCCGTGGAGGGTGAGGGGCCGGGAGCCGGCGTCTCCGAGGAGGGGTCGCTCACCTCTCCGCTTCAGCAGCAGCGCGGCCACGGCGCTGTCCACCCCACCGGACAGGGCGCACACGACGTGCCGCGCCACCTGCATCCGCACGCCGCCAACCTCCCCAACAGCAGTCGCCGCTTCCGCGCCGCGCCGGAAGCCCCGCCCCCGCCGCGGCGTTGCAGACGCGGCCCGGGCGGAAACGTGTGTCCGCGCGCGACGTTCCGCCCTTTGCCCGGGCTTCCGCTCCCGAGGCCCCGCCCACGCCCCCTGCGCGCGCACCCTAGCTCGGGCTCGCTGCCGCGGCTGCGTGGGCTGCTCCGGGGCGGGGCTAGCGTCTACTTCCGGGTGCACCAGCGGACGGGCTGGAGGCGGGCGAGGAGACGGGGGAGGGGAGGAGCTGGTTTCTAGGAGGGGGCACCTCTAAGCAGGAGAGCCAAGTGATCTCATCTAAATTCAGGAAGATTCTCCTGGGTGCCCTGCGCAGAGGACGAGCTGGGAGCCTGGTTAGGAGGCGTGACAGCCACCTAGGGAAGAGATGTACTTGCAGGTAGAATCTAGCCCTTGCTGCGCGAATGGCTGTGGGGGGATGAGACAGACCGTGGAGGACTTGATGTTTCTCTTCCCGGAGGAGGGGGTGACCTGCCTGATCCGTGTCAGGTGCCTGGGGAGAATCGGCTGTTCTGAACGAGTGCGCACGGGAGCGCACGAGTGGGGCAGCCGGGCAGAGGACCGGTGACGGGCACATTTCTGGAGGACAGAAACAGGAGAACCCGGAGACATTCGCTGGGCCTAAAGGAAGACAGTGGGGAGGCAGAGGGGTGAGGGTGTGGTGAAGGCAAAGGAAGAGGACCAGATTGGAAACCTGAACGGAGCAGGGCGGGCGGAGAGCCTGTAAGAGCGAAGAGGTGGTCACTGCGGAGTACCAAAGCAGGGGATTGGCCCGGCTCAGACCAAGAGGGTCACGGGGCCCAAAGGACTGATTTGGGTTGACACCAGAAGCTGCGTGGTCCGCACCAGCAAAATACAGGCATTCTGTAAGTCAGCGACTCTCAACTTTATTCACTTCAAACCCAGCGTCACGTTTTACAGGGTGGCCCAGAGGTGACACCAACCTACACATAGAACCACAAAGAATGCTTCTCTAACCGGTTTTTACTTTTGCAATACGCCACGTACATATAATAGATGTTCCTCTTGATTCTTTTTCATTTTGAGATACTGCAGTCCACCAACATAGTGGTGAAGTCTAAAGTAGTCCACTCCACTAAATTAGTTTCATGTAGAATTTGAACCACGGTTTGAAAATGCCAGGGAGGAAATGCGGCAGCAAATGCAAATAAATGGAAATCGGGCCAATAACACCCCCCCCCGCCCCCCCCGCAAAGCTTCAGGTTAGAACTGGGCTCGTTTTTAATAGTTTCTTGACAGGTTGACAGCGGGCGCAAGTGTTTAAACTCGGATGATTATTAAGGCAAGGCATTTTCCTGAGGACAGAACTACCTTGAGGGTCTAGAGAGAAACGAGGAAGGCCCCCAGTCTCCATTTCCCAGAAGAGAAGCAGGAACTGCCAGCTGGAGAGTCGTGGCCGCCGGTGCCACGAGCAGGCACAGGGCGAGCTCCCCGACAGGCAGGAAGGTCACAGGGCCCCTCGGGGAAACAAGAACGACTGCTTTTTCTGAAGAGGGTGTCATCCAATAACACGTCCAATGAGAGTATCTGTTTCATCTTGGACTTCCCAGAAGAGATGAGTAAACACAGTATTTGGCCACCTGGCCTTCGGGCAAATTTTGGGGTGAACCTTTAGTGGGGTCTGTGGCAGTGGCTGAACCACGGGGTGGGTATTTTGGCTCGGTCTAGAGGACCACGCCCTTCCTGGATGTGGCAGTTTGGTACAAGGGCAGAAGCCCAGTTTTCCTGCCCAAGCAGAGGGATTTTTTTCAGGTCTGCTACCCCCCCCCCCCCAAAGTGGCTGAGACATGATACGTTTGCTACATTTTCTGCTGCTTTTCAGTTAAAGGCAAGGTATTTCAGCTACTTTGGATGACGCAGCGATAGGAAAGACAATGAATTCTCAAGTGCCATGTGCTAAGAGCGATGTAAGATTAGATTTCAGAGGCTTGCACCAGAAAATTAATGAAATATGATAAAAACCGGGTGAGGTTGGGCCTCTTAAACCCAGGAGGGTGGCCCTCTAGTGGCAGCCAAGGTCCTGTCTCCAGGGCCAGTGTGTCCTTTCCCACACTGAGGCCTTCGGGTGGTGCACTTAGGAGGAAAAAGAGAGCCTGGGGGACGTTCTGCCGGGAGGTGCTGCGCATCCTACACGTGCCTTTCGGGGGCCGTCTCCCACCCATTTGAGAATTAGAGTCCTATTACTTCTGTCTTGCCTGAGGACACCTGCAGATTGGATGGCACCCCTGGGCCCCAGTAAGAGCCTGGCCGCTCCTGAGGCAGCCTGGGGGGAGGGGCCCAGGACGGAGGGCCCAGCTCACGCCCTGGGTTTGGATGGGATGGCCAGAGCCCCACTAGGTAACCGTGTATTAGCTAAGAGTTCAATGCACCTCCCTCCCACCACTAGGCAGGGAAGCCTGAGCTTTGCCCCCCACCACATCCCCGGGGCCACACGGCCTGCCTCATCTCCATGAACACGTGGGGCACTGGGCCGGCTCAGTCCGTGGAGCGTGCGACTCTTGACCTTGGGTTCGTGTAGAGATTACTTAAAAATAAATAAATAAAACTTTTAAGAAAACAACATGGGAATGAATTGATTCAGTTCCAGGTTTGGGGTTTTCCCCTGTGAATCGCGGGGCCACGGAGGAGGGGTGGGCCGCTGGGCTTCCCACAGGATCCCTGCTCCCGCCAGCCGGGGGTGGGGGTGGGGGGGGATTCAGACAACAAGGTGAGTTGCTCCGAGTCTAACCGTGGTCTATTCAGACGACTGCGCGAGGCGCTCACACGTCCGAGCAGCCCCGCCTTTGAACGTAAAGCTTCTACCCACAGGTGCAGCCATGCTCTTCGGGACGTCTGCTTCCCCTCTGCAGACACCACAGGAGTCACCTTCCCGTTCCCGGCGTTAACCAGAGAAAGCTCAAAGTGCAGCCCCCCGCTCCCCGGCTCTCCCCGCTCGGCCCCGGTCTCGTGCAGGAAACACCAGGTGGGAGCCCAAAAAGCAGGTGCACGTAGTGCTGTGTGTTGTGAGGCCACCGGACTGAGACTGAGAAATTTCCTCAAGAAGTGAGGTCTCTATACACACCAGTGGCTCGCAGGCTAGCTGGCTGTCAGAAAATATTAGAACGGCTTCAGGCAGGGACTACGCTGCCCAGTGGCCCTTAGCTCCGTTTCCTCCTGCCCTCGGGCCAAGGGCTCCAGCTTTAGCACAGCCGAGGGCTCCACTCCTCAGACAGGTGGCTCCTTACCTCTCTCACCTCCCCCTCCGTCCTGGCCGCCACCTCCCTAGGACGGCCCGCGCCCAGGGCGTCTGCATGCAGGTGCAGACTGCTGATCCTGCCCCCGACCGGGGCGGTGGGGCTTGGGGTCTGCATCTAAACCAGTATTTCTTCATACTCAATTTTGAAAATCACTTGGGGAAGGGTGTCCAGGTGGCTCAGTCGGTTGAGCGTCCAACTCTTGGTTTCGGCTCGGCCCGTGACCTCACAGTTCGTGGGTTCGAGCCCCACATCAGGCCCCGCAGCTGGCAGCTGGGAACCTGCCTGGGATTCTCTCTCTGCCCCTCCTATGCTCGTGCTTACTGTTTCTCAAAATAAATAAGTGAGCTTCTAAATAAAACCACTCGTGGAAACAGTGTGACTAACATCAATCTGGCATACTGATTAATAATTAAAATAGTTACACCTGCTTAAAAATCAAGATAACCTTAAAATCGAATTCTGCTTTAATACATTTTCATTTATTTTCCAATTTAATTTAAACCTAGACTATTTACCTTTTCATGCAAACTTAATTTTAAAAATAGTCACTTGCCATTTTTACACGCAAAAGACACAAAACAAAATTCTTCACCTCCAGCCCAGTGTGTGGGGCAGCGGTAAGCTCGGGGCCGATTGCACAACATCCCCTCTAGGCCCGGGACCTTTACTTGGGGTTGTTGTAAACAACAACCACGAAACAATTGCTCCCAAGATTTATTTCTAACGGTTGAAAACCACCTTAGGACTGACAGTTCTTTTCACGAAATGTAAAACGCGAAGGGTTTTATTCTCCTCAGAACTTGAGAAGTGGCGAATCGACATTTTCCTTGTCAGCCTCGGGACTCAGCTGGATCAGAGGAGAAGTCAAGTCTATCAGCTGCAAGACAGAGGCGACGGGGTGAATGACGCGGCCGCGTGGCCCCTCCCGGCCCGCGAGCCCCCTCCGCCGCGGCTCAGACACACTGAAAGTGCAGCTAGCACGTCTAAGAAGCCGGAAGGAGAAGATGCCACGCGGAAGAACTCTGAGTTCTTGACACACATGTGCTCCCTCCTCACAAATCGGGCCCTGGGGGACCCTGGAGCGACAGTGATGGGACCCCTGCCCTCGGAGAGCTCCCGGGCCCCCAGGCAGGATCCCGCAGCAGGACTTGGTGAATTCTAAGCTCATGCCACCGCTGGAGGGTACCCCGACACGTGTCACTTTAGAGACCTCAGGGGCTGCTCTCGAGGGTCACCGCGACGTGCCCTGGGAGGAGGAACAAACCCAGAACTGAGACCACCCGAGGCCAAAGCCCACATGGAACCACCTGCTACTTCTCACCTGTGCCACCTCGTGGAGAGGCTTGGACGCGGTGGTTCTGTTCATGTCCGGAGTGTTGATCAGCAGGTCAATCAGAGGTCTGCCTTCAGAGCCCGGAGCCACGCTTGCTTCTGGAGTACCGCCCAGGTCCACGAGAGGGGGGCTGACGAGGGCTGGGCCCTCGGCTTTCGGAGCGATGGCAAGTTGCTCCAGTCTAAGATCCACAAGAATCGCCTAGACGAGAACACAAGATCTGAAGGCAATTCTGGTACCTTTTTGTCCACCGTATTGAGAAAACAGGAAACCCAAGGAAGGATGGCCTTTAGCGGGGACAGCTGGCTGTGGTATGCACGTACCGATGGGTGGAGTTCCCTCCTCCTCAGCCACCCCCACACGGCCCCCCAGCTCCGTCTGCCGCCCTCTGGCCGATGGCCCACACTAGGGCTCCCACCGGCCTCTCCCACTGTCACTCTGCTTCCTACTGCCCGTCCTCTGGGCAAACACAGGAGGAGGGGAGAGGCTGGAGGTCCTGACTCCCACTCTCTGGCCCTGGGGGCCCGGGGACAACAGATGAAGTCCCAGAGAGGCAACTCGGCGGACCACCGTGCTGAGTGACCACGCGGCTTGGGGGCAGAGTCCAGGGTCCCGGAGAACACGGTACCTCACGAGGGCGTGTGTCTTCGGGTGGCCGGGCCGCAGCTGGCACTCCTTCTGCAGTGATGCTTTTTGGAACAGCCAAGTCGCTCTTTTCAGGAGAGAAGTTAAGTGCCTGTGGCACAGCCGACGGGGGGGAACAGGACCCGTCAGACGACGAGTCCTCGCGCCTGGAGGCAGCCTCGCTCCTGCTCGCCCTGGTTGGCGCGGCTCTGCGGGGAGAGAAAAGGCAGACCCCGTGAGGGACCGTAAGTGCTGGCTCGTCGGGCTAGGATTCTGTTCTGGGAGGAGATGGGTCACACGGGGCAGGGCGTGCTGGCTTTGGTTCCGGCTCCATCCGCGACAGCTCGAGTCCCTTTCTGACCTTCAGCTTCCTCGTGAATAAAAATAAAAGGCCCGAATGGTCTCGGAGGTCCTTTGGCTCTAAAAGCTTACCAGCCTGCTACCCACACGGGCCTGTTTTACGCCCTTCCCTTCAGTCCGCGAAGCGGACAGAGACACGCTTGCTCCACGTTCAGGTAGAGAGGAGAGAAATGCTCCGATGAAAATGAAGCAGGAAAACGGAATAGAGTGACCGGGCAGGGAGGCGGGACTTTCCAGAAAGGTCCCCGAGGTTGGCCCCTGAACGTGGACTTGAACCGTGGAGGGGCAGCGCATCCCAGATGGAGAGGACGGCCAGGACAGGACCGTCTGCCACGCGCTGAGGGAGGGGGCGGCAGGGCTGGAGCCAAGTGACAGGGACGGGGGCAGGGGAGGCGGGAGAAGCAGGTGGAACGGACGCGGTAGCAAATGCGGAGTCTGTTTCTCAGGAAGCCTGAGTGTGGTCACCCCTGGCCAAGACTACGGGACTGTCCTGGGGGCCCGGTTGCAAAGACCACACCAGACCCCAGACCCCGGGTGTGGGTGCACCTTACTGAGTCTTCTGCCCAAAGGGCTCCCCCCAGTGAGAGGCCACGGCCCACGGCGACGGGGTGATTGGCAGGTGCCGTCCCTGCTTGCCCAGCCCTTCAGCCCAGTCGGGACAGTACGCTGGGTGGAACGAGGATGTTGGAGCAAGCAGGTGCCCTCCCGCGCTTCAGGGAGCCACCGACAGGCTTCTGTGGCCGCCGCCTCTGCCTCTTACCTCGCTGCACATTTTTTCCGGAGTTCAGAGGAAAGCCGCGGAGCAGACACACACAGGGGAGAAGCCAGAGCTCTGGGCACAGTTTTAGGGGTCACCCGTGGAAGGCTGGAGAGCCGACGGCTGGCGGGCGTGGGCAAGGCTGACCCACGCCTCGCACTCACAGGGGTCGTCATACCGCTTAAATGTCCTGGTGAGGCCGGCCCAGATGAGTGTCCAGCGGGAGTGCTGTGGACAACTACCCTGGAAAGACAAAATGAGAGTCTTCAGCAGGCATGAACAAAAAGAAGATTCTATTCATCCGATATGCTAATGCAGTAAAAAGTCCTGTGACTTCAACAGACGAGACTCAGGCCTGCGAAGCCCGCTGGAGGTCTGCTCTGGGGAGGCAGGGCCACCCCAGCACCCTGGGAAACCCTGCTGTCTCCGGACGGAGCATGCGAACGCACCTCGTGGGAGGTCCGCAAAACATCTAAACATCACCTCTGACAGCGTAGGTATTTCCACAAGGAAATCCAGAGCCACAGCGGGGACTGCCCGGGCTCACACGCACACAGGGAGCCGTCACTGCGTGTTCGTTCATTCCAGCGCTCGGGTCACCTGAACCCCACGTGAGCGCACAGGACTGAATGCGGGCACCCGCGGCTCATTTCTCACACATCCCGCTTTTCAATCTGGCGATACGTGTGGCTGTAACTGCCGGTGAATCCTCCTGCTGATGTGTTCTGCGGTTTCTGATAAAGACGGTCTGTGTGGAGTCAACCACTATTTTAAATAGGTCGAGGGTCGCCGGGGGGTTCCGTCGGTTGAGCGTCCGACTTCGGCTCAGGTCATGGTCTCACGGTTCGCGGGTTCGAGCCCCGGGTTGGGCTCTGTGCTGACAGCTCAGAGCCCGGAGCCTGCTTCGGATTCTGTGTCTCCCTCTCTCTCTGCCCCTCCCCTGCTTGCACTCTGTCTCTCTCTCTCCCTCTCTCAAAAATAAACATTAAAAAAAAATAAAATCAAAGTAAGTGGACGACTCCTCACCTTCCCACTGATGTGCAGGAATATGGCCTCTGTGCCCGACAGGACTTTGGCATTGCACTGTCTGCAGGCTCACCTGAGCAAGAGAGGAAGTGTGTCCCGTCAGTCAAACGTGGATCAAGTGACAAACCCACTGCAGGGCCCTGTCCCTACTGTCCCCGTGTCTGCTCTACCAGGACAGCTGGTGTCGCGACCACAAGGGTGCTCGCGGCCACGGAGGGAGCCCGCTGCCACGGTCGCAGGGCCGCATGTTCTAACGGCGTGGGGCTCCCCGTGGCCTCTCCGGCACTGAGTTTATGAGAACAGTTTGGCCCAGGGTGAATGATGAACGGTGTTCATGGACAGCCCTGTCCCTGACACCGTGAAGAAAAGAGAAACCGATTTCAGAGGCGCGTGAGGCGTCATTAGGGGCACGGGCAGCAGAGGGTAGCAGCCGACGGGCACTGGGACCGGTCCAAGTCGGCGAGACCGGCAGATGACCGTGTGGTTGGAGGAAAGGCAGCCAGAGGCACGCCGTGGCCTCGGGCACCCGGGAAGAAAGGCAGCCGACGCCGCCAAGCACACTCGGTGCGCCCTGTGCCGTGGACGCCCCGAAGAACCGCTTTCAGCCAACACGCTGAGCTCCCTGCCATGGAAACCTCAATCTTATCTCCAAGGGTGACCGCTCCCACGGGGCCCGAACCCACACCTTCAACCACCTGCTCGGCACGGCCCTCAGCACAGCCCCGAACTGTGGCACCTCGCGCTCAACAGGTGCAAACCGGGCCAGTGGGCTCTACCCGGGGCTGCCGTTCCTCCAGCCCTCTCCTGGGCCCCTGGGCGTGGGAGGCAGCACCCGGGCGCCCCGCGGAGGCCTCCGGGTCACTCCCGAGTCCCCTCCCACGCCGCCACGAGCTCCCCTCCCCCCATGGTCTCCTGTCCACCTCCCGGCCGGGCTGCCACGGAGCCCTCCCAGCTTCCATTCTTGCCCACGAAGGCCTGTTCATCACTCAGGGGAGGGATCTGCTGGAGGCCAGGACTCCCCGCCTAAAACCCTCTTCCTTAGCACCTGCACTGGCCCCCCGCCGCCTCAGTCCCCACCTCTCATGACCCTTCCCCTCGTTCACTAACTTGGCTGAGGTTGCTAGTGTTTGATCAGTATCCGCCCTCTTCTTCTCAGGAAGGAACCTGAGCGGGGCGAGAAGACAGCACGTCTTAGCACCCCTGGCAGGGAAGCACGGTCACATGACCGAGGCCTGAGCGAGGGGACAGAGAGGGGCACACACAACTTCCGTAAGCGCTCTCGCAAGGTAGGGGTGTGGTCCCCTTCGCCCGTCCCACCCTCGCAGCTGACGGGGCGGAAGGTGGGGCTGCAGCAGCTGCATTAGAGGGTGAGGAAGAGACACCGGTCACGGCAAAACGAGACAGAGACGGCCTGGGTCCTCAAAAGGCTTCAGGGCATCAAAGGCCACCTGTACCGGCCAGCAGTGCTGGAGACTTCAAGAGACAAGCACCTCTACTTGAGTGAAGCTACAGGGACCCTCTCCCTTAAGGCAGCTCTGCACGACCTCCCACGTTACGCGGATTTCTTAGATTCATCTGCCTCGACCGAGCACCTGCCACCTGCCACCCTCCAGATACCACGCCGGTGCCACTCACAGCCAGACAGGGAGGCAGCCTGGGTCCTGGGCCACGGAGGAAACACACACGTGCGGAGGGAGACTCCGAAAGGCCAAGGTGAGGTCAGCCACTGGGAACAACGGCCACCGTTCGCACAGGGCTGGAAACTGCCCACGTCCCACCGGCCACAGCAGGGACCTCGGGAACACGCAGCACGTCCGGCAGGGACCGGGCAAGCACAAGTCAGCAGCAAGGCCACCTGTTCCCGAGGGTATAGGCCACTCGAGACCTGCCCCATCGAAGCTTTGAAACAATCCTCAAAAGGCTCAAGTCGACCTGCGATTGAAATGCCTGCCAAAGCAAGGTTCTACTTCTTAAAGCAAAGCAACAAAATGCAGATCTTCCAAGATTTTAAACCTATACTGTAAACAACGATTACACACGAAGAGGCAGGAAAATGTGGTCATAATCAGGAAAAAAGTCAGTCACTAGAAACAGACCCCCAAATGACCGGGAAGGTGGCATTAGAAGAAACAGTGTAAATCAACTGTCATAAATATATTCAAGAATTTAAATAAACACCATAAGGACAAAGACGGGGAAACTACAATGTCAAAAAAGAAAAATGAACTGAATGGGCGTAACCACAGATTAGACGCGCCGCAGAGAAAGACAGGTAAGCGTGAAGACAGGACGTTACAGATGTCAAAACTGAAACACAAGAAAAGGGGGAAACCCTGGGCCTCCATGACCTACAAGCCACATTGAGAAGTCTAGACACGTGTAATTAGGGTCCCTGTAACTAGGGGCAGCAAGCAAACAGAATCTGAAGAAATAAGAGCCAAGTTTTTTTTTCCAGAATGAATTAGAAACATCAACCCACAGATCAAAGCAGCTCAGGAACCCCCAAGAAGGATAAACTCCAAAAAAGCCACTTCAAAAGTCATAATAATCAAAATGCTGAAATTAACACTAAGAGGAGCCTGGGAGCAGTGATGTAACGGAGGGAAGAATGCGGGATGGGGATTCCACTGAGTGCTCGTCCAAAATGATGCAAGCTAGAAGATGCTAGGACAACATATTCAAGGTGTTTTAATAGCGACGCCTGGGTGGCTCAGTCGGTTAAGCGTCTGACTTCAGTGCAGGTCATGATCTCACAGTTCATGGGTTCGAGCCCCACATGGGGCTCTGTGCTGACCGCTCAAGGCCAGGAACCTGCTTTGGACCCCGTGTCTCCCTCTCTCTCTGCCCCTCCCCTGCTTGTGCGCATTCTCTGTCTCAAAAAAATGGATAAACGTTAAAAAAAAAAAAAAGAAAACTAAGAAAAACATACAGAAAATGCTCCATTCCTCACCAGTAGAAAACTTGGGGACCTTAAAGTGACTTGTTGGGGTGGGCATCGCCTTTGTCTTGCAGGGTAGCCGGGAATCACGCCCTCTCGCACTCCCGGCCGTATTCAACAGAGACGGCGGCGACCAGCTGGAATGAGAGCTCAGCCCCGGGCCTCCCTGTTCCAGAGTCCGGGCTTGGGCGACAGCCGCGGGGGTGAGCGCCTTGGCTGGCTCCCTTGTCACCTCTGCAGCCAAGGTCCATTTACTCCTTCTGCAGGACGCACCCCCAGGGCCTCCCTGCAGGGACTGCCGGGACACAGCAGGTCCCACTCTGCCTGACTGGCTGGTGCATGACACAGGCGGGGAACTGTTCGCAGGAAAACTTGCAGGTTCGCTTGATTTAGCTGGAAGAGGAGACACGACGTCTGGTTATGGCTGAGGCCTGGGTCACTTTTAAATTATGAAGTTACTTGACAAACACATACAAGGTACGCTGTCTTCACCGTATCTACCTGAAAATGTTTTCAAGTGAAGGAAATGTATTTCTATCCTCACGATCTCCGTGTGAGAGAAACACAGGACCTGTGAGCAATATTCCGTACACCCGTCAGGTAACATCCTCAAACAGGACAAGCTGGGTCGCTCATGGCTCAGCCGAGTGCGTTGTAAGGTACTAACTCTAGACGCGATTACCAGGACGCACGTAAGCGTACGTAAATTCGAACTCTCCCCCTCCACCGACTGTGTCAACAGCAGACATCTACGCTGGCTGAGCAGACACAAGCGGGCGGTCCAGCCGCGCCTCCGGGCAGGGAGGAAGGGAGGGAAGGGCGAGAGGAGGCGCATTCATCACTGGTGGGCTCCCTCGAGTCCCAAGGAGGCTGGGTCATGGCCATCACGAGCGCCATTTAAAACAGAAGGACGGCGACCAGGGTCCTCAGGTGCCAATATGCCCCATGCAGAAGGCAGGCTGGCGAGATCCCAAAGGCCTCGAAGAGAACGGCTGACGCCATAGCTCTTTTGTTCAGTGCGTAATGGCTTTACGGCGCTCCCCCCGCCCCACAACCGTCCTGTCTGACCCAGCCTCCCCAGTGTGTACCACGCAGAAAGACCCACACTCAGGCCCGTTCCACGTCCGTCTCAACCTTTAGCGGCTAGGAACGCAGGGCCCCCGAGTGAAAACAGTGCTGACGCCCCGCACCGCCGCGGCCACTCAGGCCTCACAACCTCCGACGAGACAGAACTTCCTTTCCCCGAACGCGGGCCACGCGCTCCTTCTGATGCCCGGAAGAGCGCGTCCGGGGAGGCTCTGTCCTGCGGTGTGTCCGGTTCCGGGAACAACTGGAGTTCTCTTGGCCGCCACCTGGCAGCGGGGGCTCCAGATCACGTCGGCCTAACTCCAGAGCTCACGCTTTGCGGTTTGACAAAACGCGCACAGGTCTGCACGGCAAATAGGCCTCGAAGAGGGCGGAGTCCTGAAGGGAATCCAAGGCTTCCCCCCACAGGTCACGAGGGCTCCTCCCCTTTACCACCAGATGGCGCCCTTGGCTTGCGAAGGTTACCACCGTGCAGAGGCGGGTTTGGGTCGGGGTTTAAGGAAGCACAGGCAGTTACAAGGGCCACGTGCCCTACGTTATCTGGAACAGTCCTATTTTTAAAACCTGTGTGTGATTACATGTCAGTGGGCTGGTCTCAGCGTCCTCGTGTGTCGCGGGCACGTGGAGCGTCCACCAGCTTTGGGACGGCTGGAACCACCCTGCCCTAAAACCCCTGGCCTGAGCGTGCCCCTTCTCAGAGGAGAAACCCTGGAGGGCAGGGGGCCCGACACAATGTCTCCTGCCCCAGACCGCAGCAAACCCTCCAGAACCTTCTGCTGAGTCTACGTGGTTCCGTGAAAACAGTCTCAGTGGGTCAGATAGCATTCAAGGCCTTGCCTCTCGAGACGCGGGCGGGTCTGGGCAGGAGACGCTGGCTGGCTTACCTCTGCAGGTGGCCGGAGAAGCACACACACTGGAAATCCCACCAGAAACAGACCCTGAGGAAGACGACTTCCTTGAAAGACCGCCAGCACACCCACTTGGTTTTAACAGGGTCCTCTTCGGCCCCAACTGAAACAAAACATTAAAAAACAGAGTCATCGAAGATTTTGTTATCTACCCATTACTTTTTTATGCCAAAATTGGGTTTAAAAATATTTTTTTAAATGTTTATTTTTGAGAGAGAGAGAGAGAGAAAGTGAGCAGGGGAGGAGCAGAGTGAGAGGGAGACAGAAGATCTGAAGCGGGCTCCTCGCTGACAACAGGGCTCCGACTCATGAACCATGAGATCATGACCTGACCCACCCAGGCACCCCCCTAAAATAATTTTTAATAATTGAGTAATCATCATCTTAAGTGTAAAGAAAAGGCCAAGCAGTACTTCTCAAGCGCGGTCTTCAAAGCCCTGCATGAGTGACAAACGTGGGGGACTCCTGAAATGCAGATGTTGGGGCTCTGACCCTGCCCCCCGAGTCTGTAGCTGGGGCCCAGCTTCTGGCGAGGACATCAGCGGTTCTCACACGCAGCACCGTTTAACCACAAAGCTGCGGGCACTCGTCTCCAGGCCTGTGAGCTGCGGTTTCCAAGCAAGGACATCCCATGTCATCTGAGGGCAGCCGGAGCGGCGCAGACACACACAGGCTCGGAGAGGCGGACTTTTCTCAGTCCACGGAGCCCCCCGCGCACGCCAGGCCGTGTTCTCTGCATTGCAGCAAGCTGCCTCTCACGGGTCCCAGTTTCAACCTTCCTAAACGTGACTTCAGTCAAAGACACACCACATGATACCCAAAGCCGCCCCTTTATTCTCCTTGCTCACAGGCCACACCCACCCACAGCCCCTGCAGACCCACCTTGCTCAGGACAGGGAGCGATCGCTTGCCTTGGACCAAGTGGCTGCCCCCGGCCGGCAAGCTGGCGCCCTCCCGGGCAGCACTGGATTTGTCAGGGGGCACGGCCCCGCGGGATTCCTTCTCATTTAGGTTTCTCACGCCGGAAGGGCTAGCTGGTGTCCTTTTCATAGGCTGAAAAATTGCAATTTGAATTGAGAGCAGTCTGGCCGCGGACAACGCGCAGATGCACCAAGGCGTCAATTTCGAGCACCAGCAGCACCGTCTATCTTCCCAGCGCTGTACGTGCTCAGTTCACCCGCTGGATGGAAGGGATGGAAGCGGACACGGCAACTGGCTTCCTCTGCCAAATTACCACGGACAGAAATGACGATGGCGTTTGCTTCCTCATTAAAAACAGCAAAATAATACTAAGATCGTTGCAGGAGAGAGATCCCCTAAAGCTATTCCTCAATCGGGATTCTTATTTAAAGATGATAATGAGGAAAGTGACTCTAGTGACAAAAACTCTTAAATGCTGTATGGAAAGGAATCACTCATTAAAAGGTCATTTCCTCTCCCCGAGAGGCAGCTCAGTGGCAACGAATCTTCTCGGAGGAGCACTGAGAGCCATTTTTCTTTGGAGAGCAGAGTCAAACAAAGAATACATTTCTGACATATTTAGACGCAAGGGCATTCCTGGCACTGACCCCTGCGGATAAAAATAACCCCTTGTAACAAGGAGCGCTAATGAGAAGCGGCAGCAGCTCATAAGGTCAGAGCAACGAAACAATCACTTTCTTTTTCCTTCACAGCATTTTAAAACTTGAGATCTACCTCATGGACGTAAGTTCGCCATCTGAAAGTGTGCGTTGTCAGTGGTTTCTGCACGTTCACAGTGCTGTAAGGCCAGCGTCAGTATAATCTTAGACCATACTTGCTGTCCCTGAAGGAAACTGCTAGCCATTAGCAGGTGCCCCCGCCCCCCTACTCCCTCAACCTCCCCGCCTGCACACTGGCTGACCTACCCCCCTCAATACAATTCGCCCATCGTGGTCCCTCATGCCAACAGGGTCGTACAGCAGGTGACCTTTGGCGTCCGGCTGCTTTCACTAGGCAGGTCTTCAAGGTCATCCATGTTCTACTATGTACTAATATGGCATTTCTTTATTGCCTGAGTCCAGCCCACGTGTTACACACAGAAATCCGTGCGCGGGTCCACGTATTACATAGAAGACCCGTGTCCCTCTTGTTCTGGAGACCTCACTTTGGAAATTGACATCCAAACGGGCTCCGGCAGGAGGAGTTCGTGTGATTAAAGGAACGACGGCCCAGCTCCTTAGGGGAAGCGATGGCCAGCACACCTCCTCCGTCCAGGCTCCAGTGCGGCACAAGCGCCTTTAGCTCGGATCAGTTCTGGGTCCTGAGCGCAGGGAGTCGCGCGGTTCGGGAGATGTGCTTGGAGAGGGAAGGCGCTCCCCGGCCCTCGCTAGCTGTTTTGCACGGACCCAGACTTGCTCATGACCCCACACAGCATCTCCGTAACCAGCTCAGAGAGCTGAGGCCCGGGGCCCCAGTTAGGAGCAGAGCTGAGAAGCGGTGCTCGGCGGGCTCCAACCTGCTGCCTCTCCTCGAAGCATAACTTCCTCCCCTGAGTGAGGCCGGGTCAGCGAGGCCTGGAAGCAGCCGTGGCGTGACCCTCCCTTTCTCCTGCCCTAGCGCTCCGCCCTACAAACCGCAGGGGCGAACCGCACCCCAAAGACCTGCCCGGCCGCTGCCACTGCCCAGGACGGCTCATCCGTTCAATTCCTGGGAGGAGAGCAGTCTCAACAAAATCCGGTTCAGGGAGGGGAACTGTTGGAAGCTGCTTGTTAATGCAGATGAAACCCCTAATGAGCAGGAAATCCGAAGCTGTAGCATTTAGGAAGGGATGTTTTTAAGTCATCCCAGGAGGAAGGCAGCCGCGCCTGCGTCCACATGCACCCCAAACCCAGCTCCCCGTGCCGCTCCTGCCCCCCGTGGACTTGCGGTTCCTATGCTTCCCAGCCCTCAGCCCGGCTACGTTTCCAAGCTTCTCCCCACAACGGTTTCCGTTAGGGCCATAAACCGCGAGGGCTAAAACGCGAGGGAGCACCTAATCCCGCACACGCATGTCCTGGCACGTGAACGTGTCTACCTGCTCCGCGGCCGCATGAATGGTTTTCCCTCTCACAGACGAAGCTCGGGGCCGTACCAACTGGCTGATGACCTTTTTCTGAGGCCCTGCCTGGTTTGGAGGGGGAGCAGCACCGGGTTCCACCGGCAAGGAAGAGCGAGGCGAGTGCAGCGGTCCCTGCGTCTGGGCTTGGCCGGCCTGGGCAGAAGCTGCCCCCAAGGGGGTCTGGCTCAGCGGTGCCCTCAAGGGGCTGTCCGACAGGTAATATGTCTCCCTCTTCAGCGACCTGGGGCTCTTCCTCATTTCCATTTCTTTCTCAAACAGGTTTATCTTTAATTTCGATTCCTGGATAAATCTCTCCACGCTCTGGCTCCAAAGGTCTTCGGGCCTGGCCGCTTGGGCTGCCTTGCTTTTGCTTTTGCTTTCGATCTGGAAGGCCAGCAAGTGAGCCTCCGTGTACACTTCCACAAACTTCTCCCCAGTGAGAGGGCTCCAGGTGAAGTGACCTTCCGAGCCTGGCAGAAGCGGTTCTTCGGGAACGTGGGCATTTAACTCTAAGCTGGCAGCGACACATCTTTCTTTATGCCCCACGGGTCCAAAGAAGACTTCATCATCTTCGTTTGCACTGTTTTAAGATAAAAGGATCATTAAGGACACTGGCAGTTAAATGAAAGACCTTACCGAATGCGGTTAAGCCCAAGGCAAGGGAAGAAAACTCATCCGTTTACCTTGAAGAAGACAGTGAAAGATCGAAGTCAAACTTTTCATCGGCCAGGAGAAGAATGTCTGTGGGGGGAAAGTCCCGTGTTATTTGAGGGCTGGGGTTGACAGAGAGAAAACATTACCAGCCTCTACAGCTATAAAAACAATGACAACATTTCACTCCCCAAAGTGTACCTTATCATGATTTTAACAGTCACCTCATCACAGAGGGCTCAAGGTTATCTTGGTTTTTTTGTTTTCTTTTCAAAATAGCATCAGCCGTTGTGTGTTTGCTGAGCTGCCCCAAAAGTCTAAGTCCTTATCTTTAAGGTATAATCTCAAATGCATTCACCAAGTCATTGAACTAGTTTTTTCTAGACTAGGTAAGTCATTTTCAGGTTAGAGCATTTTCAAAAAACCACCTGCTTCAGGTTCCCTAGAATTAAATTCCTGGCTTACAAGCCATAGAATGCCTACTGCTCTTTCAAAATCAAATTCCCTATCATTCGCATGTGCAGTCGCCACTCCATTCGTATTTGCTGACTCCCTTCGCTTCCAGAGCCCAACTCGCCCCAGAAGAAACTGCACTCTATATCCCCCATAGTACCTCCATAGGCCCGGTCTAATAAGCCTGCTCCCTCCACCAAACCTCCAGCTCCCAGGCAACTTCTCCCCCCCTCAGCTCCCCCCACCCCTGCATCACCTTGACCTGACCTCTGTCACCACACTAGCCCTGCTGCAGATGTCCCTTCACTCTTCCGGGGCCCCAACTAGACTGTAAGCTCCCCCAAGACAGCAAATGTCCACCACTCTCCCAAACTCCCTCGTGTCCAGCAAGGGGTCTGGACACTTGGCAAATAATTATCGAAATGTGCTGAACGGGTATTTCCACCACGTAAAGTTGATACAGTGCTTTCACAAATCACATCTTATTTGACCCTCATAAATGATGCAGCACACTTATTAAAACCATAAAGATTTAACATATACTAATATCCTAATTAGACCCTCGTTAGTCACACCAATTTTTCTTAATTACCCAATCAAGGGAAGGGTAGAAAGCACAAATGCACAAAAGAAGTAAAAGGAAATAAGCAGAGAGAGAGGAACTGAAAAGATTCATAAGCTAGTCTGCTCAATTCCAGGCACATAAACCTAAGAGCCTGGCTGAAATGGATAATTGTCTAGAAAACGGAGTTTATTTTTTGTATTTAAATTACTTAAATTGATTTATTTCTAAAACGGACTCCAGAAGAAAAGGAAAAGGCCTTAACAGTTCAATGACCACGAAATAACTGCACAGACTTATTCAAGGGCTCTTCTCCTCAAAAGAGCCCAAGTCCACGATAGTTTCACAGGAAATTCTGTCATGTCTTTCAAGAATGGATCATTCCAGAACTATTTATATTGCTCCACAGGATAGAAAAAAGGAACTTTCAACTCACTTCTATGAAACAAGCATGACCATACCAAAAACCTCTAAAGTTAGCTCAGAAGGAAAGCAACAGACCGGGTTCCTAACATAAAAATCCTAAATAGGAATATTAGGTAACAGAATCCACCAACACATTAAAAGAAGAAGAATAGGGGTGCCTGGGTGGCTCCGTCAGTTAAGCGGCCGACTTCGGCTCAGGTCACGATCTCGCGGTCCATGAGTTCGAGCCCCACGTCGGGCTCTGTACTGACAGCTCGGAGCCTGGAGCCTGCTTTGGATTCTGTGTCTCCCTCTCTCTCTGCCCCTCCCCTGCTCGTGCTCAGTCTCATTCTCTCTCTCTCTCTCGAAAATAAATAAAAACGTTAAAAAAAATTTTTTTTTAATAAAAGAAGAGTAATAGATCGTGACTAAGTGAAGTTTGTTTCAGGACTTCAGGATGGCTTAACTTTACACAACCCAGTAACACAATTGTTCTATTACTGGATCTGAAAGGAAAGCCGTAGGTCACAGCCATCTATGCTGACAAGACACTTGAAAAACTGCAACGAACTTTGTTGACTTTAAAAGCCCTTCCTAAAAAGTAATGGGTACCCGACAGATACGTGTTACCATACGAGGAAGCATCCACCTAGAGCCCAAAGCCAAACTGGGGTTTAATGGGATCCCGTCAGAAGCGCCCCTTCTGAAGTCAGGAGCGTACATGTGTGGTCAGTCAGGACAGGTTAACCCGCGCCGATATGACAACCCCCGAGTCTCTCACTCAGCCTCTAATTCTGCTGAGGGTGGGCTTGGGCCCTGCTCTCCGCCCTCCTCTCTGCACAACCCGGGAGCCTGGGGAGCCTGGTGTTGGTGCGGAAGAGAAGGGAAAGAGCAAATCCCGTGCCCGGAAGTAACACATACACAAACCACACTCCCATCTCACTGGCCGCCTTTCCCGTCCCCCGAGCTGAATCCTGCCTCAAGCAGGTGGGCAGGTACAATTCTATCATGTCCCCAGGAGGAAGGAAAAAAAAAAAAAGAAAGGGGGAAAAAAGAAAAAAGTGGAAATACTAATAAACAGCACCAGAAACCACCATCTCTATGCAAATTAACCTGCAAGTCAGCATGAGGGATAATGGAAGTCCAAAGAGGAAACTCCGTGAAAGCTGGGCACTTGGAGACGATGTCTGCTGTCACAATTCCTGACACAGATCTGGATACACTAACTAACACAGACAAGGGAAAGAACCTGGAGGCAAAAATACCATGGTGCACAGGTGCTAAGATTGTAGACACCAAAAATCGCATGAACACTGTCATGAGTAGTGAAAGGATGCAACCAGGTGGCTGAGGACAAAATCATCACACAGCAATCTACGGTGTTCACGCCTACCAAGAACGGTTAGAAGACACGATGGAAGACAAGTCCTCATCACAAAGACCTACGTTAGCGGCAAACCCCACAAAATGCAGATACACAAACCTAGCAGGAAACACGTAAGATTCACATAAAGAAAACTCAGTATATGATAAAAGTAGCCTGCGAAATAAAACGGGAAGACAGAGTATTCGATAAACGGTATTTTCCCTTAGAGGAAAATACATATAAAAGGAATAAGAAGAACCCACGGGGAAATTATGTTATAACCTGGAGTGAGGAGGTCTAACTATGACACCAAGGTGGAAGCCATAAAATAAAAGACTGATAGTACAATGTATAAATAACAGTTTTAAAACTCTGCATGGCAGAGAACACCATGAGCAAAGACAAACAATAAGCAGAGAAAAAGTATTTGCAGCTCACATCACAAAGGGCTCATCTAGGAGCAGTGCCTACAGACTGCTAAGAAAACAAACAGTAACAGAAGAACTGACGAAGGATAAGAGAGAGAAAATAACTGATGAAATGACATAAAACAAAAATAACCCTGAGATTCCACTTCTCCCCTATCAGATTGTCAAAGATCAAAAAGTCTGGTGCCATGTGGGCAAGGCTGCGGGGGAGAGACCAATTCCCAGACTGCTGGGGAAGGTGTCACTTGGCCGGCCCTCCTGAGTCACCCGGCAGCACCTACAAAGCGCAGGTGTCCCCCGGCCCAGCAAGCGGACTTGTGGGAGTACATCTCACGGGCAGTCACGGTGCAATTCGCCGCAGCAGCCTTTGAAAAAGCAAGACACCGGACACAAACTGATTAACGTCACCCACAGCAGATGGGAGAAATTATAGCACCCAACCTACCCCCCCGCCGAAAATGGCCACCACAGAGACACAAAAGAGAACGAGAACCCTGTGTTGACTTACAAAAAGCATCAAGATAAATGAGGTGCCCAAACCAGGACGCAGCACAGGGCCCGATCCGCTAGAAAAAGAGGACACTCGGGGGAGCCTGGGTGGCTCAGTCGGTGGAGTGTCAGACCTCGGCTCGGGTCATGATCTCACGGCTCATGGGTTCGAGCCCTGCGTCGGGCTCTGGGCTGACAGCTCAGAGCCTGCAGCCTGCTTCAAATTGTGTCTCCCTCTCTCTCTGCCCCGCCTCCATTCGTGTTGTTTCTCTCTCTCTCTCTCAAAAGTAAATAAATATTTAAAAAAAAAAATTTTTTTTTCATTTTTTTTTTTCAACATTTATTTATTTTTGGGACAGAGAGAGACAGAGCATGAACGGGGGAGGGGCAGAGAGAGAGGGAGACACAGAATCGGAAACAGGCTCCAGGCTCCGAGCCATCAGCCCAGAGCCCGACGCGGGGCTCGAACTCACGGACCGCGAGATCACGAGATCCCGCGAGATCGTGACCTGGCTGAAGTCGGACGCTCAACCGACTGCGCCACCCAGGCGCCCCAAAAAAAATTTTTTTAAGAAGAAAAGGAGGGCAGTCAGCCGACAACATATACACATACTGGTTTCCTCTTGCACAGATTAGCTCCGGAAGATCGAACGGACCAAAGACATCGATGGCCTTTGGAGGGGCGGCTGGGTGGCTGAGGGGGAGGCTGCAGGAGGTGGCAACGGGCAGGGTCAGATCCTGGAGGGTTTGCAAGCCCAGGCAAGGAGCTTTTATCCAAAGTGCGACAGGAAGCTACCGGAGGTTTTAAGCGGAAGAGTTATGATCTACCTTGTGTTTTCAAAAGGTTACCCTGGCTGCTGTGTAGAGTGCATGAGAGAAGCAGGCCGTACCTCCTGAAATCACGCATTGGCCAAAGTGCAAAATGTCCGAGTGGGTGGAAGTGAGTTAATGTGGCTGAGAGGCACACGGTGGCGGCCTCCGGGTGGGGTTGGAAAGAGGGAGATGGATCCAAAATCTATTCGGAAGGGGGAAATCGCAGTAAATGATGATTGAGTGAACACGGCCCCTTCACAACTTAGCTAAGTATATGGAGGAGCCGTTCCCTTCCATGAGAGGACAGAGAGCAGCCCAAGAGCGGGGAGATGGGGGCACACGGAGTATGAAGTGCAGGACAGGGGAAGATGCCAAACAGGTGGGTGGATATACAGCCCAGAGCTCGGAGGAGAGGCTGCGCTCAAGACAAAATGCGGCACCACTAGAAAGGAGATGGCTTTTCTAAGTTTACTTATTATTTATTTTGAGAGAGACAGAGACAGCCCAAGCAGGGGAGGGGCAGACAGAGCCCAACACGGGGCTTCAACCCACGAGACGGTGAGATCAGGACCTGAACCGAAATCAAGAGTTGGACACTTAACAGACTGAGCCAGCCACACGCCCTGCAGATGGGGTTTAAAGCCATGGGAATGTCCGAGAGCCCTGGGGTATGGATACAAAGAGACCCCAGAGACCTCATCCTGGGTAAGATTAGCTTCAAAAGACAGTGGAGGAAGAGGAGGCTGCAAAGGGATGGATAAACCAACCAGAGAGGTGGAAGGAAAACCAAGGCTGCCTTGGAAGCCAAGGTGAGAGGGAAGTTTCCAGAAGGAGAGGTCAGATGTCATTGAGAGGTTGATTAACAAGAACAGAAAAGTGATAACAGGTTTGGCAACATGTATGTTGTAACTGATGAAAGCAGCTTGAACAGAGTGGTGAGGACCGAGGGGTTGGTCGAGGAACGCGGGAAAATCGCAGAACAAATAGAGAAAGCTCTAGAAGGCGGGCTCCCAGAGTGGAGGATATGGAGACAGAACAGAACGTATCTGTGTGTCAATGACAAGCAGGAGCGAATGAACGGACAGGCACAAGGTGAGGCCACGGAGGGAGGGTGACACGAGGGGTGTCCTCAGAAGCGGCAATGAGGATTCTACATGCACAAGGAAGGGACTGGTATCTGAAAGGGAGGAGAAGGGGGTGCAGCGGCAAATCCCTTTCTAGACAATGAACAAGTGAGGAGATGGGCAAAGTCTCTAGCACGGTTTCAGCAAAGCGGAAGTTATCCGGGTACCCCGTCTGCCTGCCGCACAGGGGTGCGTGAGGAACAAAGGATAGGGGATGTCGACAGGCTTTAAGAGAAAAGGCGGGTGCGGCCCTTCCCTCATTCTGCGAGGCTGGATTCTCGCCGGGGTGCCCCAACCAGACAGGGACAGAGCGAGAGGAAAAGCCGCCGAGATTCTGACCACACCTTGGCAAGCAGAAACCGGCGACAGACGCGGAAAGAACGCACCGAACTCCCTCCCACAAGTGTGTGAGTTCCTGCGAAGTGCCAGGCAGTGTTCTCCGCACTGGGTGCACACAGCGAGTAAAACTGGAAAGGATCCTGCTACCACGATGAGAATCTAAAGCCGTGTTGGGGAGGGGGGGCGGGGTGCGGTGCGGGATGCAGAAAACGGAATGAAGGAAGCCGGAAGGATGCAAACCCCCTGAAGAATGGGATCGTGAGCCGCACGGGCACAGAGCACAGGGTGAGCACTGAATAAACCAAGGACTACGTTCTCACAGAAGCATGAACGCCACCTGCATCCTCACTGAGCTCCCTGCACGGCGGCGCTGCGGCCACAAGGACATACCATCCTTCTTGGGAACCTCCATCCCTGCCTCTCGAGACTGGCTGGCTGAAGGCGCGTCGGTCGCCAAGCGTGTCCTCCTTTCACGGCGAGGGCTGTCAGGAAGTCACTGCGGGAAGGGCGGGGCCAGCAGGTGAGCCGGTGTCAAGGCCCAGGACGCCCCCACCCCCACCCCCGACCCCTCCGCCCCCTTCCAGCGGCCGAGCGCCCCCAGGCCGGGAGCTCCGGGGGGCCCGATCGGGCCGGCACACCGCGGCCGGGGGGCCGGACCGGTGGGGGAGGGGGGGAGACCCCGGCAGCCCCGACCGAACGCGCGAAGGGACCCCACAGCCCGAGCCACCCCGCCCCTCACCCGAGCGGCGGCGACGCCTGGCGACCGCACCTCCGCCCGGGATTTAAACGCGGCGCGGCAAGCGCAGCGCGGGCTGCCGATTGGCCGGTTTGAACGGGCTGCGCAGCGTCGCCGCGCCCGGTGCATCCTGGGGGCCGCGGCTGGGGGAGGGCGGCGCGCGTGCGCACTGCCTCCGCGCGCGGGTGGGCGGTGCCCGCCGGCGTTCCGCCGTGAGCCCGCGGTGGGCGCGCAGAGCGGGGCGGGGCTTCCTTGCTGCGGGTACCGCGTGCCCGCCGGTTTGGCCCGGGGTGGCTACGCGTGACAAGGGACGTGGTTCCGATCCCAACTCTTCATCTGTAAATGGAGAGACTTCATTTCCTACAGCAGGATGTTGACTGTGAAGACCGAACAAAATAGGTGCACCTGTCTGCTTCGTAAAGCAGTTCGCACCGGTTATAATACCGTAGCAAGACCCGGCCCCTGCCCCTGCCCCTGCCCCGAGGAGCGCACCGGGTGACGCTGGTATGTGCCCCCGCCCCCCGGGCCAGGAGAAGCTGAGTGGTGGCGGAGAGCTGTGATGAGGGTCTGAGCCTGGCCAGAGGTGTGCGGCCCAAGCTTCCCCTGGGCTTCACAGCCGCTGGGGGGGTCCTGCGGGGCAGATTGGAGGAGCGCGCAGGGTCGCGTGATCGAGTCTGCATGGGGGAATGCACAAGTTGGGGCAAGATCCCTGATCTGAGCGACGCGAAGCACTGACGGTGAACAGGGCAGTCCGCGGCAGCTTGAGACTGACCTCACTTGAGCCTTGGACTGGCGTTCAGGTACATGTAATACCCACCTCGTGGGCGGGACAGTGGCATGAGGGGGTCCCCTGAGGACACAGTGTCATGAAGCCGTTACCCTAGGTATCTGGCACTGGTGGATGTAGCGGGATGTGGGAAGGAGGCGCCAGGGATGACACCTAGGGTCTGCCCTGCGAAGGAGGGAACTCCAAAAGGGAGAGCACCATTGTCAGGCATGATAATGAGCTATTTATGTGGGGCAGGTTGGGTGGAGAACTGTCCAGAAGGCAGCCATCCTGGGCCCAGGACCTACACCAAGAAGCCTTCCAGGCCGTCTGGCATCTGGACCATCCACACCAATCACCCCCATTTCACTGTGGTCCCTCCTCACTTCTGATCCTGAGTGCAGCTCCCCAGGAGACTGTGAGCCTAAAAGGCAGGGTGGGGTCACAGTCATGTGATGTCCCCAGCTTCACCCAGCCCAGCACTGGGCCCCAGGCAAGAGCTGAGAGCACGGAAGCTAGGTATTCAAGGGAGGTGGGGAGTCTAGCAGCTTGGAAAGAGCCCAGCCTGCCCTCCGCATCCCCTTTGGCTGGTCCTGGCATCCCCAAACACCTCTTTTCTATTGAAGGGCTCCCTCTATCACCTTCAACTTCTGTCTTCACTCCCCACTGCACTCTGATGTGCTGGGTCCCTGGACCCTGCCTTTCCCACCTGAGTCTCTGTCCAATGGGTCCTTTCTGAATTCCATTGTCTTTTGCTCAGATTCTTGCTTAACTACATAAGAAAGAAGGTGCCAGGCTGACCCAGGTACAAATCCCAGCTGCAGGTATCCGTCAGGAGCCTTTGGGTCGCAAGAAACAGGAAACCAGCTTCAAGCTGGCTTTAGAGGAGAATTTACTGGCTCAAGGAACAGAGGTGCAGGAATGGCCCTGGCTTCAGGTCTGGATAGAAAAAGGGGCTCGAAGGAGGGCACAAGGTCACGTCCTCTCCCAGCTGCCTCTACGGGGTCCTGCACACCCTCAGGCAGACTGGTTTTGCTGGGCCCACAACCCCGGGAGCCCCAGGCTTCCCTCCACCTACCAAGGCCTCTGGTAAGACACAGCTGGTCTCGTACTGCCAGTGCTCAACCAAGGGCCCTAAGGCCTAGGCCTGCCTGACCCAACCCCCTGCACAATTGTAGCAAGGGCTCAGGGGGTGCCTGGCCCAGATGTCAGGTCCCCACAGCCCTGGGGTTGTCTGCAGGGGGTGAGCGCCCCCAACGCCCACTCCCGATGCTCCTCTCCCTGTATCGTGTCAGCACCTAGGAGGTGCTCAGGATCAGCACTGATTATCAATAGCTTGTTGCTGCTGAGTCTAAACGGTATCGTCCTCCATCTGTCCTATTGTGGGCCTGCCCATCAGACACATTTCTTCCCTCCCCCAATAAGATTCTGCTTCATTTCACCAATGTTCCTCGACGGGTCCTCAGTGCAGGCCAAGTGCTGGGTGGTGCTGGGACAGATCCCATCCCTGACCTGAGGAGGTCACAGCAGGGGAGGAAAGGGCATCCTCGCCAGCCTGCCCCACACGAGTGGAGGGCTTCTCCGAGGAGAGACCTGGGTTCCGCCTTCCCCGGCCACTCTGTGTCTTGTTTGGAACCAGGAGAGGGGAGGGCAGATGGAGTGTGAGCCTGCTGTGTCATGGCATCCGGCAGGAGGGGACAGCTCAGGATTGGAGGGCAGGCTCGCCTTTAGAATGTGTCTCTATCTCCTGAGTAGGAACAGCACCCCTCTCGAAATCCTATTGTAATTACCCATTGACTCACTGCCCCACCCACACCCCAAGTTCAAGGAGAAGCCTGCCTCCTCCCCATGACCCAGGCCTGACACATGGGACATGTGGAAAGGTGTCACCAGCAAGTCAAAGGAACTGATTACCTAATTTATTTTAATCTCAGAAAATTTGTCTAATCGATTTGGAGGCCTCCACTGCCTCCACTGCAGGAGACCTGCCCCCTGCCTGAGTCCCTCCCTAATGTCAGCTTACACTGAAGGAACCTGAGAAACATTTAGGGGCCAGGATCGCCCCTCACGGGCGCATTCCAGTGAAATCAGCAACTCCCTGATTTAAGGGCCAGGTTAAGAAAAGGGGGAAACTGAGACTGAGGCAGCATTTGTAAAACCGGCTCGGATCGTGGTAAAGCCACGGGCCACAGTGCTGTGTGTTTGTTGCCACAACAGGGCAACCCTGGGCTCAATCCACACGCCCCAGAAAGTGTGTCAACTCAGTGCCTGTGCACTCGTATGATTAAAGTCATAGCTGGCAAAGGAAACCACATACCCGAGGCCCCTTGATCGGCACCACTGAAGCCCCCTGGGAAGCTCACAGACCTCTCCAGAGATGGCAGAGGGCCCCCCACATGCTTGTGCTTCTTTGAGGTGGGGGGGGCAGCTGGGGGACCCACAGACGGTGAGGTGAGGCCTTGTGGAGGCCCAAGGCGAATCTTAGGGCCTCCACTAGCTGTGACCCGAGCAAGTCACTTCCCCCATCATGGGTGCCCTCAACCAAAAGATGGGACAACAGATCTAGAATATGAGGAAGACAAGGTGAGGGTTTATCCCAGGGGCAGCCTGGGGAGAGGGGGTCCCCAGGGGCTGTGTGGAAGACTGTCCTCCCTGAGCTGCGCTGGCCTCCAGCCAACCCCGCCTTCCAGCCCTTGAACACCGGGAGATGTGGGAGTGCCCTGCGAAGATACAGTTTGCAAGGCAAGTGGTAAAAAACTAGTTTGGTTCTAACTGCTTGAGGCTGCCCCTCAGCCCTGAACAAGGACGAAAAGATCCTGACTCGTGTTTAAAGTCGATTGGTGTCCCCGCTCCCTGTAACGCTGCTGGTTACAGGGCTTTTTGCTTAAAGCTGCAAAATTACTCAACAGAACCACCTAACGGGCTCTAGCCGCTTCTAACCCTAGAAGCCAGGGGGCAGCCGATCTGACCCTGGGGAGGGGGCCAGGCCTAGCTCACTGCAGGAGGTGGACGGCCGCAGCCTTTCGGATGAGCCGTTGGGTCAGGGGTGAGTTCGGCTTCAAGGCGTCACGCTCCATCAGGAGGCTCCTGTGGAAACAGGGACAGGGTCTGTGGTGGAATCTTCTAGAAGGATGTGGGGCCTGATGGTTCCCGGGCCCCAAGGCAGGACAGGCAGCTCGGCCTGGGGCTGAGATGAGCAGAAAGCAAGTTGCTCCCCTTCCCGGGCTACCGGAGAGAGGGGACAGGAGGGACAGAGCCCAGCAGCAGGAGGCCTGACCTTGGCAGGGGGACCAGGTGGTGAACCAGGCGCGGGAGGTTCAAGGATGAGAAGGTAGGGACTCCAGTGCGTAACCAGAACGTCCAGTGTTTGGAGAACATTTTGATGCTGTCCCCAAGACACACATAGCTGGGTGAGCACATAACTGGCTTCATCTGCCTCAGGAAGCCAGGACCCATCCTTCCACCGGACAAGAGGGTAGAACTGGACTGTGGGGGTCAAGGGGAAGCCAGGCATGAGGCCCTCTGGGAAGGCCAGTGGCTATGGAAAGGCAAGTCTGAAGAAAGCAAGTATCGTTTAAGGGAAAGACCCGCAAACAATTGACAAGAGTGATTCCGTGGGGTGAGGGGGGGTTAAGGGGCTAGGCCTGGCCCTAGGGGTGGGGACGCCATTGCAGGGGGCCCAGGATCTCCACCTTGGAGGGGAGGGGCGTGAGCTTCCTGTCAATGACAGGAGGGCACTCGGAGGCGAGCCTGTCACCCTGGCTGCAGCAGGTGGCCCTCAGTGGGCTCATGGGCTCCAGGCTGCCTGTGGGGCCCATTCCCCCTCAGCTCGCCCATGGGCAGACCCCCTGCTGCATAGTACCCTCTGCCCAGCCCAGAGGGCATCCTCTACCCACCATGGCAGGCCCCCACCCTGCTCCGGCCCTCAGCCCTCCTGTCCAAAGGGCCTCACCTTCCCTGCCAACCCGCACCCACACCGGGACCTGGAACTCTCTAAGGGATCTGCCCCCTAAAGAAAGGGGTGTGGCTTTTATGAACCACACGTGTCCAAAGATGCTTCAGAGTCTTGACCGATTCCAGAGCGTGTACACCTGTTTCATCAGCACTGAGAACGCCTGCACTGCTCCGTTTGGAAATGTTGTTGGGGCAGCTGGGGCTCACCCAGCATGCACTGCCTGAGCCTATGCTCAGACCCTCGGGCTTTCCACCTGACTTCCACGGCTCCGCCAGAGGCCACCCGGGACTCACCGCAGGGCTTTCACTGGCTCTCCTGACACCTACCCACAGCTCCTCCCTTCCTCCCTTTCCCTTCGGTGTTCTGGGGTGGGGGGCGCAGGGGACCCATGAGGAGGGGTCACATCTCACCCCAGAGGTAGAACATCTGGTGCAGGAACCAGCATGGAACTCGGCTGCCCCATGTAGGGCAAGGCGAGTCAGGTGTGGGAGCTCCAAGGCTGTTAGTGAGGGCCGGGCTTTGCAGAGCTTTCTTCTGGGGGCACCCCCGCCCCCACATCCCTAACCCTCCAGCCCCTCCTCCTAACCAGACCATGGGTCTGGTCAAACCCGCTGGTTTCGGGCCTCCCCTCAACTGTCTCTTCTCCAGGACATCCTCTCTCCTTAACTCCCCACCAGCTCCAGCTACCCCACTGCCTTGAGGGCAATGTGCCCTGCCCCAGCCCCATTGTGCGTGCGTGTGTGTGTGTGTGTGTGTGTGTGTGTGCGCGCGCGTAAGAGATAGTTGCTAGCGTTACTTCCCACATGAGAAATAAGAACCACCCGCCAGGCCTTGGGTCTGCCTGCCACAACCTCCCCCCACCCCCCCACCCCCACCACCTCCTGGAGCCCAGCAGTCAGCCCCGTGAGAAAGAAAGAGCATCCCCAGCAGAGGATGCGGCATGTGCAAAGGCCCAGGACCCTGAAACAGCAGGTCGTGTTGGGCAACTTACAGCAAGGCTCGAATGAGGAGTGGTCTGGGGAGGGCAGGAGGACCAGCCTGGGGGTGGGGTGGACCCCTCTGGCCAAGCCAAGCATGCTAACAGGGAAAAGCAAGCCCCCCCCCATAGCCTCGGGCGGTGGGAGGTGGGAGCCTCAGGGCAAGCTGGAAGCCCATGGGGAGACCCCCGTGAGAGAGGGAGCGATGCTCAGAAACGTCCCCAAGCGCGGCGTGGGTGTGAGCGAGGAACTCACCGTGCCACGTTCTTGTGGACTCCAGAAGTGCAGTTCAAGGCCGCGTGGATCAGTAACTGGTTGAAGACGTCTCTCTGAAAGGTCACCGGGCAGGTTGGGCTCCTATAACGTGGGATGAGGGGCGGGAGCCCCCACCCCACTGCGGGCAGGGCTGTTCTCAGGGGCAAACTTCCCGGGGGATGCGAATGGTAAGGACACCCCCGCACCACGGGCGCCCACGCCGGGAGACCCTGCCGGACCCAGGCTGCTGGTGTGGCCGGAGGCTCACCTGGGCGTTGCTGCCTCCGATCTGGACGATACGGTAGCGGATGGGCAGGAGCAGTTCCACGACACGGTCCGGGTTCCCGTGCTCGGCCTCCACCAGGGCCTGGCACAGGGGCAGCCCCACGTCACGGGCCAGGAGGTGCTGGCAATTCTCCCCGGGGGACCTGCCAGCCGGAGAAGGTGCCCTCGGTCACCTGCAGGGCACTCTGCACTGCCCGTCACAGCACAGATGCCTCCCTGCCTGACTCAGGCGTCCTGAGGGGAGGGTGTCCCCGGCTCTGGGCCTGACACAGCAGGTGCTTTGGTCGGGCGAGCCGACGGAGGAGAAGCGGCCAGGAAGGGGAGACGAGGGGGTTCTCTCAACCCTGGGTTGAACTCTGCTGTTCACTAGTGACCTGACTTCAGGCAGGCCCCTCAACTTCTGGCCTCACCTTGCTCATCTGTAAAGTGTGGGGAACAGTGCCAACCGCTCGGGGCTGTCAGGAGGCTTGCAGACGATGCGGGTAAAGGCCTGGTATTGGAGTTGGCCCCGGGGCCGAGGCAGACGGCTGTCACGGCCCCTGTCTCCCTGCTGGCCCTCAGGTGGCCGCTGGTCTGGGTCACAGGGCCTGCAGCCATGGAGGCAGCGGCCGGCTCTAAGCCTGTCTTAGAAGCCAGAATCAAATGCTCGGGGCGCCTGGGTGGCTCAGTCGGTTGAGGGTCCGACTTCAGCTCAGGTCATGATCTCACAGTCTGTGGGTTCGAGCCCCATGTCGGGCTCTGTGCTGACAGCTCGGAGCCTGGAGCCTGCTTCGGATTCTGAGTCTCCCTCTCTCTCTGCCCCTCCCCCGCTCATGCTCTGTCTCCTTCTCCTTCAAAAATAAGTACACATTAAAAAGATTTAAAAAAAAAAATACTCAAGTGCTTGGTGGGCTCCCCAGGCCTTCCCTGTGGTGAAAAGACAGGCAACAGCGGTCACCTCTCCTGAAGCTGCCTCCCCGGCCACAGGCCACGGTTCCTGCAGCACAGCTCTGGGAGGAGGGCTAGGGCAGCGGCCGTGGCGGTGGCCAGCCCGCGCCTGGCCCCCAGGACAGACCACCAGGGGTCATGCCTCCCGCAGCTCCAGCCCTACGGGGGGGCTCAGCTACACCCCCGGTGGCCCACGCTGCGGAGGACCCTGGGCTCCCCGGGGCCTCCCCCCCCCCATGCCAGGAGCTGTGCCAGGGAGCTGTATGACCGTGTCACTGCACCTCCCTCTCCTGCCACTGTCCCCAGCTTGCAGATGAGGAAACTGAGGCTCAGTCCGGGATCTCAGATGCTGTAAGCAGCAGGTCTCTCTGGTTCTGGGGCCTCACCATGTCCCCCGTGGGAGGCTGTGCCCATGACACAGATGCTGTCACCCCCAGCCGGGAGATGTGCCCCATCTCTCGGGGGAGCAAGTGTACCCCGTGGGATACATCCACCTGGGAGCACACGCCTGCGGGGCGCACGTGTGGCAGCAGCCCCCCCCCCCACGGCATCCCCACAGCCGTACTCCCCGAGGGGGCCCCCACCCCCAGCACCCCCGGCGGGCAGGGGCAGGGGTGGGGACGGAGCCGGCCTCTGTTGCCCTCTCAGCAGGGCCCAGTCTGTGGTGCGTACTCGCTGGCATCCTGCAGGGTGGTCAGAAGCTCCTGCGTGGTCTGGGGGTCCCGAGCACCCAGGGATGCCATCAGGAAGTGCACGTCGTTGAACAGCAGGATGTGGTCACGGCTGTGCTTCTGGGTCACCGACAGGACGTCCTGCCACCGCTCCCCCACGGACACCCCTGAGGACACGGGGAAGAAACCACAGGCCTGGCATTCTGTATGAGCACGTCCTGCGCGGGGGCCTCCTGTAC